CCTTACAGCGAAGAAAAAAAACAGAAAGAAGTGTAGAGTTATTTAGGGGAGTAGGGCCTAAATGTGGGCAACACAGAGGGAGTACCGTCTTTACCAGGAGCCATTCACTGTAAAGTCCAAAGAGAACACAGTGCTAGCAATAAAACAACACTTAATCCACATTTTTCCTTCTTCAGTCGAATTTCCTTCCTACTCTACATATTCAGAAATGCTTTTTGTTCTTCTGCAGGGCAAACCCTCATAACACAAGCAGGGGACTTTAAAGTAATGACAATAATGCAATTCGTAACTAATAGTAGAGTATACTAAATGATTGATCTTGAGCACGAAGCTCTATACAAAGGAAATCCATCTTGATTATATAGTCCTTCATGCCTATGGCTAGTCAGGACCGCGCAGCGGTCCATAACGTGACTTAATCACGCTACCTTGGGTTAGTCATGTGACGCGGCGTAGAAGATAGCCGTCGTAACACCTAATTAGTCAGTTGTTACTATCGTAACACTAAGTTCTACGGAAGTGCGAAGCTCTCCTACAGAGAGCTTCTCAATCTAGTCCTAATAGGACTAGTGCCCTGTGCACGTGCTACGCAGGAACCATTCACTTTAATATAAAATGAAATTCCTTTTGTGAATAATAATGTTAATAAATATTATCTATATAAGAATATTATAATTAGAAAAGTAAGAATAACAAGATTATATAACAAAATACATGACTCTAATCAAAATCAAATTCCTCATATATATTTCTAGTTTTTAATTGTTTCATTTACGTAATGAGGTAAGAATACTAGGATAGTTGTAGACTTCTACTACAACTCACTTGATATGCAAAGTTAATATCGGCCATCAATTTAAGAATCCATTGATCCTTCTATGGCGCCATTTTCACCACTACCGTGTATTTGGGAAATCAGATTGTGAATAACTGTTTCTTCGGAATTCAAATCCAGCTACAATCTTGTATTATATCATGCCCTTAAAGCTTATAAACGAAACCTCTCTTATTTAAGACATATCGTATCTTCAAGACTGTTAGCTCATTTGATTCCTTCACTTCCCCTCTAAAACACTGTTGAACATTCCTATTCTCAAAATGTCGCATGAAGAGAGCCCCAATGTTATTGAGACCTACAATTATATTATTTGCGGCTTTACTTGTACTACACTCTTCGAAACAGCACTTTAACTGAATACTGGGACAGTGGTGAAACATCGGGTTGTGTCATTGCTGCTCGACTTACAACTCTTATCGTTGAAGCCAGAGCCCGAGCCAGAGCATATTCTACAACTGTAATCCCTGCTGTTTAAGCGCAACTCCTGCCTGCATCTACAGTATTTAGTATTTACACACGTTGATTGTTCTAATCCTCCTCGCAAAGTTTCACAAATCCTTGGAACCGAGGTGAGTCAAATATCAAAGGTGAGCCCTGTGGGGAGCTCAAAAATTGTCAATTGCATCTTGCCAGGGGAAAGGTAAGTTTCTTGAACTTTATAAGTTTAGCTTGTGAGATCTAAGCTTGAAGCAAAGATTCCTGGGTGGGACCAACGGTCGCAATGGCACACTAGCTGTTGGCGAAGTCGACAGGACTACGGTATTTGATGCCTCAAAGGATGGAATGGAAATGAAATGCTGCAATGAATGACTAAGGTGCCATTTCGTGAGGAATATCATAATGGTCTCTTCGAGCTCGGGAGCTCCATTCGCATTAATATGCTTTGCGGAAGGTGGTGATGATCAACCGGCCGCTAACATTTATTTAGGCCAAAAAATTTCGCACCAAGCCATGTTTCCATGCCGGGAAACATACACATAGATTTCGCGATTTACTTATCACATCTCCTGACAATTATGCCACGATTATGCCACGATTTCAAGCCATGTCTTTGATCATATCAATCTATGGCATTGCCCTTGATTCAATTTCCAGATATGTTTAGCTCCGGCAAAAGTGCTCATGGCTATGGTCACGTTGTTCAAACAACACACCAAGACAGTCGCAGTCTAGCCGTAGACTATATCACAAACTGTACGGCGCAGGCAGGTATTCCAATAAAGAAGAACACTTCCATTGTGTTACCTCAACCTCAAAACCAATAGCGATGTTGAGATTGGGGCCAACAGTGTTTCCTTGCATGGTACCACTGGCTAGAAGACCTTCATCTAGACTCCCAAAAAGGTTATTATCTCGGCAGAAACATATGGAAGTCACGTCATCCTGCTTCTACCTGCGGTACGTGCTAAACAAAAAGCAGAAAAGCTTGGAATTAAAAGTCAAGTAGATCTTTCAGGTGTTAGAAGGAACTTTATGGACTATTTTGTAGGCTTACTGCCTTGCCTTATCCATGAAACCGAGTCACATTTTGCTTGTGAGTCGCTCCAGCATGCGTTCCCCTTCCGATTATACTTAGCCTCATATCTAACAAAAGCTAGGTAGTGCTCTCGGTTTACGAAGTTTCCAAGCCTGCCATAGCCAATGACCATCTCATTTGGCACAGGCGAAAAGGAAAAATCATTGGCGCAGTACAAAACCAATAAAAACAGGATTTCTCTCTCAGTTTTCGCTTGGAACCTTTGCGTTTGCCCCGTTTAGACGACAGACTAAATGCCGCTCGCTCCGAAAGACTTGGTTCAATGGGTCCCAGGCCTGCATAGATCCACGTGGAACTTTGGAACAAATGCTACAGCCCAAAATAATCTTACATCTTCAGGAATTTCCCCGAGGATGGCAATATGCGTTCGAAATAGCCACGGATTCCTCGCACCACGATCACGAGGTGATGCTAGTATCAAGTCAAAAGACCCTGCGGAAAACCCTACGGTAAATCGCAATTATCTCGAGAACATCTTGGATATGCTTATGTTCAGCGAAGGATGCCGCATGGCAGACTAGATTGTAACCAGTGAAGCAGGGACCAAGGATATTGTGATTGGCTCGTGGCTACGATACAGCAATCACTACAACTTTACTACTATAGAGGGGTGGGTGCCTGTTATCAGGTCCAGTGCAGACACATGTAAGTGTCATTGCACATTTGCCTTGCTTTTTCGACACTCGTGTGCCTATACAGTACATTATTGACTGGTTAAATCTCTTATGCTTGCTCCCTAGGCTATCATCCAGCTGGTACATGCAAGATGGGCAAGGTAGATGATTCGATGGCGGTGTTTGAAGGGAAACTAAATGTACATGGGATTTGCGGACCTCGGGTTGCAGATGCAAGAACTATGCCATCCCTCGTTGGAAGCATCCCCAAATGCCTGCTTATTGAATCGCCGAGAAGGCAGCGGATTTGATCAAAGCGGACAATTAGTTTCTTCTCATGCACGATCAAATACTTATAAAGTGGCAGATTTGGTTTATAACCATGCTTAAACGCCTGTTATATGCTGGAATCCTGCTTTATCGACGCACATATACTATTTGTTCCATGCTTTTTGTATTATTTTTTTTCGTTGTAGAACTACCTTATCTCTTTTATCTCCGGATTCTGTAGATATTTATGCATCTTTTCTCCATGGCGCATCGGTCAAGGAGGTTGACTCTCGTGAGGTGAATCATAAACAATTTTTTTTTTCATTCTTAAGTAAAGGGAAGCCCTTCATCCCATCCTCACAATAATGTAGGAAATATAGTACAGCAATGTATTACATTGGAACAAGCTAGGCAAATTAAACAATCCAAAAATTTGCCCCACAATTTCCCTTGTCGACCCAAAACGCCGGTGCGTAGTCGGCCCTGCATCCAACTATTCTTCCCAGGCATGAATACCGATCCGTCCATCATTCAAATACCTCTCAAAAATGCCAAACCAGGGGCGGAGAAAAAAAGAGATGGTTAGGCAAGCATCATTCTGTGATATTCTGCGCTGCTACTCGGCGACCACAGCCGACATTCAGTAACTACCACTGTCCTATCTCTGTAAATTCCTGGTGTCTCAAAGCGTTCCAAATGTGGCTGGACTTGAGTTCCAATTTTTCGCGCGCGTGCAACATGTTTATAAAACCCAGTGCCGTATGAACAAATTGTCTTGATGTCCGGATCCAGCGAAGAAGCAAAGCCACTTGGACTCCAAGCATAACGATAATAACAAACAAAGATAGAAAAACACCCAAAAATCAAAACATACATGCTTGTTAAAGAGTAGCAACTGATTCATCCACGTAGCATATTTGCCTAACGATTACGAACGCCTGAATGTGGGTAACGTACAACATAAAAGTCGTCAAGTCATATGAGCCGAAGCAAAGCGCAGGCTTGAATCAAGGTCGAAAGCGGCTCGCACTTCTCTCTTGGATTTGCTGCTCTGTCGTAACGTATAAACGGTCGAGGTAAGACATAGCCTCCGCGTCCTTCAAAATTTTGGCAACCTGTATTCCGGCAGAGATCAGTTGGAGAATATTCCTGTCATCCTTTAAAGGGCGAGATTGATGCTTTGCGGCATGTCTCATCTCCAGGCTGTTCTCCAAGATTGTGACAAATTGTTTTATCTGGCCATTATACAACACCCGGGCGGGTATGCGTCTCTTAGTAGCAAGGCGTTTCAGAAGGTAGACCCATTCTGTCCATTCTCGGTCTTGCGGTCGCTCCACGGGTCGACAGCTGTCGCTTAGAGGAATAGGAAACTGGTACTTGGCAACAAAGTCAAAAGCACACTGTGACAATCTGTCATTGACTCTAGTTAGGACACTATCCTGTTCCTGTACCACAAGATTTGTAGGGAGATGTGGCAAGTCCCTCTCCTGCTGGGCAATGTATTCCGGGGGTGGCCGTTGTAAAAATTGATGTGGTCCATCAAATTCATCTCTGTTGGATGGTCGCCTTTGTGAATGGCCTTTCCCATCACTTCTGGCTTTTCCGGATGTCCGAGGAGCGGGGTCAAGCGTGTAATCCGTTGGGCTGGGAGAAGCAGCATAATCGTCCATATAGGTCTCGGGTGAGATCCTGCCTTGAGGCACCCAACTTGGGCCTTGGCTTGCGTATGGGCCATAACTCGGTCCTGCAGCCCCGTGTACATTTGACGATGAACCAACGCTGTAAGCATTAGATCCATAGACTGAATCCAGACGGGCTAAAGGGCTCGATGTCATTGTCGCAGTGATAGGATTGTAAGGCGACGCACTTAAATCCGGTGCGTATGATGCGCTTTGAGATTGGCTTCAGCTTCTTGAGTTCTGATTCTGGGATACACGCGTCCTTACCTAGTATTGGGATAAAATGCACCATCAAAGCTTGGGCGGTTACTGGTGGTATATGTGCTCCTTGCCAGTTAGCTCTCTGTCATCTAATTTTGCAGATTCTTTTTTTTTTTTTTTTTTTGCATACCTTCTCGACAAATCCGGAAGACTCGTGGGAGTTGGACGTCCATAACCAAATTCCGGTTGGATCTGAATACCTCGTCTGGATGCCATCATTTTGAGATTCCGAGCTCAGATCCAAATCTGAAGTCAAGAGGAAACCTGATACTTGTACAATACGAAAGGGAAAAGAAATGAGATGAGATTAGGGTCAAGTTCTTCTCCGTCGGATGACAATTTAATGCAAAATGGCTCCAATATAGATGTTATAGATCGAATGTCCACGATTAAATAATGGGTCCAGCAAGGATATCCAGATCCAGGAACAGGGGCGGTGAGTATGCCAGGTGATCCAAGGGATTTTATAATTTTTCGAAACAACAAAGCTTTTATGTTGTCTGTCTGTCTGTCCGCCTGTCTGTCTGATAGAAAAATGAAAAGAGGAGGAACCCAATTATTATATAGATAATTCATTGACTACACGAATGTAGCTCACTCGAGGCTATACCGTATATATTCGTATATATTTGACACATTGAACATTAAGCTCTGGCTCTGGCGTGGACCCTTCAAGCCCCGATAGGGCAATCAAGGGAGATGTCAAGAAGCTTTGACTCATGATGGACAGTGATTTGAACTGAATTGGGGATTCTTGTGCTCCCAACAATCTTGAAATGTCGAATGTTTGTAAATCTCCCGTCTCCCAGATTCTAAGTGAAATTCGGGGTTTTGCCCGAGAGAAGTGCACTGTCAAGGAGTTGGTAAGGATGTGCTCTCAAAACAAAGTTACTCGGTGTTTTAGGGATCGTCGTCGCTCATTCTCTTTTCGCCAACGCTGCATCACCAAACGAAATACGATGCGACAAGCCAGATTGTATTTTGCAAGGGCTGACCTCGGAGCCAGTGGGATGAAAGCTGGCTGTGTTGTTCGGTATAATTCTGGTGACTGCATCAGGCATCATTGGGCAATTTTATATCCTTATTTTGATCTCGAACAACTTACAAGGTGTGACGAATCTGACGATATAGCAAGGTAAATACTGAATAGTTAGTAGCGAATACTTCCCATGTCAGCTAAGAACCAATCCAACAGCCAGTTGGAATGCGAATACCAAGCGTGGCAAGCGCCACAAATTACAGAAAGGCATGAATTGATATGGGGAGATCGGAGAGTGGGTGGGAACTGGGACAAGGTAAGTCCTGGGGTAAGTGTGTAATAAATGTGATGTATGTGTGTATGTGTACGTATATATAGATATATATATATATACATATATATATCTATACCTAGTATGGACGGAGAAGAAGGGATCTCCGGGCGGTGACAGGGCGCCTATTACAATTTAAAGAGGTATAGTATAATGCTTGAAGGTCGACTGACGAATGAGTTGGAATGGGTGATTTGAATAATGCATAGTAAGGAAGGTCTAGAATGAAATGATTCAATTGATAGAACTAGTAGACGCTGTGTTATTTTACACAATATGCCAGGCCGTATTCTACTTTTGATACTATAACATCAGGAAACAAGTATGCATTCCGCATGTATCTATCTATCCATTACCGAATGGCTGGTTGGGCATAAACGCGTTCGTTAATAAAACCCAATCAAATGCATTACTGCCCTGTATTAATAAGTCTTTTCGTATAGTACTCTACATGTAGTATGTAGTAAGTATACCGTCACTACCTTATTTATATTGAAACCGGGCGTGAAAAATAAGAAAACCTTGGATGATGTGCTGGAATTAATCATCGGCTACATTAAGGTTAGTGATTAAAAGGTTGATGAATTGCTTTGGGATAAGAATAGATAGCATCTAAAAATGGATAAGAGGGTTCAAACTTCAAAGTTCTATAGATAAGTACTCTTTCCCACCTCTTTACCTTTTTTACCTCTTTACCTCTTGACTGCTTTACTCCATTTCATACAGACTACAAATACATTTGATGCTTTGATCCCAGCTTTTCTCCCAGAAGGGAAAGAGGAAGAAAGGAAATGCTTCCAAGCTTTTAGTGCTTTACATTCTGATCATTAACCTTACACTCTAGTGCTTTACATTTGATGCTAAATATCCTAGTGCTTTACGTTGTGATGCTTTAATTTCCACTTTGCTGACCCTCCAAGGGATAACTGCCGTGGAGGCCTTTCTCCTTTGAAAGCAATGTTGGCTTTTGGATGTTATATGGATGTTGAATCAATCAGTAGATGATATAATAAATAGATGATACAATACTGCAACCCTTCACTGCTATGTTCTACTTTTAGCATGCAACAATATTGTCACCATGATGTCTTGTTTCCTGAAGCTATACATGAGACCTATTTCAACACTGATTCCATGCTCACTGAAAAATGACTCGTGTGTTCAACAATGCAGACCGACGTTGGGAGTAAATGCGTGACTTTACCTTTGCAACGATCGTCTAATAAGTCCAGCTCCCCATCATTTCATTGTGGCGAATGTTACCTCGGCATTCGTATTTGCATAGTTGTCTCCGACCCAACGCGGGGAACTTCCTTCTATCCATCCTTGGCCATGCCATCGGTAATGTACCACCAACAAGATATTCGGATAAACCCAAAAAATATTTCTTCGTTGCTTCATCACTTCACTTTTTTTCTTCTTTACGTGGTGACTGCTTCAAACGAATTGTATGGTTGTATCAAGCTAGCAGACAAGGGCTGGCTCCACTACAAACCTTCATCCATCCATCCATTTTACAACCTCCAACGGGAGACATCAGATGGACATTCTATCACCGACAAAGCACAACACGTTGAATTGGCCATGCCCCCAGGTAAAGAAAAGATGCGGACAGGAGCAGTTGCATTCTGTCAGGCTTTTGTTGATGCACTTTCTCCTGATATCATCTTGTCTACGCATTTCGCATCAGAACCGTGAATCACAGAGCATGGTCCTGAAAGTTCAGAACTCCCATTCTTAGGTAAAACATTTTCGGGTCGTAAATCCGAGTCCTCCAGCAATCAGACGTGCGACGATTACTTTAGTTTATTATCCAAACCCCTTGAGTTCAAGTCCTCGCAGACCACATTTCCTTCACCCAAGTCTTCTGTCGTCGATGAGACTTGCGAGGTTAATGACAAGAAAGGTGTTGTCAGTGTTGTCGGAAGTGCAACTTTCAGGAGCTTGAAGACAGGCAAAGGATGGGATGAACAGTTGATATACCGAATGAGCGAATTCGATGAGGAAGGGAAGATTAATCTACAGGAAAACTGCTTTCGGTATATCAATTAGAAAGATGATATTGCCCTTATATCATCAAGAATGGAGATATAATCCAACCCTTTTTATTACTACATATAATCGCTGTAGCCCATTCTCGATTGTCTAATTGTATTACCTTGCTTCTGCCACATTGTTCAATACTAATTACGACCATTCCAGGACATATTACACCTATCATAAAGTCGGTTTCATCGAAGTTATAGAAATCGGAATCGACAGTACCATATTTCGCCTACATATTCGATACCAATCCAAACCATTCTTCAATAAACTTAGGATCTTCACAGAAAGCTTTTTGAAAATTATAAATGTAATTAAAACATATCTTTAATTCTGAACATCGTTTAATAAAGCGATAAGCCTAGAGTTTTCCAACCTTCTTCGCACCCTGCGATTCGAGGATATAATTCATTATATCTTCTATATCATTTAATTTAGATACAAACCCTTTCTTATCTATAACGTGGTTTATCAGTAACCGGAACATATCAGTAACCGGAACACTTTTACCTCAATTACCCACATTCCATTAAAATAAAATTACAACAACACCATAAATTAGGATTGAATTATATACAATCTAAAGATCAACTAATGCTGGATCGAACTGACAAGTTCGTGCATTATGTAAAGTACTACCGCATTTGCTACATCGTCGTATAGTAGCTTGCCTCCTTGCTGAAGAACCATCATTTGTATATTCGTCGTGTTGTATCTGATCTTCTACATTTTCTTGTTCTAATATACTATGCTTATCTTCTATTGAAAATGCTCCTCTTTTTCGTATTAAAGCTTTTCTAACTCTCCGGTGTTTACTAAGTGCTTTATTTGCTTTGCGGAGATTATGAACCTCAGCAGTTAAAAGCGTATTCGCATAAGCTAGGAGCTCTATACCCTTAGCTAAAGCTGCAATTGTTTCAAATATTGGAGTAGATGAGCTTCCTTGATGTTGAGCAATACGACTTTTCACTAAAGTGGATTGGGAAAGAACTTCAGTTGGATTGTGAGATGTTTGAGATTGCTATATATCAGGATCGGCTGATATTGATCTATTTGATAGAGTTCTTATTCGAATATCTAGCTTTGAAAGTACAATTTCCGGATTAAATGGGATTAGCCCAGCTCTGCGGAACCTAGCTTTACTATTTGATATAGATATTGCTTCGATATATACAGCTTTGAAGGCTTGAAAGAACTCGGTTTTGGTAATATAAGTGATATGCGCCTTGATAAAGTTCTCGATTTGTCGATTATATGAACACTTTAAAGGATCAAAACAATTGATATCGAGTGGTTGAGTTAAATACAAAGAATGAGGTAACAAACTAAGTAATATAATGTTATGTTCCTTGTAGTATTCCTGAAATGCTGGTGATTTATGATTTTCATGTCTATCAAGTATTAGCATTCGATATCTACCCACTTTCCTACTTTCAATATGTTTGTTGAAGTGCTTAATCCATTCAAGATCTGTCTCATTATCTGTCCATCTATTAATAGTAGGTTTAATAAGCCAATCATATAGTAAATCGCCTTCGGTATATTAATTTGAAAGGTGGTATTCGCCTTTTACTATCAAAAACAAAGGTATATTATAACCTTCTCCATCAATACAAATAATCGCTGTAGCTTATTCCCGATTGCCTGGCTGTATAGCTTTGCTTTTTCCATATCGATCAGTTTTAGTAATTACTATATATAATGATATTTGTCCCATCATAAAGCCTGTCTCATCGAAGTTGTAGAAATCGCAGTCTAGAATACCATATTTGGCCTGCATATTCGATACTAATCGAAACCGTCTTTCAATAAACTCTGAATCTTCGCAGAGAGCTCTTTGAAAGTCATAAACGCGATTAAAACACGTCTTTAATTCTGTATATCGTTTCACAAAGCGATGAGTCCAGAGCTTTCCAACCTTCTTCGCACCCTGCATTTCGAGTATATAATTCGCTATATCTTCCATATCACTTATTCGAGGACTAAATCCTTTCTTGTCCATATCGAGTATATATTGAATAAGTACTTCTTCTTCCAAATCAATCAAATTATGGCTTTTTGGTCGAAATTCCGTACAAGGGGTTAAACCATTCATTCTGCGGATAAATATTGTATACGATATATTATATAGCTTTGCAGTCTTCCGAATGCTTAATTTTTTATCTTTTCGAATAGCTTCGATAACTAAGAGTATTTGAGCTTCTTTATTATTCGATTGCATTATAGATTGTTGATAAATCGCGTATTGAAGTGGAAAGATAATAATTGAGGTAAAAGTGGTGCACATGCTGATATGGTGCACATACTGATATGGTGCACATACTGATAAACATAACCCGCATCAGGTAACCAATTAGTTAGCAGGATCATGTGACAAGTGTCACCTGATCCGAAAGCCGACCGACTCCCTGAGAATCGATCGGCCCTGAGAATTGATCGGCCCTTCAAGAGTCGATCGACTTTCAGAACACGAAGGTCTATATAATCAAGATGGATTTCCTTTGTATAGAGCTTCGTGCTCAAGATCAATCATTTAGTATACTCTACTATTACTTACGAATAGCATATTATTATTGTCATTACTTTAAGTCCCTACTTGACGCCTAGTTATAAACCTACCTCGAGCCTAGAGCACTTCCACGTGATCTAGACGGCTACCCTCGTAACAATAAAATTATAAAATGTTTAAAATTTTCATTTATTTTGTATAGGAAAGGCATTATATGTTACGTGACGGTTGTTATCCCACTAGTGGCTCACGTGCACTAGCCCTGTATATAAAGACCTTCTTACTTAGAATCTTCTTAGTTCTTGTTACGAGGTTTGCCGTCTAGATCACGTGGAAGTGCTCCAGGCTCTCGAGGTGGTTTATAACTAGGCGTCAAGCAGGGACTTAAGTAATGACAATAATGATATGCAATTCGTAACTAATAGTAGAGTATACTAAATGATTGATCTTGAGCACGAAGCTCTACACAAAGGAAACCATCCTGATTATATAGACCTTCGTCCTCCATTGGATCTCTTGAATCCTGAGAGTTTGTGGACCTTCGATTCGTATGGACCTACGATTCGTATGGACCTACGATTCGTATGGACCTACGATTCGTATGGACCTACGATTCGTATCCCTGAATATGCAGGGTCCATCACGTGACTTGGATCAGACTATATGTCTGTGCTTGCTGAAGGTGGGGAGACTCTACGAACCGATTACCATACAAAATTGTATGCGAATCGGTTTGCTTTTCCACGGGGTCTAAGCTCATATGGACAGGTTGACTGTTACTACGTAACAGTTCTTTAGTTTTAGATTCTAAGTGATTGAATTGACTCCGTTTACGACTTTTCCGTCACATTATATAAACGAGATTTTAAAAATAAATTGTAAAATTTTCTTCTTTTTCTAGTTAATTATTATATTTGAAGATTTCAATTGATTTGATAGAATATTCAAAAAGTTATTTGATATTTAATTTTATATGAGAAATTGTAGTTTTTGCAGGGATTTGTAACGATACTGTACTGGAGGCAGCGGCTGCCTGAGGTCTCGTCGGGTTGGTAGTTGTGGGTTAAGGCTTTTATCACTGGTATTCACTTGGAAGTGAATTCGTTACTAGATCAAGTAGAATGTAGGTAGACTAATTGATAACTAAGTTGAGCACGAAGCTCTTATACTATGAAAATAATAAATGTTTATATACTGGTCCTTTCCAGGAGCCTGGAGGAGCCTATGCTCCTGGAGGCTCCATCACGTGATCCCTACTTGTCCCACATGATGGTGAATCGTGACAGGATTTTGTTACAAAATGTTACGGTGTGCGGCGAGTAGATTCCAGAATTCTTACTTGACAACTCATCCAGGCAGGGCTCACAAGAAGTGTTTAGGATATGATTATTTCTGATTTTGCTTGAAAAATGATACAAATAGGACAAGTGCTAATAACAGGAGAAGACCATGCTTTAGAACTACTCCGCACAGAAGGAAGTAAACTATCAAATAAGTTGGGTGTATTCGAATTCCTCGAACAAACAACCAAATAAACAAACAAGCCCGTAAGGATAAAGATATGATCTTTTCCTTACAACAGCAAGAACTTTCTCTACCGATGCCTACTTACCCAAGCTTCTAATAAATGTCATCTGTGATATACTCGATGGAGTATATACGAGTATATCTTCGTTCATTATGTTTCACTTTCACTCAAACTTTTGGCCCCACACCCGGCCTTAGGTATTTCCGCCCGAACCTTGAATTCTAGAATCCCATTAACAAATTCCTTCTCCATCATCTCCCAAACGGACCATCGACCCGTCAAACATGTCCGGTGATTATTCCTCCACAGGCGGCGGCCTGAAACTAAAAGGCGTTAGTACTGGCGCTGGTGTTACCAAGAAAAAGAAAAAGAAGAAGAATAACACAAGCACAACGACATCTACCTCGACCGCCGAATCCGAAACATCTTTACAGAAAGCCTTGAAGGATGAAGATAACCTAGAAATGAAGGGCTCTGGAGAAGATGGGTCAATGGGAGTGAGTGGAGACCACTTAAAGGAATTGGATCCGCGCGATCAATCTGGGAAAACGGCATCGGAGCGAGCGCACGAGGAGATGAGGAGAAGGAGGGTGTGTTATTTCTTCCATTCTTTCCCAACCACCTTCCAAGTTTGCCCCATCAAACATTTACTTCATGCCTGATCAGGAACAATGGCAGTCAGGAATCATGGTATCCACAGAGAAATAAATACTAACGATATTTCCACCATAGTTAAACGACCGACTCAAACGTGAAGGGGTAAAGACACATAAAGAGCGAGTGGAGGAATTAAATAGATATCTAAGTACACTGAGTGAACATCATGACATGCCCAAAATTGGACCTGGATGATCGGACTTCAGGAACCAGGAGTGTGTGGATTACGTTTCAGGGACAGCAGGCGTTCGGGGAGTTTATAATAGGATGGATGCATTTCAGCGGATTATACGATTTTTTTCACTTCGAATCTGTGAATGCCAGAAAGAATATTACAAGGAACGTGTGGTTCGAGGACCCCCGAATACAATTTACGGTATGGTTTAATGGCCGCTATGGCACAGGTGGGAATGATGAGGAGCGCACGAGACGTAAATGGATATACCAGATTAACGAATATCATTTTATTGTAAAGTCGACCTACGAGTCACAATTAATGGGGTACATGGACATCTGCTTCATAGCTTACTGCGTGAGCCATTTTTCTCTGTGGCTGTTGGACGTGGCCGCCGCCAGACTGGAAAATAAAGTATTGATGATTTAACGATGAGTGATGCGCTCTTGACACAGGAGCGGTTTCGAGGGGCCATGAAAGAATTTGGTACAGAGGCGCACCGAGATGACTGGTGGTCGCGTAAAGTAAACAAAAATATCGAAAACATTGAACGAACAATTCTTGCGAGACTTAGGAGGCTCTAAACGACTTGGCAAAACAGTTTGGAACTAGGAAATCCCGAAAATTTTGAGCAATGGAAAACGATGAAGAATTCGCGGGCACGTATAACTATTCACACTTAACGATTGAGCGTTAAACACAAAGCGGTACTAGTTTTGAAGGTGTACTTGGGTGCATTATCGTTTTTCCAAAACCCCTTCACCACTATAAGTCCAGTTTGCTATTCCATCGTATTAACATACATTAATTTTGTCCACTATCAATAATCCATATCCACGAGTCTTCCATGTAAAGTATAACACTGTTCAGTTCCTAACCAATTTTTCCCAGAAATGATGCGAAGCAAAGCACATGCCCCATGATGGAGCTATTCCAATCTATGCGCCAATCCAAAGTCCGTTAATAAAAGAGTGATGATAAACTCGTGCCAAGTCGTTACGGTCGTAAGAATGAGCGACTGATAGTTGAATAAAATCTGTGACCGTAGAAACCTGACACCGAACGGTATGCAATTGTGTAAATATCAAAAGAATTCTAATTCGATGTGTTCGTCCTGACGTTTTAGCCTATAATGCACCGATCACCACCATTCCGAATGCACCCAGAACCATGTTGATTCCCATATTGTTCTTTCCGGCACTGTTGGTTTGCAATGATGCTTTTCCAGATGAGGTGGTGGAGGATCCACCGGACGATCCGCCAGTGACTACAGCAGGGACTACTGTGACAGCTGTGACTGTGGAAAGGGAGCCATTGGGTAAGGTTGTAGTGAAGACTCGCGTCGATGTGCTGCTGCTGGTTGTCACAGTGGCTTTTGTAGGAGTATCGTCTGCGGGAGAAGCTGTAGATTCAGCCATGTTAGTAGATCTTGACGTAACAACCACGATAGAAGTAGAGCCAGTAACAGTAGTGCTCGCAGAACTAGCTAATGTAGACAAAACATCAGAACCGGAAACCTCTGCAGAAAAACTTGAGGCACCAGCCAAGGTAGTGGCTCCAGAGGCAGTGGCCTGAGAAGTCGACTCCCAGGTAGGAAGGGGGACCTCACTTGTAGAAGCTCCAGAGGCAGTGGCCTGAGAAGTCGACTCCCCGGTAGATAGGGGGGCCTCACTTGTAGAAGCTCCTGTAGTAACGGAGACAGGAGCAATAGTACTTGATGTTGCTTCAGAAGCTTGAGAGGTGGTGGTGGACGCTCCCGTTGTAGGTGTAGCGACTTGAGCTGATGCAGAGGTCCGAGATCGAGATGTAGAGGTAGCAGTCGATCCTGAATCCGAGTATAAGTCTAAGCCAGAAAACGATGAAGAAAAAACATTGCTGGGAATATTGACGAGAGTACTAGAAATTGAGGTTGCAAAGCTGTCCTGAGATCGAATGGGAGTGGAAATAGGTAGCAGCAAGACAACGGAAAGATTGTCATATCCAAGGACACTAGAAGTGGATGTTATAGCCAAGGAAGTTCTATACTTTCCGGAACCAGAACTTAAACCAGACACGGAAATTGATGAAGGAGTATGATATCCAATAGAACTAGAGTCCAAAACAGACACGCAAATTGATGAAGAAGTATGATGTCCAACAGAACTGGAACCCAAGAATGACACAGCTGTGGAAGGATATCCAACGGAGCTAGAACTAGAACTAGAACTATGACTAGAACCAAAAACAGATGCAGCCGTAGAAGGGTATTCAGGAGAACTGGAACCAAAGACAGCCACAGTCATAGAAGGGCGTCCAGTAGAACTGAGATCAAGAACAGAAACAGCGCTAGAAGGGTATCCAAAATGAGTAGAACTAGAAATCATGGCATTAAGAATCACAGAGAGACCTCCCAAGGATATCATTGAACTTGCAGGTATGTGAACCGCAGACGATACCGTGGAACTTGATCCCAAAGACATCGACGTGGCAGGGTGAGAACCTACGGTCGAAGTCGTGGAATCGTAAGGTGTTACAGTAGCAAAGGAAGCAGAAATAGTTGAATTCACAAAAAAAAAGCTGAGAAACGTAAAAGCAGAAGTGGAAGTGGGAGAAAAAGAATGCAGGGTCGACCCGCTTTTGAACATACCCGGCCTTGTAGTTGTCGTAGGCGTCGAGACTGGTGTAGTTGTTGTAGGCGTTGCGACTGGTGTAGTTGTCGTAGACGTTGCAACTGGTGTAGTTGTCGTTGTTGGTACTACTTGCGATGATGTAGTTTCGTCAGTTGTGGCAGCTCGGGAGGATGATGTGGAAATTTGAGCACTTGTCGAACTTGGAGCTGTGGTTGGGGAAACTGCTTGAGTGGTGGCAGAGGTCGTTGCAGGTGTTCTCTCCGAGGTGCTAGTTGATACAACAGATGTAGAAGATGGAGCTACCGAAACCGAAGTTGAGGAAGGGGAGGTTGTGGCCGGCTGGGAAGTGAGAGTAGTCAAAGTGGCGCTCGATGTCGTACTCTGAGCCTGGGTAGTCGTCGAGTTCGAGCCAACCTGTCTCTTGGCCAATTCAACCATAGCATTTGCCTTTGCTGCCTCAACCAAGGCGTGTGCGACCCCGGGTTCCTGCCTGTACACAGCCTGCATAGCTTCCTTATCATCTTCGTATACACCATGTTGATATTTCTCTGTCATGTGTTGATGGAGCACATCATGCAGCATGGCAGGCTCAATAGTATCCAACAATTCCCTGAAAGCTTGTTGATCCTCCATACAAGGAGGCGAGACATTTCCTGGATTCCGGTTCGTCGTCGTGGCAGAAACGATTGTGATGGTGAGGAGGGAAACGACCATAAGAGTTAGGAGGAATTGACGAATTGAAGGCATCATGTCCGACTTTCGAGGTTTATCCGCTTCGATATCTTGCTTCTCGTTGGGGAAGTAATCGGTCTTGCTCATCAAGGAACTGTTGATACTTAAGCCGAGCTTTTGCTCAAGGTCTTGGATCTTCCGTCCATTAGCGGCTGAACTCATGATTGCTTGACCAAGTTATCTTAGTCAAAAGAACAAAACCCAAGGATTGTATTAGGGAATTAGGTGAATGTCAATGCAGCTATGTATAAGCCTGTAAATGAGGTGCAGTAGTGTGCTGCAATGCCACTCAAGGTAGAACGAATGAAGAGAGCGAGCAAGAGAGGAAAAACGAAGGATGATGGTGATTGAATTGTCAGACAATTGAATGTATGACAAGAATTATTATGAAGGACGATAGAGCGATTGATTGTTAGAGAAAGAGTGAGAGCATGAGGGTTGAGGATTGAAACAAGACAAGAAAGGAGATCAAAAGGTTCTAGCCTTTATTTTTCACCAGGGCATCACTTGCCTTTATGCTGTGTGTGGCTGGGTAGCTAGCTAGTAACTGTCAGCAGTAGCTATGAATAAATACTAGGTAGCTGCTAGGTAGTTTTTATGGACTTTTATGTTTTGCCATGAGTACGTACTGTATTAAACGTACGGACGATATTAATGCGGAGAAAGGAAGGAAAGACCCGGGGGAAGAGCATGGGGGTAATGCTTCAGTGATAGATTGATTGATTACCTACCTACTCCTCCAATTTTTTTCTTTTAGTTTATTCTTCACTAGAAAGTACTGCGGCTGCGGGTTCCAGTCGCGATGATGAAAGCCCCAGCTGTGCCTGAATTAGATGCTAAAAAATGGCAAAATAATAAAATGTGCTGCGAGAACCTCGGGCTGTGGGCTTGGAAAGGGAAACAAGCATTATTTTTTGAGTGATGCATCGCAAGGATATAGGGTAATATCCAGGGAACATGCTGAAAAGAAAGGGAGTCAAAAGGCCCAAAGCAAGTCTCGCGAACAAGGAACTGTTCCTCCTGTGGATTCGTGAAAGAGATCTCCAAGGAGTTAACTTTCGAGGTCGAGGGTTTGAGGGGATGCAAAATGTAGTATAAAATGGTACGGAGTGGTATTGAAGGAAACGTTGTATCTCAACATACCTTTCTTCAATGAAATTGGTCCTTGTGTAATATCTTGTCCGTGGTTGTACCTTTAACTTATCCGTACGTGAAGTAAAAAAACGTAAACTAAAGATAGGGAGGAATGAAAGTCGTGGGTGAGACAATAAATGTAAATCGACCGAGGATGCAAGATCTTACGAAGCGATAACGAGAAGATTCGGAGACATTATACGTTTCTTATTGATTTACCGGTACATGTGATGGCGATGATCTTTCTGAAAAAAATAATAATAATACGAGGCTAAAGCTAAGAGATGCAGTATGCAGACATGAAAGTATGCACACACTGCACAGTAATTACTAATTAACAATCGATGCATTGACTGTTCACTTGTTGACTCAAGTTTTCTTCCCGAATGAAAGATTCCTTCTAGTGCATGTTCTGTGCCAAAGTACACCCGTTATACCCTACCGTCGACCGAGAGGGGTCCATGTTGTCAAATGTCTCAAATCTCAATGTCGAAACTGCTTCGTAGTCGCTATGACATGATTCCCACCAACCTACGAGCGAAGACTTCTCTCAGCCCTCAATACGGAGGAAGGTTATCCTTAGGTGAAAGAAAAGTTCGCCCCCCTCGTAAGTCGTCGTCCAACCAGAAACGAAAAGCATCCCAACCTTCGTATCCGGCTCGAGATCCCCGGTTCGTCTGTGTTGTGCATATGAAAAATCCATCGCGTCAAGAACTCATCCTGTCACCACTCACTCACTACGCCATTATCGATGATCCATATTTAAGAGACCCATCCGCCTTTATAGATATCATTGCAGCAAATCGCTAGTCCCCCAAAACCAAACCAAACATTCGTTCCCGTGAACTTTTCCCACAAGCCTCTTCAAGCCCTTAGCCCCGTATTCAAAACGGAGAGGGCGACGCGGCTGTGCATGCAAGACATTTATCCCCAAGTCTCGAACCTCTTAGATCTCTTCCTATCCATCAAATACTCCACCTTTGGTATTTTCGAGGTTGGTGTCTCCCCCCCCGTCACTACTAACCCGAGGAATACAAATCTCTTCGCCGAATCGTCATTCGTTACTTACCCTTCTCAAATATTTTCTCCCATCTTGTTCTTGCTGGATTTGCCACAGAGAAGAGTACGTGCAGCATCCTTCAGGCAGCATTCACCCATGACGATTCTGCAAGCATACAACATTTCACCAAAAAAGGGGTCTCAGAGCCATCAAGTATATATAAGAAGCCCCGATCGTTCCATTTACCCATTCACAACTATTTCAAAAATACATACAAAAGAATCGAACGTCTCGTCCCATCTTAGTCTCCGCAATATCACCCTCTTCGTCTCTTATCACCACCACCAAACGGACAAACTTAACACCAAAAAAGGGTAGAGCGTAAAGGTCTCTGTTCATCTTCCCACTTCCTTATATTTGTGATTCCCTATCCATTCTTTCCCGAACCCAACCCAACCCAACCCATCCTTCGTCCGAGCCATCCCAATCATAAGAGTCATATTAAACCAATTGTCGTTGGATTCTTCGTCTCATCCCCGCCCTAATGACCCTATGAGAACCTGTCCCACTCCCAAAAAGCCCAGAAGTTTAAATCCCAATTCATTTTTGTTTTTCGTAAAAGCATTCATGACACATAAACTCCTTTCCCAACGCCAGTAATTCATCAGATCATCGAATTCATGGCAGTCTCATTTATACCTTTTCTCCTTTCTTCTTTATACCATCCTTCTATATGACGCGGAAGGGAGGAAATCTCCGTGACAGGATAACAAATCCTTGATTCCACGAGGCAGTGCGCCCAAACACATACCAAATCCGAATTCCACATCTCGAACCGCCACAAATCGTCCATTTAAAATCCTTCGATAGTCGTTAAGACGGGTCCCCCTTGGCTTCGCAAACACAAAAGAACTAAATACACGCATACAACAGAAGGCGGGAAGAAAATGGCGTTATGATCTGGGACCCCCAATCTATATATACCAATAGGTAACAGGCATTTCAGAGCTGTCCTAGTTTTGGTTCCATGTTAACGAAAATGTGCTGTGAAATCATCTGACAACAGCCTCGCTGTCTCATTATGGATTATTATTGAGGCGAGGGAGTGTGTGCTCATGGCCGTTGACGTGTTCAGGTTCTTCTCCTCTATTAATGTCTGCACTCTTCCGTCGTGGTGCTAGGGCCGAAGAGCTGATGTTGCTTGGTCGGTCACCGGGTGGACTCTTATTTCGCTCACGCTCGGCCTCCTTTTCCCTGCTTTCATCCCGCTTTTCACGCATCTTGCTCTTGATCCACCCTAAAGGCCCCTTCCTCTCCTCAAGCGCCATAGATCCACTTTCATTGCTAGAATAGATATGAGCGCTGGGGAACCCTGAGTCGCTGGTCACAGGCACAGTATCGCCAGTGAAACTCTTTCGAGGTCGGCCTGAGCTGCCTACAGAACTTGAACTTGCACCAGCACCGCTATCCGACCCGTTTTTCTTTGGACTGAGTGCAGCTCCAAGTGTATTCGAGTCATCCCGACGCCGCGACATACGCCACAACGTACGTTTTTCTCTCGCTTCAGCGAGAGCTGGATCTTCCCCGTGATCAAGATCTGATTGATCGTTGAAAGATGAATGGGAATGTAAGGAGGACACAGGAGATATAACAGGCCTTAGTGTCCTATCGGACGGATGGTGTGGATCCTCTGGTCGCATCGGCGTAAAATGGGCAGGTTGTTCGGCCCGCGGAGTCTCCGTAGCAGGGGGTGTAGCTTGGGTGTTGGATAATATTGGGTTTAAAGCTGAAAGGTTTTCCAGGCGCGGATGATCCGAGTGGTCCGGATTGACGCGAGATGCATGAAGGCCTGGCGAAACTGATGATGAGCGCCCATCCAAAGAATTCGTCGAACTCTGAGCGCTAGGATTTGAGCTTCCTGGAAGACGCTTTTTCCTTAGTTTGTTAGGCTGTCGCTTGTCGGCACCATCTGTTGGCGATCGCTGGAACAGGTTTGAGACAATTCTAGAGGGAGTAGAGACTTCAGAAGAGCGCTCGTTAGATTCGGGGATCAGCCGCTCTTGACTGGTCACGGTATGAGCTGTATCGGCAAGGCTTGATTCAGTAGCGGTATTGAGTGCTAAGCCCGGAGACGATGGTAACAGGTGGGCAGAAGATGGAGGGAGTCCGGGTGAAAGAGCTCGGGGTCGGTTAGAACGGTTGGTTGTTAACCCTGCCGGGGTTGGTGAGGGTGGCCCTGAGTTTTTATTCATTCGAGACGATGGTAATCCAGGGGACTTTTTAGAAGGTACAGTATTGCTTCGATGGATGCCCCCACTAGGTGAAGAAGTGAGCGTAACACCATAAGCTGGGCTTGCCGGACTAGGTGCACCATTTGACTGCCGTGAATGATGAGAGGAGACAGACACGTTACGTCGAATGCCACCAAACTTGCGCACACTATCAGCTCCTGCGCTGGCATTTGAGGCGGATCTACCAATTGTGCCCTTCGATCTACCAGGTGTGGTAGGAGTTCCTGGAGGAGGGGTACCGCCGTTTTCAACCTCATTCAGAGTTTGCTCGTCCGCTGCCGTGCCTCTCATACCAATTAGGAAATGATCTTGATTCTCAATCAAGAAAATTAGTACGTCTTGACTAAGACGATACTCTGCAGGTGCCATATCGTGTTCAGGATGTGAAAGCATACCAGGTTGGAAGATGGCTGCGAGGTTGACGGCTGTCATTCGATTTTCATCGGATTTTGAGGCAAACACTGCCAATAGATCAAGGATGTATAACAGTAGCTGGCGGTTCAATGGAGGTAATTCGGTAATGAGTTGCTGATAAGTGATTATGGCCTTATTAACATCGAAATTATCGGAAAATTGCGGGCTCCCATCACTGTCGCCAACTGCTGCCATAGTATGACCTCTTAAAGGCTCTCTAAATCGAGAATATAGATCAAGCGGAACAATTGGTTCTGGTAGTAAATTAAGATATCTCCGTAAAACGTTTGCCGCATCATGAACTGTGTACCCAGCCCAATCAAGACCTTTCCCATATCGATCAGGAGAATCGAAGATGGTTTTCAATTCTTTGATGCGCTTTTCCGAGCCACTTAGCCGGAAGATTCCCTCAACATTGGTTGCTGTTCGGTTTAGCCATTAGCAAAGTATAAGGATAAAACTTCAAGGCACAAAACTCACCTTTCTCTTTCAAGTAAACTCCACACTTTGCAACCACTATTGGTACATAACCATATATGTAGCTCTGCCCTTCGGCATCGACAAGGGAAATAGCCACATTTGCATATGCAATGCTCTGGCGCAAAGGTACCCCAAATATACCTGTTGGTTGGGATTCTGGATTTTCTTTTGTCAGTTTTGATTTTGCCACTGCTACCCGATTTCAAAAAATAAGAATTTGATGTGACGATAGCGACGGAAATTCAACAATTGCTGACTTCGGCTTTGAGGGGTGATTTGCGTGTTTGTATGATTTCAATGGTAGTTATGGATACGGATTTTGGAGCGCTGCTTAGCTGCTATATCCTTCAAAGGATTCCTGCTGAGAGAGCTTCTCCTTCTTCGTCTCATGCCACTGGTTGGCTGTGTTTGAATAGTTTCACAGTTGGAAGTGGGTTGAGAATGGTCCAAAAATGTTTTTCCCCAGATACTACACTGGAAGGTGATGGATAAACCACACTACCAGACATATACCCTTGAAGAGACTGTGTATTGTTGAAAATGTGGAATTCGGTTATGCCGTTGTTGACGCTTCTTCTGCTTTTGACCTGGTGTCCGTTGCAATTTCTGGAATACCAAATACTATGGATGTAACGCTGTCCACCGGGTTCTCCTTGAATAGACGGTATAAATTTCTTGGCAGATGGGAAACAAAATTATATGGAAAGCATGTCCCAGATCCTTACTATTTTTCTGGGCTCTCAACAAAAGGAAATTTAGGGGGTCCTCACCAGTGCCTGATTCCTGAGTCTTTGCAGGAGGCCTAAACGTTTTCCACCAGCTCTTTAAACTCTGCTTTGTTGGGGGCGATGCTTGTTGTATGGGCGCTAGCTGAGGGCTCGAAAAGGGCTGTTGTGTAGTTGAAGAGGTAGGATGATCAGACAACATATTGGAGCTGTTCGATTAGGTCTGCTAATCGTCCAGATGATATATGAATGGTACCTCCGGCGAAAATGGACGTCGCAAAGGACCAAGAGGTCCAACTCTTCTGAGAAAAGACACAGGCAGCAAAGTTCACTTTTCGCAGTCAGTGGAACTATGTATACTGTTGATCCGAATGTGCCAAGCGATATAGAGAATCTTCTAATGAGGTTCCGATCAGTCGCAGTCGAGAATGAGGATGCATGCGACAGCAATGGTAGATATTGTTCATGTGGGTACAATGATTGTCTGTGGGGGATGTGTTGCTGGAGGGGCTTATTCCCACTTGCGACGCGACCAGGTCTTGAGCAAGTACAGTCGATAGATATTGGAGGAATTCGAGTTCGGCGAAAGCAATAGTAGTTAAGGTCGAAATTGGAGGGACAAGTTGTGAGCAAAACAATCAAGTCCTGCGGGACAATATTTCTGTAAAGTTGCTGGTAATTGTTGAAAATGTCTAGGAAAGGTGGTTGTTGATTTGAGGTGAAAGAGTTCGGACTGTAGAAACTTAACGAATGACGCTAAAAGTGCAGTGCAGCACAGTACATTTGAGTGTACAGTAGTGTGTGTCTATAGTGGTGTAGCAAGCTTTCAGTTAAATTTGCCCTGCTGACCATGAAAAAGAAGGAGAGGACAACATTTCAAGAGAGGACATCAGACATCAGACACCAGACTTCAGGGTTTTGTTCATTTTTTTTTTTTTTGGCTCGAGCCTACTATTGTGCTAAGTCTTGACATTTATACAAGGCAATCGATCATAAGCTCAAATCCGAGTTCAGATTACTGCGTACAACCCAAAGATTGACAACGGGAATCATCTTCTTATGAGGTTACTTTCAAGTTTTATCTCAATATATATATATACCTAGTATTCTTAGAAAATAAAATCATAATCAATACTCCTTGAAAAAACCAAGTGCTAATTGATCTACCAATGATTCGCCCTGTTTAGAGAAGGTTAGGTACCGAACAGGATCTGGACTTTTTGGCTGATGGTCTCCAGGTCTTCAGGTCTCCAGGTCTCATTGAAGGGGGAAGGGGGGTGGTCATGGACTCATGGCTAGTGCATCTATAATTAGATGAAATATTTGATCATTTTCTAGATACCTATGAAAAATGTCAATACATGAGTTGGCAAAACACGATTGATATTGCTCCAAGTCATATCCAGAGCGACGAAAACAAGTGATTGGTAAATCTAGGACGAATCCCTTGATGTAGGCGACATATAGGAGTTCCGATACTAATTGATACTGGTGTGCTTGGTACTTGTGAGTTCTGTAGTTTCAGGCGGGGCAGAGTTGAAGTCAACTACCTAGCTACCCAGTCCCTAGTAGCCATTGAAGAGAAACAATATCATAGGCTACCTACTGACAGAATTGCTTGGTCCTTTCGCATTGTACTCTCATGCACCAATTTGGAATGTAATGCGCAATGTTCCAGTGTTTGCTTCAGGCATGCGAGTAGCTATAGGAAGGATAGTGGATAGTGAACCTTTATCTACGTTTCTCCAGAGGATGATCTTGAAGTTACCGGGAGAAAGAAGTAATATGTCCCTCAGAAGCGATTTGGCTAAAGAAACTAAGGTTGGCTCCCTGCGACCGTTAGTCAAATGAAAATACATGATGCTATTTCTGTTTATTGTTTATTATTCTCCTTTCCTTTCCTTTTCTTTCCTGTGTTTGTTCTGTCTGTACACAGACACAGAGTACGGTAACATCGATGGAATAAAGAAACCTTTGTGCAGGGGCCAATCCACATCGGATAAAAGCTATCATGATCCCGATAGGTAAACGGACCAATGACATAAGCTCCAGTCATTTATTTACCTTGGTAAAATTCAATTTGGATGGGTAGCTTCCATCCAGGAACACATAGAAAAGTTTATCAGCCTCATCAGCCTCGACAAGTCTTTTTATCAGTACTTCTCACACGTACTCAAAATCATCATCATGGACGGGTTGGTTACCTAGCTACTTTCTATCTATCTGGCTATCATAAGGATTTCAACTCGGATTTGCTAACGATAACCAAACAGACTTACCCCCGCCGAGCAAAGAGAATTCCAAAGCCGCATGGAAAGGAAGCAAATGAAAGAGTTCATGGGCGTAAGTCGATATTCTATGTATTGTCATTTCCCTCGCTCAACTGCAAAATCTTCCAATATTCCAAGCTGGAAAATGTACTAGAGACAATGGGAGGACGGGCCATTACACCCCGCACCGCACTTCATGTGTCCGCGGGGGAGATCCAAAATTCTACTTTGTTCGGATGGCTGGTATATTTCACCATGTTCTACCAAATATCTTTCCTTATTCCTGCCAGCCTGGTAGCGCCACCCAATCTGTCATCTTTAAATCTTAATTCACTTGCCCACTGGACCAACCGTTGCAGCTCTCATTGGGCTTCCAAATCTTTGTGCAAATCATATGGTGTTTAGGAACCTACATTGTTATGTATATGGCTGCACGGGATGTTCTGGCGGTATTCAGACACTATATTCTCAAACTGCCCATATATTAAGCAGTCCCCATACCTGCTATAATTCTGCACTTCTTTCCCATGGCCTTGCTTCGACTTTTCCAACTCAAAGACCAACTAACAACTCTTTTCCACCACACAGATGTTCTCCAACCTAGTTACCCACTGCTTCGATGCCTGCGTCGACGATTTCACCACCAAGTCCCTCATTGCGCGTGAAAGCGGTTGCGTCTCTCGATGTGTACAGAAGTTTATGGCGGGGAGTGAGAGAATCGGTCAGAGATTCCAGGAACAACAGGCACAGATGATGAGTCAACCTCCTCCTGGGTCGAGATAGATGTGGTCTATGGTTTGTCGAGGTATAATAGTGGAAGGTGCGGTGAAAATTGGGGTTGTAAGATAAATATTTGAGAAAAATTTTCGATGTCGATGCCAGAGGGAAGGATTGATATGAAAATAAATGCTGCATTACACATGACGAAACAGTATCCTTCCAAGGGAAGATATGTGTGGATACTACATGATGGAAAAGACTCCGAATTGCCCTCAAATTAGACGGAAATGTTCCCCTGAACTTTTAACGAATATCATTTTTCCAAGCAAAAAGCTTTCTGACTCGAGGCTTCGTATCCTGATCCTTCCTGCCATTGATACAAAAAAATAATTATGCATGTTCTAGCATTCAGTTTATCTCCCCCAAAGCAGAACGAACGCCACAACTCATCCATCATTTACACCCATTCCGTCCTTCCTTTTCCACTCAGGGATCGCCCCCAGTAATCACATCTCTAACCCCCATCATTTCAATAACCACTTTCTCCTCTAGCCGATCCAAGCAGCCCAAGGCTCCTGCCTTTCCAGATTGTATCTTCTTCCCTCTCCACTCCAATTCCTTATCACCCATGGGGACAATCCTCTCTCTTAATACTGCTCGACTGCCCAGCCAAAATTCTACATTCTCCGCTACTGCGCCAAGATCCCAATTTACCCCCGGGACAACTTGGATTCCTAGCAGCTGTTCTCTAAACCCATTGAGAATATAGACAATAAGAGCTATCGAGTGAACTTCTGAGGCCATTGATAAACACATGTGTCTTGGTTGTGATATCGAGGTCGTCCGTGAGGACTCAGGTGCGTCGAAAGCGGCTGCAGATTGAGCAAGGAGATGGGGAAATTGGTTCATGAAGAGCGCAACTTCTGTAGCGATGGATGCGCCGACTGAATGAAGAAGATTCAGAATTAAAGGAAGAATACCGCGGACCCAAATGTTGTAACAGCGTTGGATACCAGCACCATCAGCGAACGGAGAAACATTGCCGCGACGGAGATAAGTGGTTATGCTTGCGGAGCTGACCTGGCCAAGGACGCCATCAACGGCTAGCTGTTCGGCCATGGTGGCCATACTTGAGAGTTCTAAGAGGAAGAGGATGCTCAGCTCACCATAGATAGGATCGCCATTTATTGCGATTTGGTCAGACCAAGAAAATAGTGTAGTAGCTAAACGAGGAGTGTTGCAATTTGCCATGAGAGTCACGATTTGTGCGTGGTGAAATTCGATGCCAGGTATCCGAAGACTGGCTTGCAGAATGCCCGTAACGAGCGCGATGTCTTCTGGGGATGACTCTTCATGGTTTTCGTGAATGATATGAGCCAGGTCAAGCAAGCCCCCGGCAACTACACGCTCTACAATATCGACGACCATATAAATGTCTGCTGGTGATTCCGATTCCACTTTTTGTTTTCGTGTCGATGCTCTGAGTTCAATACCCCCCTGATTATTATCTTCGGCATGGACTCGCAGAGCCAGGAATAAGATTTTGAGGAGTAGTCTATAATACGGTCCATCCCCAGTTGCAATTGCAAGCTCAAAGTTTTTATCTAAACTCCGGATTGTCTCCCAGATTATCTTTAGTAGGCCCTTCATTTTAGAGCTTCTTGGGTTTACTTCTATCAATCGTTGACAGGCAACAAGGGCAAAGTCTGCCCGTGTTCGGAGTAATCGAGAATATAATTTTTCTGCTTGTGGGCTCTGCGCATTTGAGGCAAGGCACTTGAGAGCAGCATCAACAAGGGTCTCTTGTTGGCCAGATTCCTTGGTTATGTTGCTACTTAGCTCAACAGCAAGAATCTTCCAGGCGTTTAAAAGAGCCTAAAGTTGTTAGATCGAAACTGGAATTCAAGATTCGCTTACTTACCACCTGAGCATCAACCAATGATAAGTTGATGTTAGCACTCGCGAGTTCGAACTTATACCCGTCATTTCTGCGCCCTGTCCAAGCTACGTCGGAATGGAGCATTTGGTCAAGTATTTGTAGATCGTAAAAGTAGTTCTCCCCAAATTTGCGGTCCTCCAGATCCGTTTTCTTGAAACTCTGAAGACTAGATCTAGCATACTTGGAATCGAAATTTTGCTTGAGATTGCCATGGAGAGATGCATTGTAGGTCGGAAGGCCTCCCGCATTTTCGTAGTAATAGTCTAGGTTTGGCATAAGATCTTTGGCAATTGAAGGTTTGCCAGTTTGTCTAGAATGAAAGAGGTGCATAGCAAGAATTTCTGCAATGTATGCCGCAATTCGAGTACGATAACAAGCCTTGATTGCTGGCTCGCTTCTAGACGAAACTTGAATCGGTTTTAAGGTCTTTATGTAGTTAGAGAGATAAGTAATGAAGCCTGTGCTATTTCCCAGCTCGTACATGGTCCAAGGCCAAAAGTTTTGTGCCAAAGAGACGAATTCTAACATCATCAAAGCCTCCGAATCCGGAATATCTCCGATTTGTGAGAGATTGTCAAGAGCCGTGAGAAGTAGGGGTTTCGGTAATGAAGATACGGTAGCCTCTGGTTTCTTCTTCTTTAACGCATCTCTTGGTGTCTTACCTGTGAGAACATAATTTGCAAACCATTGCTGCCGACTGCTCATTATCATTGACAGGAAATGCCATATTGATCCAACATTTTCATCTCTAATTAAAGGGGTATCCAGGTCCGACACGACGTTAAGGAAATTCTTCGAAGTCTTCGCACCAAGGTAACCTAGAAGTGAAGGAGGCTCCGAGGTGCTACTCGAAGCGCTGACTATCATCGCTTCAAACAACTTTATGACGGGTGTGCGATAGCTATCATTTACAGCATAAAGTCTCGCGATGAGAGGTGCAGCGGTGAATAGCTGTGTCTCCAAGTGTGATGGTTTTTCTAATAATGCACTAATCCGAAGAAGTTTTCTGGAAAATTGAAGTGCTGATTTTACACCCTCAGTCACTAGCCGTGTTCGATTTGCATACAGCGTAGTGGGACGAGTATTGAAGCCATAGAACAAGGTCCGAAGAATTGGTCCAAACTTCATAGGGCCAGAGGACTTGGACAAAAAGCTATCAACGATGTGCATGGCAGCTGGCCTTAACGCCCCCATAATTGGAACAGGGGAAACCACATGCTCTTTGGGATCCCTGCCGATCTCTGACTTTGGACGAGAGTCCGACTGTGGTTGTTCTTCTGGATCACCTTGGATCCCAAAGGCATAGGTAAGCATTTTATCAAAGGAAGACATTATGGTACATGTGAGCTGGAGTTGTTCGCCTGGTAAATCAAACTGCCATGTGTATGAACTTTCCAGTACCTCCGTCAGGTATCGAGTAAAGTAGAGGAGAACCTCGGAGAGGACTTTATCGGCAACTCGAACATTGTGTTCCTGGACCTGGCTAAATCGAGCTGAGGCCGTGGTTGTCTTGCGGTTCCTCGCGATAGCATTTACTGCGAAGTCATTGACCAGCGCCTCAAAGAGTCGAGTGCATGATACGAGGAATGTGTATCTCCCCGATATAACTTCAATTCTTCCGACGATATTGGAAAGTTTACCACCATCACCACGATCGTTGAATAGAAGACCACTACGTCCAATAAGAGGCCAGACTCTTCCAGGCGAAAAAAGGAGCAACGCATGCAAATATTGTACGCAACTGATCAAAATGTCGAGCGATGCATCAGTGCTAGATTCGCTCGATTGCCTCTGCAACTCTTGCTCGAAGATAGCAGATATTACAAGTGTAATATCTCTGTTCCGATTCAACGCCGAACTAGCAGTCTGGAAGAATTCCGTAGCATCATTTTGGATTTCATGCGCCTCTTTTCCCGACCTGGATAAGGCGAGGAGCCCCGTCGCAAATGTTCCAATAATGTCAGCTACAGTCTCAGCGTCCGTTTCCATACCGGTAATAGCGTCATATTCTTCCCCCGCTACCAAATATGTTTCTAACAACTTCCCAAAATACCTCATACCACGATAAGCGTAGGTTAGGTAAACCACTTTCGGATCGTTTTCAACTATCATAACACCAGCTGTTCCCGCTGGAATACGTAGGTCCCCATTGGCTGCTGCCAACGCCAGTGCCTGTCCTTGGTTTCCATTTCCTATCAGAAGCCTTTTATTGTTCCCGCGCCCTCGGGGCTCAAACATCGGAAGATCGCTAGTCAGCTGAACAGAATTGTTGTTATCTTCCTCCTGGATCGTTTCATAATCTACGAACTGATATGGTAATGGGTATGTGAAGGTCGATCGAGAGTCTAGCAATGAGAATATTGACTCATGAGTACCTCCGTCAACAACGTGCAAATATGCCAGAGAGTGAACGAGGTTTTGAAAGGGAGAAGCTTCCCAAGGATAACGCATACTAGCATTTTGCCAGAACTCACGAACCAAGCCAACGTCTGTGACGAAATAGGTGATAGGCTCAAACTCGCTTTCAGCATTTCGTAGATCAACGAAATCCCAGTACTGCTGTCCACCATCTACAACAGAAAGAATGGTTTGCAGTGTTGGGCCATTGTAACCAATATCGGGCGCACTTGCCTTCATGAGCTCCAGTATCGCGATTCTCAAGCTTGAACCAAGTTGTGGCAGGAAAGGTGCCTCGTAGTTATCGCCAAGCGTTCTTGAAATGTTTGCAAGAACTTCGAACACGCGACTCTCGTTGACAGCGCTTAAAGCTAGATAATCAACGAGCTCATCCGTGATTTTAATTTGTTTCAGCACCTCTTCATAAGCATCTGGGGCAAGGATAGGTTCTGTTCCAATTGGCAATGGTTCATCAATATCTTCATCGTCATCACAGAGGCCCTCATGTCGTCGACGCTGGAGTCTCTCTCGAACAGCGACACGGACTTTGATGTGTTTTAGAATAACGCTCCATGCGAGGACTGCCGGGCCAGCGGTCATATAACTTGTGGAGGCTGCATCTGTGAGTATTTGATGTAGTTTAACGATTACAGCTTGGTTCAACAACCATGGTTTATTTGGACCCTCAGCCAAATCAGCGGGAGCTAAATCTTTAGAAGGTTTCTCCAGGAATATCAAACAGCTATCGACGTTAAGTATGGCGGCGCTTATAATGGCGGTGATAGTCTGCAAGGGCACAGCCACGGCCTGAAGAGTTGGATGAAGCTGTAATGTTTAGTCAGTAAGTAGCACATAAGAAAGATGGGTAATAAACGTACCATGCCCACCTCGTCCAGAAATTTGAACTTGCTAACAAAGGTAAACCATTCAAGTACAAGATCTGAGTGGGAAATTTCAAGCGCAGTATCAGAGGAAAATATATAATAGAATATTGTCTCCATCATGTGCGTTGCCTCAACAATCTGATTGCTTGCCCATTCAAGCTCGAGGTCATCACGTCCGTCACCCTCCAAGGACCATTCACTACCCCTCTCGTTGAACAGTTTTGTAAGTCCCGCATCGATAGTTTGAACCAGTTCCACCATACGATGCGGGGAGGCACCCAAGCTCTTCCACCTGCCTAAAACTTCTGTATGCAGACCCTCGTACCAATCGCCTGGTGAGGAACGCGGCGTCGGTGAAAGTCGAGGTCGTTGGATTATCAGCGTGAGACATTTCCAAAAAAAGCGTCTTTCTGAAAGATAAATGCTCAGCATACGCACGCGTCGGTTCCCCTGGCTTTCCTCTTCTGTTGGCGCAACCTCCGCACTTGTGCCAATAAGTGATCCAGCGGAGAGTAAATTTGTAGATCTTTTGTTGCCAAAGGCATCCTGGAGACTGATCAATTCTTCCTCGGAGAGTTTTCCCAAAAGTTGCGCATATGCCCGCGACTGATGTTCTTGAACGACTATTCGTAGAGCGGAAACCTCGTCGATTTTAGCTGTCCCACTCAACCATAGTGCATCTTCGGATACCTTCTTAACGTCATACTCTGCGGAGGAATGGTCGGCGTTGATCGGACTAAGCTTGGATTGGAATTCGGATTTGGTCTTAGTGGTGGGCTCCGGAAAGACATCGACAGGATTGGCAAGTAAAGATAATACTCTGGACTCTTTGAAGAATTTCTCAAGTGTAGATCGGGCTCCGCTTTCTTGAATGTTCAAGAGAGCAAAGAAGGCCGTCTCCCAAGAGCTATAAACATATTAGTAGGATGTAGATGGAGCTCAATTTCATGAAGCTTCACTCACATCAATATTTCTTCTCCTTTCAAACATTTACCCAGATCAGGAAAATAGCTAGCCTCTGCGACTGGGACCATATCTCCTACCTAAGCTCAATGAGCCAAGATTTGTGGTAAAGTGCTGTTCGAAGCATAAAGCATGAGAAAACTGAGTCTCGATTGATTTACCTAGCGTCTTCTTTTGCGAGAGATACAAAATAAACAATCAATAAAGTGAGACCGTTTTGTTTACCTAGGTAGTTAAAGATTTTGGTTGACGCGCCTTGTCACGATCAACTTTCTTCATTCGCTAGAGTAGATTGCGGATTTGGCGATTTCAGCCTTTCAGGTGAAGCTTTTTATTTTATTTTTACAGGGTTCAACCACCCTAGAGATTACGGAGAGATAGAGCAGAGGCACTATTTATTTATTTATCTTACCTTAGCACTCAACACCTACTAGGAACTACTAGTAATTACTAGTACCTACCTAGGTAAGTCTTACCTACTGCATGTATTCTCCCCACTATCATCAAATCCACATCCACATCCACATCCAAAAAAAAGAGGAACCTTCCTTTGACTCACGAACACCCAATATCACAAAGAAAATACAACATAACGAACCTTCCCTCCTTTGCCATAAAACTGCCTCTTTCTTTATCATCTATACTATATCACACTCATTCATCTGTTCAGATATAAGAAAGAGGAAAGGAGTTTCAGAATGCCTTCCGCAGACTTAATCGATTATTCTCCCCACCAGCCCGAGCCAGCTCCCCCGCTTCCCTCTGCTTCAAATGTGATTCTGATCGATAACTTCGACTCATTCTCCTGGAATGTTTACCAATACCTCGTTCTTGAAGGTGCAACAGTAACCGTCTACCGAAACGATGAACTTAGCGTCGAGGATCTTATTGCCCTCAACCCTACTCAATTGGTGATAAGTCCAGGTCCAGGTCATCCAAAAACAGACTCTGGGGTTAGTAGAGATGCTATTAAATACTTCGCAGGCAAGATACCTGTGTTTGGAGTCTGCATGGGACAGTGAGTAATGGGCAAATAATTGAGTGAGCCATTACTGAACATATACCCAGACAGTGCATATTGGACGTATATGGAGGAGAGGTTATATTTGCGGGAGAAATCTTGCACGGCAAAACGTCGCCACTGCGACACGACTCGAAAGGATTATATGCAAGTCTACCGCAAGACTTACCGGTTACACGATATCATTCCCTTGCTGGCACACATCCAACTATGCCCGAATGTCTGGAGGTATCATCCTGGATCGAGGCCGACGTTGGTGGAGGAAAAGGTGTAATAATGGGCATTAGACATAAAGAATACGTCTTAGAAGCTGTACAATTCCACCCTGAGAGTATCTTGACTGCTGAAGGCCGAGTCATGCTCAGGAACTTCTTGAAGATGCGGGGTGGCACCTGGGTAGAGAATGAACGTTTACAAAAAGAGGATGCGGAGAGTGTGGTGCCAGTCTCCAAGTCGGTTTCTACTAGTACCAAGAAAGAGAATATATTGGATAAAATTTTCGCGCATCGCAAGGCCGCAGTTTCTGCACAAAAAGAAGTTTCATCCCAACGACCCTCAGATCTCCAAGCCGCTTATGAGCTCGACATCGCTCCTCCTCTTGTTCCCTTTGTTCAACGTCTCCGCAAATCACCATTTCCGTTGTCACTCATGGCCGAAATCAAACGAGCATCTCCCTCAAAGGGTGTCATCTCTTTATCTGCATGTGCTCCAGCTCAAGCTAGAACCTATGCTCTAGCTGGTGCAAGTGTGATTTCCGTTTTGACAGAGCCCGAGTGGTTCAAGGGAAGCATTGACGATTTGCGAGCTGTACGACAGGCTCTTGAAGGCATGCCAAATCGGCCTGCTGTTTTACGGAAAGAATTCATCTTCGAAGAGTACCAAATATTAGAAGCTAGATTAGCTGGTGCCGATACCGTTTTACTTATCGTCAAGATGCTAGATGAAGAAACTTTGACACGCTTGTATCATTATTCCGTCTCGCTTGGAATGGAGCCGTTAGTGGAAGTAAATACACCAGAAGAAATGACCATAGCTGTCAACCTTGGTGCAAAAGTCATTGGTGTGAACAACCGGAATTTGACAAGTTTTGAAGTAGATCTTGATACTACAAGTCGTCTCCTCAACCAAGTTCCGAAAGAAACTATCGTATGCGCTCTTAGTGGTATTTCCGGTCCCAAAGATGTAGAAGCATACCAGAAGAATGGTGTAGGTGCAGTTCTTGTGGGCGAGGCGCTCATGCGAGCCAAAGATACAGCTCTTTTCATTCGGGAACTACTTGGAGGTTCAAGTATCCTCAACAAATCTGCAAGTGGTAGCTTACTTGTGAAGATTTGTGGAACAAGAAATCCTGAGACTGCAACAGAAGCTATAAAAGCTGGTGCGGATTTGATCGGGATGATTCTTGTCCCTGGTAGAGGTCGACATGTTCCGTACAAAGATGCAATTGCTATTTCTAGGGCTGTTCATCAAGCACAGCAGACGACTGGGACGGTCGTTGGTGACCGAGTGAGTAACCAAGCATCGGATTTCTTCGCTAATGCAGCATCGAATGTTTCGAGTCATCGGCCTTTGTTAGTCGGCGTTTTCCAAAACCAACCTCTAGAAGAGGTTTTGGAGCTGCAGAAGGCATATGATTTAGATATAGTGCAGCTGCACGGTGAGGAACCATTGGAATGGGCAAATTTAATACCAGTTCCTGTCATCCGAAGCTTCAAACCTGGTCAGGCTGGTCTCGGAAGAAGAGGTTACCATACCATTCCTCTGCTAGACTCGGCATCAGGGGGCTCTGGACAAAAATTGGACGTGACAGAGGTACAGGCTACGTTGACAAAAGATCAAGGTCTCAGAGTCATTCTTGCTGGCGGATTGAATCACGAAAACGTGGCAGAAGCTGTGCGATCAGTGGGTGATGTAGGTGATCGGATCATCGGTGTCGACGTTAGTAGCGGCGTAGAGGAAAATGGCGCTCAGAGTATTGAGAGGATCAAAGCTTTCATTAAGGAAGCAAAGAGCGTTAGATAGACAGGGTCGAAGAGTATAGAATGATCTTGGGTAGTAGATAATGATTAATGACTAGTCTTTAAGAAAAGTCGATCTATTAAACGCAGGATCTGTTGCCGGACGTACTATTTCCAACAATGTTGCTTTTCACCTTGGAAATGGTGGCTGCTTGGAGTTGCATTGACACTTTTCACAACCCCCACACCAACATCGGTTGCTCCCCTATTTGACTCAACCCCAACCGAGAACGTTCTCACTTTTGACAATTGGATATATTTAACGCCGAAAGCCTCCATTTTCAATATACTCCAATCTACTAGCACAATACCTATCTCCAGCACTATATTTAGAGATTAGCTGGTTTTATCTAACATATTTTTCCAACTATTCCCCTATCAATACAATCTTTTGGAGAAATCTCGTCCTCATTAGTGTTCGGGCTAGTCAATTATACCATTCGCGATCGGAATTACTTTCTCTAGTCTCGAGGCATATTCAATACTCTTGTCTCGCGCCCCACTTCGATATCGAATTTCTAGACCCAACTTACAACCAATACCTACTCATATTCACATTGCTATTTTGCCCCCCATATTCTTACACTGCTTTTTCGATCACGGTGAGCCTAGTCATTATTTATTTGATTTACCTTACATGGTTTGAGTTCTACCATCTTCCCATCTTCGAGTGCTTCCTACTCAGCCCTTGCCTGGCACTTAGTATCTTACTCTCTGCCTATCAAATCACAACTCCCCTTCATCGTCAACTCGATCCATCCATTAAACACTATAACTTCTTGAGCATCAGGGCGCAGTATTATCGTAAGTTTCCCTTTCGCATCTGCTGTCTTGTATTTGAGTATCTCTTCATGGATTTACCCTTCAAATCACTTTCGGCGCTCACATTCTGCTTGGGATTTTTGTCTTTCATCCATCAACATCCTCGCTTCATCATGTTTGATTTTGGGCAGAATTTGTCATTTTTGATTAAGCGAGATACTTTTTTTTCTATGAACATTAGAGGTAGCTTCACTAAGCTCTTGGGTTCATATTATATTGAGGACATGATACCATAGTATCCTGTTTCAACACTCTTGCTGTGGTTTTGAACCATGCCTAGGGTACTCACACACACGATAAGCCGTGGTACATCTATCATCAACACTCCTGAGGAACATTCTCCTTGGCTGTCGATTAGCAGTCATAGTTTACCCTCTCTTGTAGTTATAAGAATTTCAACTACAACCTCCACCTCACAATACACTAAAACCTTCCTAGAGCATATCAAGCCGCACCTCCCGTCAACCACGACCATGCCTCGCATTCGCCCTCACACCTCCAAAACCTCCAGCAAATCACAAAAAATACCGCACCAAACGCCATCCAAAAGCAAACGTACCAAGAATTTCTACAGCAATGGCGCCACGAAACCAATTTTCAGCGGCTGCAAAATGTCTCTCGCAGGAGATTTTATAGCCGAACGTCCTGGCCCTAATGCTGAGCAACAATGGAGCTATGAGAAAATCAGCAAATGGATTCGAGTTCATGGGGGAGAGTATGCGACGGAAATGGATGAAGATACTACGCATCTTATTGTTACTGTTAAGGAATATAAGAAGAAGAGTGTGCAGGGTACACCAACCATCCTCAATGTTGTCCATTCTGATTACCCGGGCTCGTGGAAAAGTACAGAATGCTAACGCACTAGCGTGTGCTATAGTCCGCAAAGCAATGGCGATGGGCAAGAGATGCCATATAGTCGTTATTGACTGGTTGGTAGACTGCCTCACGTCAAAATTGAACAAGAAAAAGAAACTCGTTGCCACAGGTTACACGCTTGGACGAATAATCCGTCGCTTGCATCATACCGAGGACCAGAAGATAAAATATCGACAAAGATTTGAGGAGGGTGTGAAAGCTGCTGAGGAACTATGTGACAACCGTACGTGATTTTTCCTAATGTGTCCTCAATTTATCACCCCCTTTGACTTCTTGTTTGCTTGTTGTACTCAACGCCGAGGATAGGAGAGTCTAATCATGGAGATAGGACTCCATCATGTTTACACCGATCAAACGGATTTCGAATACAAAGTCGTCCTCACGCGTGTCCTCGTGCATGGCAAAAACAAAAATCAGAAATATACCGTTTACCTCTTTGCATCCAATGCCCAACCTAGTACCTATATGGCGGGAGCAAAACTCACAACTGCGTATCAAAGCCCCTCTTATCTTCGAGACGAATGTCGTCGTAAGCCTCCTCTATTCCTTTTTTTCAACGTCCCCATCACCTTGTTTTCCCACCTCCGCTTTCCCTTCTTATTACACTCAACAAATTACTAACTTCCTTCTAGCTAAAGTCTTCTCCGAAGCCTTCTCAGACTTCAAGGCAATCTTCAAATCCAAAACCTGCATCGAATGGGACGACCGATACGAGCCACTTCCTAAAAACCACTTGGAAACTTTGTTCAGATATCAAAGACCTACTTTGGGCCATCCAATGGGTATGTTACCTAGTTGGCGCAAGGCACCTAATTGGAAGGATGAGGATTTGCAATTCAATGAGAGAGCAGTTGATTCTTGTGGTGAGGAAGTCAATGAAAACGTTGAGGATGAGGACGATGAGGTGGCTGAAAAAGAGAGAGCGAATGAGAGGAGGAATGAGAAGATGGCAGTGCAGAAACGATTGGCTGAGAGACGAATGATAGAGAGGAGTGAATATGATAGTGATAGTGAGGTGGATGATGCTGAGACATTCGATGAGTTGATGAAGGATCATTTACCTTCTCCTCCTTCATCACCTCATAAACACCAAGATCAATCTCAACGGCAAGCGCAAGCTGCCACGGGGATGGAGAAGGAGGAAATTATTGTTATTTCTGACTCGGAGACTGACGCTGGTGATTCGGGTGATGGCTATGATGAGATAGCAGGGTAAGTTGTTGTCTACCTTCCTCCTGATTTTCCTTTAAGTTTAATTCTTTTGTTTCCTAGAGAAAGTAGAAGAGCAGGACTAACAACCACCAGCTCAACTTCCTCAAATACCTCATCGCCACACGTTTTGCAACCACGGCCCTTGTTCTCTGCGTCAGGTAACTCGACCTCGGATGCGATCATTCTATGAGCAGACTTTGCTCCTAACCTCCTAACCTTATATCTTATATCCCATGTCGTCCATATCCCAAAATCTCAATCATAACGTACCACACCACGCCTCGTCATGATCCAACCACTGCATAGGCGCCAATGAGATCAGACATCCGTCGCATTACCTTTTTTCAATACCAATTCAGTACATTATTGATTTGAAGCAGTTATCAACTTCATTTTTATTATTTTATAATTCCTTTTCCCGCATCATTGATACTTGCGCAACCAGACAAACAGTCGAACAGACAGATACATCATCAACACTATTTTCAACAAGCCAGGAGCTAATGGGGGGTTTTTGATGAACCACATTTCTAATCTCTGTTTTCTTTTTACTTTGTTTTCCCCTTTTATGACATACAACGGATGGATGGATTGATGCATGAATAAATGGGTGGATATCTATCTATCTCTGTATCGAGAGAATAGCATTTAAGAGCAATTAGGGACAATTTCACCATAGTTTGCAAGCATCATGATAATTCATCACTTACTATTTATGCTTCATGATGTTACACTTGCAATATGATGTGTTGCGTGATGTATTTTCTCGGATTACACGGGCCATACTTTGTAAAGAGTTGAATAAATAGCTTATTTGGCTACATCAATAGATTAACATGTAAGACTACATTGCTTTGCTTCTCCTCTCCGCCTCCATAACACAACACCATCATAAATTTAGCTTCGCCAAACGCCCAAATATGCTAGAACCCAGATGTCAACAAAAAGCCTATCACTTTCGTATGGTATCATCCAAACACCACGGGTTCCCATAAAACGCCTATCATTCCATCATACTACCATTTCGCCAAAATAAAGCCAACCCATTCCTTTTAAATCTCCTCTCTTCCCCTTCCCCTCCCTAGCATCAAAACCTCAGCTTCGGCATCACAAACACGATAACACACGCCAAAATCGCCAAGCCCGCAATCCATGCATACATCATCATGCGACCCCACCAACCCTTCCCCTCCGTCATACTCCTCAAATACCCCATTCTCCTCGACGCTGCTTCTAGACCAATCTCATTTTTATTAATACCTGCAACGGCAGAATCGAGAACAGAGGCATCGGTAGCGAGGGTACTGGCGAAGGTGTGAGAGCGAGCGCGCAGTTCTTGGGCCATCGAGAGGAGAGAGTTGGTGAGATCTTCTTGTTCGGTGCGGTGGTGCGTGAGGAGTGTTTCCGTTGCGGCTGTGGGAGCAACTTGGGATGTGGAGGCGGATGTTGTGTAGGCTTTATTGGAGGCCGTTTCGAAGAGCTCGGCGCGGGGGTTGCGAGAGCGAAGAGTCGAAAGTTCGGGTTGTTGAGAGGATTGCGTTTGTAGCGGGGGAGGCGCATGTCCCACTTGTGTGGTAGAAGGTGTGTAATCGATCGGAGAATGTGTCGAGCGTTCTTCGTGATTGTTTGTAGTTTCGTCTGTAGTTTCCGACGGCGTATCTTGGTCATGGGCCAGTAGATCTTCTCCCTCGGATGAATCCTCGCCTTCTTCTTCATAACTTGCAAGCTGTACAATATCAGCACACATCCCCCTGCAGTCCAGCAGATTAAAGTATACTGACCTCACTCAACTCTTCCAATCTTTCACCAAGTCTTTGTATCATATGCCTTTTGCGCACTAAATCGGCCTGTATCTCTTGTTTCCTCGCTAGTACTTTAATATTCTGCGCATCTTGCTCTACGTGAACCAATAAATCCCGCGCATATTCCAAATTCTGTAACATCAAAGAATTAGCCATAGCTCTTTCCACGAAAAGTTATACCATCCTTACCGCGCCCGTCTTCACCCACTCAGCATAGCTTTGAGATCCGGCCGAAGTATCTGGACTCAAGATAATTTTCTGCAATCGCACCAATATGCGCTCTAAATTCGTAGCTGTAGGATCCCTTGACGGGATGGGCACTGTATTAAGTCTTGCCATATTTCTATGCGGAAAAATTGAATCATGAAAATGTCGTCAAATCGTCAAATTATATGTCATGATTGTATTCTAATGATGCTACTCTACTCTGGATTGACAACCGTGGCTTGCCCAAACGAACCCCAGTTCTGCTCTAAATTCTGACGAGTGTGGGTGTGGCTGGTGAAAGAAGCGTTGATGAGTCATCAAATCCAATCTTACACACACAGCAGATGTAACACCTAAAAGCGCCATCACTTCGGTCACCTCGCTCACCTCAATTATTCATCCATTTTTGGCCAAAAATCTCAAGGTCGGCGACGTTCAAAAATGAAGACGTGCAACAAATCCTCAATTCCCAGATAAGCATCATCCAAATTGGTAATATCGTTCCGAACCTTCGAATCAGAGTCTCAGATCTATATTGAAAATGAACCTTCTTGGCTTGCTAGCGGAACCTAAGTTGTTGTACAGTTTGTTGTATTGGCTGGCTAGCTTACCGTCGAGCAATTTAGCCTGTGGAAATCGGAAGAAGCTATAAGGGCCGCAAATTCGGGATTTCGGACAGAGAGATGAAAAAATCTTACGGTTGATTGTTGGTATTGTTGATAGGGCTATGGGTGTTCTCTGGTAGTAGTTTTCCAGCTGGCGAGTTTGAATGCAGTATGTGCCTAATGGTTGATTTTGGTTATATCCCATGGAGGTTACCTATATGATACCTCATATTTCTGCAAGCAGAAGGAGTTGTATATTACAATAGTCAAGACAGATAGCATCATTATACCTCATCGCAGCCTGTTCTTGGCATGGCATGGCATTGCATCGAAGTGCGTTACACGCCCTTCAAAGGCTGTCTGTCGATAGGACCGTCGTAGGGAGCATATATCACATGCAGTATGTACATAATGCTATACAATAGACAATGTATTGGTATTTTCAGAGCTCATTTCATCCATGGTCCGATGCGGAACAATAAAACTCCCCAAAAAGAAGCCAAAATGGAGAAAAATAGGAAGAAGTTTCACACTGGTCCAGATAGCCAACACTATATTGTGTTTACGTATCGCCAAACAATATTTACACTACCCACAGGATTAGAAAATGCTACAAAATGTTGTGAATGTGCTATTTATGCACCTTTCACGCTCGTTGTTTCCGAATTTGCTCTTGCCAATTTACCTTCGTCCACACAGCGCGCCTGTTTCCCGGGTTATTCTCTTAGTTAAACAATTTTGCGTCCCCTCGTTGATTTATCTGCTTCCATTTACTTCTATTCAACCATCCTAATCATCGCTCTCCACTCAGCTCCCGCCGTGTCCCTGCCGGATCCTCATCCAGCCCCTCTGTCCTCACCAAAACATGTCAATCAAATCATTCAAGTACTCCACAACTTCAATGTCTTTCCTTAGCACCTCTCTATTCAATTTCGCAAAGCATCCCGTATCCCTATACAACCCCATCTGCTGCTCGATAAAACTCCTATCTTGTGAATTCTATAACAACTATCAGCTTGAATCTTTCTGGCTCCCCTTTTTCACCACATCTTTCCATGCCCAACCACCTCAAAAATTCACGTATGTAATCCGTACTCTCAGCTAAAGTAGGACCAAGAGGCAAGAGGCAAGCAAACAGAATCAAAGAAAACAACATACCGCCCTTCTACTAGCCCAAAGCCCTTGCAACCACTCCAATCCCCCTTTAACCGCATTTTCACCACCCCATCTCCATTTCATCTGACGTTCCTGAATCTCATAAAGAAACCACGTTGTTTCCTTTAAAAACTCATCATAATCCTTCTTAATATTTGAGCAATTAAGTTGTGTCTACTTGTGGATTGAAATTAGCAAAGAAATCTTGGGTAGAGAAAGGGAGAGAGAGGTAACACACCAATGTGGCTTCAGCGGCGATATGAGAAGATAATAACGGCTTTTCTAATTCGATTAATAGGTCTGAACAGAGCATGTGTAGAGCTGCTGTAATTGTCTGTGAACAGTGGGATATTGGTTAATACTGGTGTACTTATTTTGTGGTAATATATATACGTTTACCGCCCGCTATCCCATACATAAAGCATCACAAAACCCAAAGCACGGAACCCAGGAAAGTAGGAAACAAACTCACATCCTCAATCTCATCTCCATCTCCATTCCCACTCCCACCATCCAAAACCACCTGTCCTCCTCCTCTTTCTCTTCCATACTCCTCCACATCATCAATAGCACCCCTATCCCTTCTCCCATCATCCCCAGCCCCCTCCCATACCTCACTCACACCCAACCCTCCAATCCTTCCCCTACACTCCCTCGTGACCTCTGTAAGATTTCTCACACTCTCCAATGTAATTCTCCCATACACCCCGATAATCAGAAAATGAAGCAATAGCCATACTCCTGCAATCCCGGACAGGGATGGTTTGCGAGTTGGAATAATCATATCTACTTAGATTCGTTGATTGTTTATTTTGCGGGCTGAATTTGTTCAGTATACCATCGTGTATGTAGATAATAAATGTATGAGTCCAAAATAAAGTTTCAAAACTCAGAATTCAATAGATGAATTTTAAAATTTAAGAGCATACGTCAAATGTAGAAAGGGGTTCATGCGTCGTTTGTTGAGTTGTAGTTACTAGTTGCCTAGGTAAAAAGTTACACAACCCTGTCCTACCTGAATATGTCCCAGCCAATTATGTTCTGACTTAAAGTGCGGATTTATGGTCACAAATATCAAGACACAGGCACAAATGTAGATCAATATGAATCTTTCTAATTAACTGACTATGGTATCAATGCTTACTGCAAATAATGCAGTCGCTTTGATCCAGCCAACCAACGAGCCCAGACATCCACCGCCATCATTTTTAATCCCAATCAAGCCATCCAACTGCCACCATCGTCTGCTCGTACACCCCCAACCTTCTAATCAGCTATAAAGCTTCTTCTCATTCATCCGGCTTCCAACCTACAACACAACTCCCGCACCTTCATCAAAAAGAGACACGGCAGACTGCAAACCGCGCGACATCATCAGTTGCTGGCATGAAACCAACCACATCCCGAACGGTCTTACATCGTCGCTATTAATATGACAAACAGGATTTAAAAACAAAACTTAAGTAATAAAAAAAATAGTCTCGATCGATGCTACCCCCCGGAGCATTGGAGAAAGAGAAATAAAGTGGGCACAATGAAGCAGAAGTTAATTAAAACAACCCATGACGTGCTCCAATGATACCATATCCCCCGACATCCCCTTTCGGGGAAAAACAATGGTTCTATAGCAAAAAAAGGTTGCAAGACCGAAAGTGACTGTGCAAGAAGATGTTTGGTATTGGAAAAAGAGACCCCCGGTTTTGGATTATAACGCCATGCTGAATAAATAGGAAAGCTGCAGTCCATATCGTTTGACTGCAGTAGGGTATTTCATGATTATATCAGACCACACAGACGGAGGTTCTCTTGTATGATGATGTCTAGGACGAGTTAGTTGTGAAAATATTTCAAGAGCTTTGAAGCTTACCATTGACAGCTGCCATGACGAATCTGATTTGAGTAGTATCAGTGGCACAAGTGAAATGTGTATAAATCTGTTTCGTCTCGTGCTGATTGAGACTGACGAATCGGTTCAGGATGTAGTCACATGCGAGAGCATAGTCATCACCACCTTCGTAATCGGGGAAGTAGTTCTTCATAGGGCTGACGGGAAGCTTCTCCTTGAATCTATCGATCTTATTCAAGAACAGAATGATGGAAGTCTTGATAAACCATCTGGAATTGCAAATCGAGTCAAAAAGTGTAAGGGCTTCTTGCATACGGTTGACAGTTTCATCCTCAAAAAGCAGTTGGTCATACTCGGAAATGGCCACCAAAAAGAGGATTGTGGTGACATTCTCGAAACAGTGGATCCATTTCTTTCGCTCCGAACGTTGTCCTCCAACATCGAACATTCGGTAGGTTAAATCTCCAATGATGAAAGTGGTCTCTGTAATACCAGTAGTCTTGACACGGGAGCGAAGGACATCTTGATCATTTGGCATATAATCATGCTGAGCAATTCTCTCGATGTTATCAAAGTAACTAGACAAAGGGTGTTAGAAGCAGCTTGGTGTGCGGCAGCGCCGGAAAGATATCCAAGATCCATCTATAAAGCAAGTACTTACTATCTAGCAGAATCATTCAGTTGATATTCTCTGGATCGCTTGAAACAATCTTGCACACCTGCATCCTTCCATAAAGCTGCAATGGCACTTCCAACCTCGGGTGGTAAGTTGTCTCCTTCAATTTGTTGTGGTTGCATGAAAATCGTTTGAACATGATATTCGGCTCTTTGATCATCAAGAGGTAACTCTAAGGACTCCATGGCCTCAAGGATAACACGCATCGATTGGACCGTGTTACTGAAGATAATTTCCTTAAATGATTCTCTCTCGTCGCGTGAGTAACCTCCCTCATGGATAAGCTTCATCTGTTTCAGGATAGTAGACTTTCCAGATTCACCAGCTCCTGTAGAACTGTTAGACTGAACACCCAATGGTAGATGAAGGGGAATCAAGGATGGTTCACTTACCAAGAAGAAGCATTTTGATTTCATTTCGTTGCAACATTTTATCTCTCTTCAGTTGGTTTTCGATCTCCTCGTTCCTCGCCTTTCCCTCTTTCTCCTCTGTGCTCATTCCGCAACCCATGTTGAGTGATTATGGTGGTGGTGTTTAGTAATTAAATTCGTTAAAGGTCGTGAAGTTGAGTGCCAATTGTCGCAGGACCGGCCGCAAGATAGAGTGCGGTCTGTAAAAGGTAACTGATTAGCGGGAACCGGATAATGAGTAGGCTGAGGCTGAATGAGTGGGATATTGGCGATAGTGAAGCAAAAAAGGCAATCAGTAGCGACGTTGCGAGATTGAAGTGAAGTTGATTGAACTCGGTCGGGTTGGTGAATAAGGGGGGGGGGAAGGGACTGGGAATGCGACGCAATGCTTCTCCCCGTGGTTGATACTTGGTATTCAGAATTGTATAGAGTATGAAGTACGAGTTATGGACGAGTTCAGTCGTGTCGCAGTTGGTTCTTCGCGACAATATGTATAGATGGATGAAACCCAGTATGATTTATTCTTCATGCGATGGAATTGAACGGTGCAATTAGAAGAAACAAAGAATTCTTATTTACTTACCAGGTTAACAATACACTCTTTCAAATGGAAACCCTTGAAAACCCAACAAATAATCTTGAGATCTTGGTAATCCAAGTGGATGAAAATGTCCTTCACTCTGGATGGGATGGAATTTATTTGGATCGATCTGGGGAGGTTTGAGGTTTGAGGTTTGAGGTTTGTCGAGGTTTGTCGGAAAGGAAATGGATGGATAGATGGATGGATGGATGGATGGGTTGGACGGAGAAAGAGTTCTTTTGGTTCGTCCTCTAGGTTGTTTAGGTAGTATGCTACAATTAATTGCTAACCGGGAAAGAATAAATCAATTAGAATCAAAATAGGGAAGGGCCATCAGGGCCAAGGTCCAAATTATCGGCTGCCTTTACGCTAGCGGGTGCCTGATTGGGAAGGGAGATGTATAAGAGTGGATAACTGTGGGTAAGTCTTGGATCTATGATTATTTTAGAGGATAGAAGAGATGAAGGAAGTCGAGATTTGATATCAGATGATGATTGAAGCATCTAATTTACGATTGCGAACTAACTAAATAAATAAACAGTAGGTCGAGTGAATGCTAAAAATGCTCATGTTCTTTCTTTCTTTCTTTCTTTCTCTCTCCTCTCTCTTCTCCCTTTACCATTGGACTAGGCCAATCGTAACGTTATTTGTCAAAGTGATTTATGTCTAACAATATCTGGTGGATTGATTGATGATTGATGGCAATTGGGTTGAGAGAAAGAGAAGGAAATAATGGCAAGGAGGCTAGATTGGCTTCTGATACTTGATGAACTAACTAATTAGTAACTAAGCGTTTTGACATGATGGATTTATATCTAGTGCTGCAGGTACCTACACGGGCCGCTGTTTGATGAAATCAATGAGTATATACTGTATATACCCGGTGTGTATATCTATAGGTATATATATCCTTAAGTGAGAAGAGATAGACTAGATAGATTGAAATCTTCTTGTTGTATCTTTGTAATAAAGGAGATGAATACTCTATTATATATATACTAGGTATTAATCGTCAGATAATACATATCCTTAATAAATGAACAGATTAATTTGATTAGATTTATTATTATGTATTAAATTTTCAAAATAAAAAAAGGTATTCATTATTATAGATGCTGTAGATAGCATCTTAATATCTAGATTTAAGGATTTTATATCTAGATACCTACCTAGAAGTGATATTTGGCGCTATCTAGCATTCATTCAAGAATCTCTTTGAAGCTTTAAAATAGCAAATACACCTATTGTTGAAACTCTATTACTGAGCTGAAAGGCTTGTCAGTAACAAGATATCAATCCTTGATCTCAATCCTTACTAGAGCAGGCATTGATAAGCATCAGAAACATGACTATGATTGATTGATTTATGAATACAAGCTTCTACGGTATAGTGATTTACATACTGCAAACTTTGAATACATGAAGCTCTTTCATGATGGGCTTTCATGATTACGGAGCACAAGCTTGCCTACCTACGAATAGATCATATCTGCACGTCTGTTACTAAAATCCGAGTTAGCTTACCTACCGAGCGATGAGGGCAAAGCGGCTAGGATTAAAAAAACACAATACCGTCGGAATGAATGAACCAGGGGTTAATCCATCTTGCAGATTATGCTAGGATCAATAGACGTATCAGATCAAGAGAATGCCAACACTTTTAAATGAATGGAGACATGGACATGGAAATGTCTAGTGATTCGTGAAGAAAGTGCTTCGGTGAAAGCGTGGATGGAGAAGAAAGAAGAAAAAGAGAAAATGCTAAACTCTGTAAGGTTAATGATCAATGATTAAATATTTCAAGTGGCTACCAATGACAGCCCATGTCTCAGGAGGGACTGAGCTACCCATACGTCCAATAACTTATCTTTCCTTTGTTCTCTTGAAGGAAAAAGAGAAAAGGATTCGTGGGTGCCATTTATAACAACCTATAAGAACCTCGGCATTTATGAAATAGATAATCATATGTTTTCAAAGAAAAAGTCACATCGCACTACTCCATCGAACTGATTACCGGTATATGGGATTTCTTTTTTAAACCTTTGTACATATCCCATTCGTTACCGCCGCTTCTTTGCAGCATCTCGCCTTCAGCCTTGGGATTGGGAACCGTTCATGCGAGTATTGTATTTGGGTGTACTTCACTAGGTACTTGGTAAAAGTCGGGGGAACACAAATTGCCTGCATGAAGGGGGGGCTTCATAAAACGCCACATATTCCATCCTCAGCCAATGAGGTGTATGAAATGTGTGAGATGTATGAAGTGTTTGAAGTGTATAAAATGTATTAAATGTATAAAATGTATAAAATGTTCAAATTTATCATCATCCTCATGGAAGCTTCATGCTAGAACCACCAGTGAACCGTTGGGTAGTTTCATTCACATAATCCCAGCCAGCGTACCTTGACTTGTTTTACACCATGGACAGATACAACAGACATCCCACCTACCTCTCATTCTTCTTTCTGGAGCGATCGAGAAATATCATACACATCACCTCGTACATATCATTCGTAATCTGTATCTCAACTTCAACAAGCTCATAACCAAGGACGTCCCGCTTCCTCCGCCGCTCAAACCTCCCTCGCTTGCATAAGGTAGATGAAACAATTCAAGTCAAAATTCTTCAACTGACTGCCAGACTACTGAGACCAGGTACTGTACTTTACTTCAATACCCATAAACCCCACAGAATACTGGGTCCTTAATTACGGAGCACACAGCAGATTTGAGATTACATATGTCCTGATCTACGGAGCACCTATTGCTAATGGGGCTATGACCCTTATCGTATGTCTTGAACTCTTTCGAAACCTCGAAATTCATAGTCCAAAATCCTTAGAGATTATAGAAGGCTGCGTAGATAACGAGACATCTCGACACTGACCGTAGTAACTGGATACATTCATTGTACATTTCTTTCAGATCATTCCAAATCAAAATGCTTGAACTTTACCGCCGTCCTCATGTTCTGGGGATAGTATCCATGTTTGCCATGTAGTATGGTGCGTCACACTAGCCGCCAAAAAGGGGTTAAAATCTGCAGGAATTTCCTTCCAATTTCCTTCTAGAAGCTTTGGGATTCCCCGTCTAAATGATCCTTCGTGACAATGATCAACTTATTGATATTACTGTTTGCAGCTTATTATCCGGAGAACTAGGATAAGATATTGGACATGTCATATTGGACTCCGTATAGCCTTGACTTGGTCATTAAAAAAAAAGACCCCTCCTGTTGAGGAAAATCGTCGCTGAAAATTACAGCTGTGCTGGGCTTTATGTAAGCTTATTATTACTGTACCTAACTTATGGGCGATATGTGAACCTCTTCGGTGAACAGTTATTGCTAGGCTTGGTATGTTTAAATTGACCAAGGGGCAAGCAAAAGGCAAGCAATAAGCTTTCAAAAGTTTATGATCACGCACAAAATCACGAATCACAATCTTGATATTCCTTCCTTGAGGCTTGAACAGCTTTCAGGTTTGGTAACACCGATCCAGATGTCGAAAACCTTTCGTTTGGGTTCGTGAACTAGGATCTTTTTCTATTTATGGATTTCTTGTGTTCTTCTTTGTCGATGCTTGTGGTGGCGGCACCAGCTGGATGGCATTTCATATGCAAGTTGGATCATGTTTTCTATCTACAGGGCAGCTAAGCATAGGTACTTTTATTTTTCTTGCTCAGCCCTGCATTAATGAAATGTTTCTCGACGTGAAGATCTTACTCAGAAACGCTATGCGCTGACTACCCTTCCATGAGGTGTAACCAGTACTTCATTAATACCCAAATCTATGCCAAACAGTCATTCCATCATGACCTTATTCAAATCATGCGAAGTTGCTGATGGTAGTTCCACATCTTCCTTTTTCCTTGAACTGAGTTTCACATCTCCTTGCCTCTCCTGAAAGCTCCGAACCCTACCCTCACATAGCACTCAAAACAATAATGGATAACTTCAATTGACCTCCTTGGCATTATACATGCCGAGAAGACATCCTTTCCTTACCTAAGCTGAGTTGCTGACTAGTCCTATGCTCTTGCCGAAGTCAAATTCATGCTATTTTGAGTCTTACACCGTATAACAAGAGTTCTGGAAGTTTTATCCAATTATGCGGCAGTGAACTTGGGGAGTCTCGAACCAGTTTTACTACATGTTAAACCGCGGAAGTCCAGTAAGTATCTGGTCACGCGAAATGCAGTCAACTAGCTTCGACCATTAACTTAGTAACACGGTCTTGCTTGAAATGCTCTACGCAGTAGGTAGCATGGCAAACAAAGCTTGTGGAATAACCGAAATTGGAAAGACCAACCTACGGTCTACATTTATCCCCAAAACAATTGGTTTTCCATACACACCACATAAAGGCAAGCATGTTGAATATCCTCAAAACTATTGTTATTCCCGTTCTTTAACCCAAGACTGTTATTTTCTTTCCGAAATCGTCATTTATAAGAGATTATATTATCCACCTCCAGGCAGTTGAAGTAACATCCTAAGAAACACCTACTACCTAATCATCCATAGCTGTTCAGCATGGCATATGTCCACCAACAACAATCTAATTTTCGTCGCCACATCCAACTAATTGCATACCGCTCTCCAGCATCTTCTCAGCCCACAATAAACAAATTGAACCGACCACACGCAATGCATCCCAATCTTCAAAAGCTAAGAATCGACCCACCAGTCCTTCTGCTACTTATCCTCTGTATTATCGCTTTACTCCTCTGGCTTTCGTATGGTGTGTACATCTCTGTAACGTGGTATATCCATAGGCTACGTGCAGTCAGATATGGCTTGGATGAAAACATGAACTCAGATATCTTGATGGCTAGACTACATGATAGATCATATTCGAGTGAGGAGATGGGAAAAAGAAAGTTCGGTCAGGCACTAAAATGGTCCCACCCTCCTATAGAAAAGGGAAATGCCAAGGTAGAACATGCTGGAACGGGGAAAGCAGGGGGTTTATCAAGGAACCAGAGTGTATCGAGTGGAAGTACATTGGTCATGTTGGGAGACGACTGCAGGAGAACTCAGAGCTTTGGAAGCCGAGGAGAGAGCGCTGTATGAAAAGGATTAAGTGACTTTATATCAGTGCAGAATGAAAGTGCTGACTTGGGCTATACATGTTGACTCTGAACTCCTGAGTCTCGGTATTCTGTCGTTCTCCTGGGAAGCGTGAGCTACCTATGAAGATATGCTCGGACTCCAAAAGTTTAAAAATCCTGTAAGTTTAAGAATCAGCACCCATGGGTAACTTGAACCTGTCGGCACCAACAGAAGTAAGGCGAAACAGCCGAGTCACTGCATTATATTTGCGTCTGGCTGCTAGAGCTCCCTATCTCTAACATGGGAGAAGCTCTCAAAGCGACGCAAGTACTCAAAGTCTAGAAAACTCAGAATTCAATGAATTAAAACAAATTGAAACATAATCTTTAATCAGTCGCTAAACATCAACAAATGTATTCGAGTAGAGAACAAGTCACATACGAGCCTCTTCACAAGCCAAGGGTAAGAAAATCCTAATAGACAGGTGAATTCACATCATTTGAAGTACTGCCTTCACATAATCATACAAACTCCAAAGTGCTCTAGCTTCCCATTCATTTTTATGTACTCCCAGGACCACTTCCACCCCTCCAATGAATGCATTATCCCATTCAAGGTCTTTGCACCCTAATTCCGTCCTTTCCCACCCTTCTAAATGAGCTGTTACACTCCTCATAAGCTCTTCCGGCACCGAATCCAACACCAACAAACGCAGGCCATGCTCTTCGCTTGAATATCAAAACCGAGGCGACAACACCAAATCCGAGTCCGACCGAGGACCGTATGAGCAATGAGGAAAGACAGTGATCCCACTAAACAGGTATAAAATCAGCATGGCGTTCGCAAAGAATAAAAACCGCTCTTTGGTTGTGAGTTTGAAGATAAAGTAGGATTTACCTTTTCGTTCAGAAGAGCTTCTGAAACTGGTTTGCTTGGGCGTGTGACGGCCGGAGGAGAAATGGATGTTTCTGGCATGATGGCTTGTGTATTACTAGAGCAAAGATATCAGTGCTTATTCCTTCTAACAATTTCTTAATTGGCATACCGTGATGTGAGGATTGATGTACGATTGAAGAGCTAGGAGTTGTGTTGTAAATTTATTCTGATGTCCCGGTTCCATCCACTTTGGCGTGTCGATTGGACTATAAAGGAAAGCGGTGGGTATATTTCAGTTGGCAGAATTCGAAAAATAAAATGTTATCCGGCAAAAATGTCCAGCTGTTTCGTGATATTTGATCGGTGCTCAACATTGAAAATTCAACAATTCGCAGCAATGGATATCCTAAGGTTACTTTCTAGGTCGACTAAGCAATCCGGTCAAAATGGATCACAGAAAGTAGGAGGTGTTGCTACGAAATTACCCTCCAGTGGAACGTCTGCGAATCCTCAATTGTACCACGATCCCATTCCTGAATCGAGAGGCAAGAAAAGAAAGAGAGGAGGACAATCTAAGCATGTTGATACTACAGAACAATCAGATGGGAACCTTGATTTCTTTTCCACCGATCCTGCGACACAGAAGACTAAGAAGAGCACTTCCACAAACGATGCGCCGAAGCTTGCGCAATCGAATCCTTCCTCAGAGCCGGAGCCACTTCTAGATGAGGGGGAATGTCGACAGATATTAAAATCGCATCGGTTGAAGGTCACCCTTCTGCCAGGTGCAAAACCGCAGAAGAAGATTAAAAAGTCGAAAAAGTCGAAGTCCGCAAAGGCTACGAGCTCGAAGGAGGAGATCAAGCAGTTATACCCGCAACCATTAATGGCATTTGAAGATTTGCGAGCTACATACAAAATATCGGGCAGATTATCAGAAAACTTGAAAGACCAAGGGTACAAAATTCCAACGGAGGTCCAAATGGGAAGCTTACCTCTACTTTTGAAGCCTTCAGTTGCATTGGGTAATTCCTCGGTAGATACTGACGAGTTGTCGAGTACTTTCGACCTGTTAGCTGTTGCGCCTACTGGAAGTGGAAAGACGCTGGCATTCTTGATACCAGTCATTAATGATGTAGTACAACGGCGCAGAACTTCTGACAAGAATCATGTTTTGGAAGCTGTGATAATAGCACCAACGAAAGAGCTCGCCAGTCAAATTGTTAATGAGGGAAAAAAACTTAGCATTGGAACTGGAGTTAAGATCCTAGGAATGAAGAAAGGAATGAAAATAGTATCGAGTGCAGATGCTGAGGAAAAAGAGCAGTTGGATGACGATGAAGATGATGACGAATCCGTTGATGGAGCTACCTCATCTAAGCAGCCACTTACCAGGACCGACATACTGGTCACTACACCATTGATCTTCCTTCATGCCTTATCTTTAGGATCAACTGATGATCATGCTCCATTACCCACTGTTCGCACATTAGTTTTTGATGAAGCAGATGTTCTCTTAGACCCGTTGTTCAGAGACCAGACATTAGGGATTTGGAACTCATGTATCAATCCCAATTTAAGAGTCACCCTCTGGTCCGCAACGATGGGTTCAAATATCGAAACCCTCGCTTCGAGCACCATTCAAACCAGGCAAGAAAAGTTAGGCCTAGAGAAACATTCAAATCTTATTCGTCTCGTGGTTGGACTTAAAGATTCTGCCATTCCTAACATCACACATCGCTTGATTTATGCTGCAACTGAGCCTGGTAAACTTATTGCTCTTCGACAATTACTTCGGCCCACCGCAAAAACTACAGATGGGACAGAATCTCTACGGCCTCCATTCCTCGTCTTCACACAAACGATATCCCGAGCCATAGCTTTACATGCTGAGCTTCTGTATGATATTCCCGCTGAGGCAGGCGGTTCTACCAGAATCGCAGTATTGCATTCTGATCTTTCTGACTCAGTCAGAGATCAAGTCATGACACGATTTCGTAATGGGGAGATTTGGATCTTGATCACCACGGATATTTTATCACGAGGTGTTGATTTCAAAGGCATCAATGGCGTAGTCAATTATGATGTTCCTAATTCAGGAGCAGCTTATATTCATCGCGTAGGACGTACTGGACGAGCTGGTCGCGATGGTGGTATTGCAGTAACATTCTATACCAAAGAGGATATTCCTTATGTCAAGAACGTCGCAAATATCATCGCGGCGTCCGAAAAACAGGCCGGGAAACCTGCGAGCGAAGCTAGTATGCAGAAATGGTTATTAGATGCGCTACCAACACCTAGCAAGGAAGAAAAAAAGAAATTGAAGAAATATGGCGTTGAAGCTAGACGAGGGGGTTTGAATAATGCAAAGGATGGAAAGGATTCGAAAACGGGAAAGTCGAAATCAAGAATGCAGATTAGTACGAAGAGTGGGTATGAGAGGAAATTGGAACATAATAGGAAGGGAGCTATTCAGGGAAGTAAAAGACGAAAGCAGGAGAATGTTGCGGAGGACGACGGAGAAACGGTGGTCGAGGATGGCTGGGCAGGCATTGAAGATTGAGTGGATAGTTCGTGAGAGAATTGTTCCACTGGTTGGATACCTAATCAATTTGCTTGCAGAAGGATTTCATGTAGTATCGTTCTGCCCCCATTGCGAAGTTCAAGCTCTGAATCTACTGACCGCAGCCACACCGTGTTATCTTTATTTTCATCACAGAAACTCTTGAAAAGTGTACTCAAATCCCCAAACACAATAACCTATTCTCCATTAAAATACTATTCTTAAAACCTCGGGCCATACCCATCAAGAAACTGGCATTCAAACCCATCCATCCATTCATGTACAAATACAAAACGCAGAAACCATGAAAATATTTCTCTGTTGTCACCTGACCCCTCACATCTTACTCGGCATCCTCATCCCCCCGTCTAATCTCAATACTACTCCATTCAACATCACGTTCTCAATACTTTGTCTTACTAGCTGTGCGAATTCGTGGGGTTTGCCGGGTCGTACTGTTTTCGATGTGGGTTAGCTCGTGGAATGGAGTTTGGATCTTTTTTTCGGATCGTGTTGTGTGGTACTGTGATTAGGGGTGCATATGGATGACTGGGATATGGGTATATGGGATATGAACAGAAATAGACTTACGCGGAAATTCCATGACCCTCGTTAAACTAGCCCGCACTTTATCACTCATCATAGATGTCATCCTCGAATCGAAAAGACTAGGTGCTATGGTCACGACCCTAATACCATGTCTTGCAACATCACGGGTTAGGGGAAGAGTTAGGGATGCTATTGCGCCTTTGGACGCAGAGTATGCGACTATTTCCCGTCAGTATTTCGTTAAAAACTCTCCATTGACAAATTCTGGGTAAGTAGAAGCATATAATAGGTGTATTAGAAGAATCAAAGTAATCTTACCTTGACCAGGTTGTCCATCAAAGGCAGCAGATGAAGCAACCATGATAACCACACCACGCTCACCATCATCGTTTACAGGAGTGGAACGAGCCATGTGGGGAAGACATTGACGAATTAAGTCGATGGTACCGCGGACGTTAACATTCATTACGAAGTCGAAGTCGGATAGGGAGAAGGGCTCGAGGTTGCGGTCGAGAATCTAGTGAGGGGTAGGAGATTAGCGTAAGGATGGTAAGGGATTCGCATGACGGGGGATATGGCGTTGGGTTTGAGAATTCATCGGAGGGGAGCGTATGAAGGCCCCGGGACCCCCAGCGCGAAGCCTGCGCGGCCCATATGTGCCCATCCTGTAAAAGGGACTTTCACGACCGGAGAAGTATAGGGCTAACAATACTTTGAAGATACCCCGAATGCCATAGAACAGTATCTAGAAAGATAAGAGATTGAAAACACACCTTAGCAGGAGTAGATACACCGGCAGCAGCAATAACTCCACCAACCTCCTTTCCAGTTTCCTTCACCCATTCCAAAGCACCCTTAACAGCATTGGTAATACTATCTGTCTCCAGTACATCTGTTTGCCAGAATTTGATCTTTCCACCTCCTATCTCTTTAACCAATTCTTCAGCTAACTCCTCATTCATATCTAGGACAGCTGCATACCCTCCAGCTTGGCAGATATCAACGACACATGCTCGGCCTAAGCCTGAAGCTCTAGATGTCTTGTTAATGAGGTTTGATTCATATTTATACGGTTTTGACTTACCCGCCGGATACAATAAAAGTTCTACCTTCAATCTTCATCTTGATAATATTTGAATAATAAGTTTAAAAGAAAGGAATACTTACCTATTTAATATTCACAAAATCATTCCTCTTTGCTTCATCAATCACATGCCTCGGCTTAAACCTTATTTGGATCCCTCGTAGAGCCAATCCCAAATAGTCTAGCGTCGGGAAATGATTAGTTTAACGCCGATCCGATAAGACTTGCGACAACTTTGATGTTACGTCCGTCCTATTGAGGGTCTATTTACGGGAGACGGATTGATTTCAAGATATAAAAATATTAAGCAACTTTCAAGAACTTTTCGGCTTTTCTGTGCCTCAAAACACCAAGAAATTAAAACGGTTCTCGTACTACCACTCACAGGCGAAAATGGTGCGACCGAGGCGCTCATCCGCTGCAAGTGACGAAAGTGCCAGTACGACCAGAGATCAGGTTTGTTTTCCACCTCCTCCTTCATTGTTAGAACAACCATGCAGATATACAGAACGAGAGACAAAATGAAAGACACATTCTACCAATACTAATGGATCCCCAGGAACTAGGTAGTATGTACGATTATTTGGCTAAGATTATACTCTTAGGACCAAGTGGAAGCGGCAAGTATGTTCCACTTTCTGTTTGTCTTTGATGAGTGGGATGTTTATGGGAATGGGTAGAACATGATATTGATGTCGCACAGATCATGTCTATTACATCGTTTTGTCAAGAATGAATGGAGAATTTTATCTTCTCAGACTATCGGCGTAGAATTCGCAAGCAAGATTATAAGAGTAGGCAGCGGCAGTCGACGGAAGCGTATTAAGCTTCAGGTATTCCCTTCTCCCGCATCTCCCCGTCGCTCTCTAAGGCTAATCATATAAAAGCTATGGGATACAGCAGGCACTGAACGATTTCGATCTGTATCGCGCTCTTATTATCGTGGCGCTGCAGGTGCAGTCTTATGTTACGATATCACAAACCATAATTCCTTTACTGGACTTCCTACCTTTCTCAACGACGCCCGAGCGCTGGCTTCCCCAAACCTTACACTACTACTTGTGGGTAATAAGACAGATCTTTCTGAGTCGAATGGGGATTTAATAGATACATCTGTACCACCGGAAACACCATCCAGCATGAACAGCAAAAACTCCTCATTTCCATATACTGCCGGGGGATCTGTGAATTCGAGTTCGGGATATATAGGGATAGGATCACAGTTGAAAGCAAGTGTAGCGCCAGACGGACGAGAAGTTAGTGCGGAAGAAGCATCAAGATGGGCTAGTTCTGCGAATATACCAGTTTCGGTTGAGGTTTCTGCGTTATCCGGAGATAATGTCGAGGAGGTTTTTAATAGGCTGGCGAGGATGATATTGACGAAGATAGAATTGGGAGAAATTGATCCGGATGATCCGATGAGTGGAATACAATATGGGGATGGAGGAAGATGGGATACAAATGCTAGTGATGGGGCTAGTGTGAAGAGTGGAATGACGATTGAGGATGGGAATGGAAGGAGGAGAAGGAAGGGGAAAAGAGGGCAAAATTGGGGACTTGGAGGGATGAGGGAGTGGGAGGAGGTTTTTACATTACCAGGCCAGAGGAGGAGGAGAGGTGGTTGTTGTTGATGGAGGGCGTTGAAGCGAAGAGATCTTATGGAAAGTCATACCCGAGGAGTGTTTTTTGATGGATGGAGCTGAGCTCCTTTTATGCTCTGTGTCGAATCAATGCCAGGGCTTGTGGATATTATGATTAATTGTAATGATAATTAATACCCGTTGTTTTAGTTCATGTATCTTGAGTGGTCAAGGCTCATACTGTGGTCAGTGGCAGGTATCGTAGGGACAGCACAAGACGTGAATGGCGGCAATAATGACGATCTGTTTCGCGCTAGCCCCAGGTGTCATTGGAAAGATGTTATCTACATCAGCGAAAGACGGGGGCTTATGCGTGTAAGTAAGTTCATGATATTTCCCACATGTATGTAATATCCAGCTCTGTCCCCTCTCAATTCTAATACTAATAACACTCACTATTATCAGTTCTTCTTTCCACGACTCTCTTGAACCTTCTTTGCTCATATCATGGAAGTCCTGATATCGTTGAGGTCGTAAGACGATATTATATGTCTAGGATATAAATATGATGGGCTGTAATGAATTCATTCTTTTTCTTGACATTGTTAGGTGGTTTATAAGATATATATCTACTTTGTGTGTGTGTGTGTGTGTGTTCAATTTAGTAACTCTATATAAATCACAATAGGGGGTTAATATAACGGAGCAAGTGAGGGGAAATTATCGACTTGAAGAAGCGAGTAATATACTATTTTCATGATTATTAGCTGAGAAAATTTCTTCTGGATAGAGAGATATACGCAGTTGTATTATATTAATCACAGTTACAATAATACGTTTCTTTCACTTAATTTTATTTATTTCATTTATTGTTATACACTTGTATTTCTCCATCAAGGAATATTCGAATTATAACTTTTTCTTATTTTCTACTGTCTATTTTTCTAACTTTCTATTTCTAACTGAGTCCAGCTCCATCTAGGTATAAAGTATGAAATACTGTTGACCTCCTGGGATCTTGGCAGCATATGCATATATAGTACATATGCATATAAGGAGCAAACAAAACTCAACTTTTAATTCATTCTTTCCTTTTTGGTATACTGTTTGTTTGCTTTCAATATTTTGATTTCAAAGCACTTTAATTCCGAAGGCCGAATACCCAACCTATTCCTTCATTTTTTTTGAATATATGCTCGCAGCTTAACTGCTTAGCTAGAGAATAAAGTCAATTCAATCTGATGCTCTTTCTAGTCTCAAGTAACCCAACAAATACAATCTAGTATGAAATGCAAAGTTAGAAAACTCTCTCTTCTTTAGCTTTTCCATCTAGGTATGAAATATGGAACGCAATCTAGTATGAAGTATGAAATGCAAAGTTAGAAAACTCTCTCTTCTTTAGCTTTTCAACCTAGGTATGAAATATGAAATGCAAAGCAAGGAAAATGCAAAACTAGGAAATTCTCTCTTTAGCTTCTCCATCTAGGTAGAAAGCTAAACAATTCTCATCGCACATCGCACAAAAAAGCAAACTCAATCATCCTTTCCTTCTCTCCCCTTTATTCCTCCATTCAAAAACAAATACTTATCCCCATAGTACCCCAATGTTTCCGCGATATACCCTAAAAGACTAAACAAGCGACAATTTGGACAACGTGGATGAAAACGGCAGATCCGGCAGATTCTATCCAAGCCTTGGTCACAGGTTCGTACGTCCTCGTTGAGTCCGGCGCAGAAGCAGCAGACGAATGAGAAGCGAACTATTTTTTTCTTCTTGTTTCTGGTTTCTGTTTTGGGGGTAAGGATTGCTTCTTGGGAGATGGGAATGGAGTGGAGGTTTTGTGGTGCTTGGTTTGTTAGTTTGTAGGGAAGTGGTTTGGAGTGTGATGTGTGATGTGTGATGTGTGTGTGTGTGTGTGTGTGTGTGTGTGATGTGTGTGTGTGATGTGTGTGTGATGTGTGTGTGATGTGTGTGTGATGATGATAGTAAAAGCATTAGATTCAAGGGAATGTAGTTGAGATTTTATACTTTGATAGAGAATCCAGGAGCGTTGTTTTGAAGCTGTACATACATGCAATTCTAAGTATTGCCTTCAACTGAAGAAATGAATAATTATAATATTGATTGTCTTTTCTGAGAGAGGTACAAAGTCATAGTAGAATGGACAATGTTGAAAGGAAGTCTCTATAAAGGAAATCTTTATAAGTTCATTGTTAATGTATTTTGATCAAAGAACTAACAATAAGTGTCGTTGAGATTTCCTTTCAAGTTCTATATTGAAGTATACGAATAGTGGAAATAGCTAGGATGATGGAACCATGATTTTGGAGGATACTGATCGATCGCGTCTGTGGGATTGATCGGAAGGATGGTGTATACGGGAGGTACAGAAGAGAAGTAATTTTCATTCATTGATTGGTTCGGAGTTTTCTTGAGATATACATAGTATATGTATCGATTCCGCGATTAGTTCTCTTAAATCTTAAGCTTTCGATCATCTGGTGATAATTTCCTATTACTCGATATGAACCAATTAACTATCAAGTCTTTTAACTATTTTCATTAAAATCTCATACCGAATCAATATATATCAATAACTTACACCAATAAATTTTCTCACACCTAATTAAAGAATAAAAATCCAGAACCGAAATCTAAAAAGGGGTACCGATAGGTAAAATTCGCTAAACATTTCACCATCTTGTCACGATTCATTAATTCACGTGACCTCGAGGACCTTGAGGACCGAAGGGTCCATAGGGTCCTCAAAAGATGATATAGGGTATATAAACATTCATTTAGTCTCGTAGTTAAGGAGCTTCGTGCTCAACTTAGTTATCAATTAGTTTACCTACATTCTACTTGATCTAGTAACGACTTCACTTCCAAGTGAAGACCAGTGATAAAGCCTTAACCCACAACTACCAACCAGACGAAACCTTAGGCAGCCGCTGCCTCCAGTATAGTATCGTTACACATCTCCACCATCCAAATCCTTCCGTTTTCTTTCTAACCTACCCACACCGAAAATGACAAAATCGACTTTTATAACTTTCTTATTTATGAATATAATTTTCTCAAATTCAGAAAGTAGATTTATTACTTATATAATAGTAGATTCTGAAAATTTCAGATTTTTCGCGATTTTATTGGTTGAGATTTTAAAGGTTAAAATATTGATTTTCAATTTGTATAGGTGTAACGGTACTGTACTGGAGGCAGCGGCTGCCTAAGGTTCGTCGGTTGGTAGTTATGGGTTAAGGCTTTATCACTGGTATTCACTTGGAAGTGAAGTCGTTACTAGATCAAGTAGAATGTAGGTAAACTAATTGATAACTAAGTTGAGCACGAAGCTCCTCTACTATGAAACTACTCTGACTATATACTTCTGACTGCTATTGGATAGCCTGGATAGACTGGTCTACCCGGGCTGTCCATCACGTGATCTTTTATCTGCCTCAGGACACTAATCCTGATGGTGAATCGTGACAACATGATTAATATAAAAGACTTAACTTTTAAGTATTTGAAATAAATAAATAATATTCAATAGATATATAATTGATTATTATATATCACTTTTATAAATTTAGATATTTTCAAATATAATATTTTTATTATTATTTTTCTATAACGTGGTTTAACACCGAGTGCACTATATCACCGAGTGCGCCACTTTTACCTCAATTTGTACTTTCTAACTCATATCATTCAACAATCATTAAATCAATCAATTAAAACTATTAGGAGTCTAATAATCTAGGATCTATTATACTATTTTGACAAGTTCTTGAATTATGACCAGTCTTTCCACACTTACTACAGCATCGATTAGTAAATGATTCCCCATTAGAATTTCCCCTATTTTGACGCTTGTCGTGTTGAATCTAAATATCAACCTTTTGTTGAGATAATATATCTGCAGCTTTTTATCCAGTAAGTACTTCTCCTTGATGTAATTGAGTCTTTTTCGTATACCGATATTTGCTTAATACCTCATTTGCCTTCCGAAGTATACAGTTTTCTATATTTAAAAGTATATTTTCATATACCAATCTCTTTATACCTTTAACTAAAACCAATACAATTTCGAATATAGGTATAAGAAAGCTTGATTGATGACGAATCATTCGAGATTTCACTAAAGTTGATTGAGAAAGAGCTTCAATTGGATTGTGAGGAGTTTGAGAGATCCAAAGGTTTAAATCGAAAGAAGGGGGAGTAAGGGTATGAATTCGAATATCTAATTTTGACAGTATAGCTTGAGGGTCAAATGGTATTAGATCTGTTCCTCGAAAGCTAGCTTTTATATTTTGAGAGATGATTGATTGTTGATATATAACTTTGAAAACTATAAGGAATTCAATTTTAATGATATAATTGATATATACCTTGATAAACTCCTCAATTTGAGAACTATATAAACATTTAAATATATCAAGACATCCAATATCAAATGATTGAGTTAAATGACTTGAATATAATAGTAACATTATGTATATAATATCATTTGCTTTATAATATGATTGAAAAGCTATTGATTTATGACTTTCGTATCTGTCCAGCGTTGGTGTTCGATATTTGCCCTTTCTTCGATGAATAGTATATTTATCGAAATACTTTAATTATTCTAACTCTGTCTCATTATTCATCCATCCATTGGAAGTAGGTTTAATAGCCCAATTTGTAGGAAAATCGGTTTCGGTATACCAATTGGAAAGATGAACTTGTCCTTGAACTATCAGAAATGGAGGTATAGTTTCACCTTTTTCATTACCACATATAATTATCATAGCCCACTCTCGATTGCCTGATTGTATTGTCTTGCTTTTGCTATTTCATTCAACATTAATTACAATTATTCCAGGGTATATTATATCTATTATAAAGCTGGTTTCGTCGAAGTTGTAGAAATCGTAGTCTTGAATACTATATTTCGCCTATATATTCGATATCAATTGAAATCACTCTTTAATAAGTTTGGAATCTTTATAAAGAACTCTTTGAAAATCATAAATATAATTAAAATATATCTTTAATTTCGTATAATACTTTACAAATCGATGAGCCTGTCACGATTCACCATTAGGATTGATGGTGTTACGATGGTAGCAAACTGATTAATTAGGAGAGCTTAGGCATTGTGCAAACACGATCAGATTTCATCGAATTAGTATGTGATCTTGGTCACCTGAAGATCGTATGCGCACTCACCATCAGAAATCACGTGATAAGGAGCCCTAGGAGCTTCGTGCTCAACTTAGTTATCAATTAGTTTACCTACATTCTACTTGATCTAGTAACGAATTCACTTTCAAGTGAATACCAGTGATAAAGCCTTAACCTATAACTACCAACCAGATGAAACCTCAGGCAGCCGCTGCCTCCAGTATGTTACGACGGCTATCTTCTACGCCGCGTCACATGACTAAACCAAGGTAACGTGATTAAGTCACGTTATGGACCGCTGAGGAACGCTGGCTGTCCAGGACCACGCAGCGGTCCTGACTAGCCATAGGCATGAAGGTCTATATAATCAAGATGGATTTCCTTTGTATAGAGCTTCGTGCTCAAGATCAATCATTTAGTATACTCTACTATTACTTACGAATTGTATATCATTATTGTCATTACTTAAGTCCCTGCTTGACGCCTAGTTATAAACCACCTCGAGAGCCTAGAGCACTTCCACGTGATCTAGACGGCAAACCTCATAAGAATAAATCCTATACAAATTGAAAATCAAAAATTTTAAGTTTATAAATTTCAATGAATTCAATTACAAAAAGTCTGAGATTTTCAGAATTGATTTATAAATATATAATTAATCTATGATTCAAATTTCATCAAATTCTATTATTTGATTGTAAAGTTATTAATAGCCAAAAATGATGATTTTTGGTATAAAAGGGTGGCCCATATTAGGCGTGGCCCAAAAGTAGGGTACTAGACTTAATACCTACCACTAATTCATGTCAACACTCCATCTAGATCCCGCAAATACACTCCACCCCAATAACCACACCAAAACCCATTTTATAATACACAACCTGAAATTATCTATTCCTCCACGCTATACATCTCCAGGGGGATCGTTTCTCTCCTTCATAAGCTATCTATATACCTAGCCAGCTAGATGCCAAATATCAAATACCGAATAAGCCTCTTAGGCTGGTACTAATCATTTAAATGATAATATACTTACTTACTTTAATGGTATAGATGGATGTTTGAGAGATTATTATATTTAGATCTATATCTATATCTATTCGGAGATGGGGCGGGGGAGGTGGTCAGTTTAGATTGAGAGATTTGATTAATTGATTGGTTGGTTGATATTATATCAACTCGAGATAAAAGATAAATAAATATAATATATAAATACTCTTTAAGTACTAGAAGAATCTAAAATTGTGATTATGATTACCATGTAGTGGTCGTGCGATCATTCATTCATTCACTCATTCATCATCTCTTCATATGCAAATTCAAATCAAAAGAATGAACCTCAAGTTGATTATCCTCGACATCCTCAACACACAACTAAAATAAACTAACCATCCATCAAACCAAAAATTTCAGAAAAAGAAGAAAATTTCATCCCCAAGCCCAAGAAGTAAGAGTACCATTCATCCAATCATTACCAATAGGTCCATAATACCGGTAGTATATCACCATAAGAATCCATCAAAAAAATCTCATCCCACCATTCAATCGTTACCCTTCCCTCCCCTCTACTTACGGTATTCAAATTCCCATCAAACTTCTAACCATCATCTTAGCCGCATCAGCATTTCCACCCAAATTACTTTGATCCTCTGTACTTGGGTAGAAGAAAGCTGCTACCGCAATAATCACATATGCTGCGCAAAGAAGTGCACCTTCGAGATAATTGGATCTTCCATCCAGAACCAAGAAATTGACAATGAAAGCCGAGACAAAGAGACAGACGGTTTCGAAAAGGGTGAAGTATAATGTCATTTCTTTGGACATACACCAGCCGAGTAAGACGATGAAGGGAGTAACGAATAGAGCTATTGTGATGAGTTAGCTAAGGTTATATTGAGATTAAGATGGAAGCATACCAATTTGAATAGAAGAACCAACAGCAACACCAATTGCCAAATCCATTTTATTCTTACTAGCAACCGTAACAGCAGTAACGTGCTCGGCAGCATTACCAACAATAGGTAAGATGATAAGACCAATAAAAGCCTCACTCAAACCAGAATTACTAGCAACAACAGCATTGATACTGTCAACCATGAATTCGGCACAAACTGCGACGAGACCAGTAGAGAGAAGAAGTAAAACGATGGCTGTAGTACGAGAGATATTTTCATCCTCATTATCCATAGGAACCTTATTAACTGCCACAGCGGTGCTGGTTATTCGAATGGGCGCTAAATTTGCGGGAGCACCAGCTGGGTGTGACATTGTCTGATTGAGACGATCGGGCAAAGAATTTGTGCGACGAATTCCCATACGAACGCGAGGAATATTTCCAGGTGGTGGAGTACCGGTAGGTGCTGGATTAGTAAAGACATTTTGAGAGAAAGTTTTTGGAATTTGAGGTCGAATGTTGGAAGTAATTCCGCGAAGAGTAAATGGTCGTTTATTATCTTGCTGAGCTTCAGAATTTTCCATCATGGCAAAATCAACACGTCGTGGATCAGAATCATTTTGTTCCGCCGCTGCTGCTTTCTCATTTACGACATCAGGTACAACACCTTCATTGATGGTTTGCTGATGCCTGGTAGCTTTCTTACGAGCCTTCTTTTCCTTTTTCTGTAGTTTGCGTTCTTTCTTATGTTCCTTTCTGGTCATGACATAGTTTGTGAATGAACCATTGCGACTTCTTCTAGGACGCTCATCATCACCATCTTCAGCTAGATCAATAGCACCTGTACGATGATCATCGCCAGTGGATCCACGACCTTCAACTGCGTGGTTGATGCTTCCATTACCGAAAGAGGGCGTTCGAAGAGCCTCAACGTCTACAGTATCTTTGGATGCTGAACTCGACTTACGACGTCTACCACCTCTGATAAGTCTCTTGACACGTTTGGCAGTAGTGTTGGAACCACTGGAGCCATCAGAATCAGAGCTTGAAGAGGATGAATCGTCAGAAGATGAGTCCATCCAAGCTGCAACAGGGCCAGGAGCTGATTCTTCATCAATAATATGTTGAGGAGTACTTTCATACATGTATGCATGTGACTTTAATTGAAACAAAAGATACATGGCGTACACCAAAAGGAGGACCTGATAAAAGTCAACATATTGTTTCCTTAGGCCTAAGTGGAAAACTTACAACACTGGTACCGCGACTGACTTGCAAGACTCTGGTGTTGGCCTTATTTTCTGCAGTCGTAGTATTGAAGGATGCATGGAAAGCAGTCTATATTCATCAATTATGATTCCATTTAAGTGAATGGTTATACATACCGGAAGCAATAAACTCATGACGCTCAAACTTAGAAGACAAGCACTCATTTGTGTGACAGTACTATTATAGATCTAGGAATGTCAGTGGGGACTCGGAAATTTCTTATGAATAATATATTACCTGTTCACGGAAGCGCAGTCCACCAACCAAGAAACACATGCCTAAAATCAAGAGTAGATTTGCTAGAATTGAGCCGAGCAAGGAAGCTTGAACGATACGAATTTCATTCTGTCAAATGTTAGAATGCCTTTAAATTGATAGGAAGGATTTACTAACCTTTTGCAACGCAATGCTATAGGGTTAAAGATGAACAGGTGAGCATGTATTTTGAAAAGAAATTCACACGGGACTTGCATGATGAGACAAAGAAAATTGGAAAGGGTATAATGATATGGGACGCGATTGATATGATAATGCCTTTAAGAGGGCTTCTCGCACTTTCTTGTCTTGATCTCTTATGAGGTAGACATACATACTATTAGATATTAGCTTAATTCTACATCCAAGTGTATATATGATAGAACTTACAAAATGATAAGCTCAACAGCATTACCAAAAGTAACATTCATCAAAGCACCAATAGTATCACCCATTCTCTTCGCCACACTTTCCGTCGCATGACTGAGTAAACCTGCTAAAGGTATAATAGCAATTGCGTTCATCGCGAAGATGATACCTGGGCTAAGGTCAATTGCATAGGCTACGATACCAACCGGTACAAATACCAACAAGATATTGATATAACTTGAAAGTATAATATGTTTACCGGTAAACCAAAATCGAGTGGCAACATTCTTCTTCTTGGGTTTCTCGTTTTCTGTAGATTCTATGATATTCCTCTCTCCATCAACTTGCGGTGGTGGAGCTGGTGGCGGATGAACGTTGGATGTATTATCTGCCACATTATTTGAAGTGGGATTTGAACGTTGATTGTTGAGGCCATTGTGAACTGAGTTATTTCTTGGAATATTGTTTGCATCGTATAAAGCTGATGTAGCAGTGTTGTGATACTGCGTATGAGTAGGAGGATTACTCAAGGGGAGAGTTGGTCCACTCGAATCTGTTGAACTCGTAGAGTTGCCATGCGCCTTGGATCTATCCCAAAAGCTCACACGATTTATAAATGACGGCGAACTAGACGAAGTTTTCTTCATCGATGTAGAATCAGATGAATAGGGTTGGGTATTGGATGGGGGGGGAAAGTGTTGAGAGAAAGAGAGAAAGAGAGATATGTGTTGGCTGACAAAATCCAAAAGGAGGGAGGAGGGGTATTATCTAGATTAAAAAGGGAGAGGAAGGAAGACAAAGGTTATGTTTGATGGTTGATATCAAAAATGAAGCGTGATTGTTTATTGATATACCCAGTAGGTGTAACGTTTATTAAAAACAAAAAGGGATCACTCGGGAATGGGAAAAGTTTGGGGCTTTTGAGGGGATACGGTGAAAGGACGAAAGGACCCCCAGTTGATAAGGCGAAGAATACAGGCATTATAAGGTCTGCTGTTTGCCAAGGCTGAACTTTATTTTGTTACCAAGGGGTGGGGAAATGTCCAAGAACAATGAATATGATTGGATATATTTAGACATAATTCTTGATCTTCCGTTATACTATTGGATGAGAACGAAAATGATCTGGCTTGTGATTCCTGATTCGTGAATTATGGGAATAGGGTAGATGTGGCGCAGTAGAGTGGGGTCGATGTTGGTTGATGTGTTAAGGAAGCGCTTCAATTTGAGGAAGCGGGAAAAGAAGACGGGCGTGCATCCATGTTGCTTGCATCTAGTAAAATCGTTTCTAGGGATTCATCTTTTTGATATCAATGGGGTGTAATATGTATGTATGATTGGTATCACTCGATCAATTACTCAAACGAGTATCTCATCCATTTACTCAACGAATCAACGTATTCGATTATTTAACTGAAACGAGTATGTGTTCCCTTCCCCTTGTTACTCAACATATTCCACCATCCAAACAACCACTTAATACGAGGTATGCAGAGTGGGTTGGTTGATGAAATGTGAAATCCATCTTCCCATCTTATCTGGAGAGCGATCACTTCTTGTAAAGTATCCATCTCTCTTCTATACCTAGATCCAAGTTGACTCGATCACAGTATCTGAGGAGAGAAAGGTGTGTAGAGTCAACCATCTGTATATATCATCGTGTGTGTATATCAAATCAGAATGATAGCAGAGTGGATACGGAATATATAGAACAAAGAGATGGAAAAGCATATGAAAGATAAATACCTACATTTGGATTCTCCTTATTCATATCTTTGATACCTTCCAATCGAATCACAAATCTGCCGTGTGTCCAGTCCTTATTCGTTCTAGGTCTCCATCCAAAAACATTTGGTACCACTGTAAACTCTTTGATCGCCAGTAACAAAGTGGTCGATCAATCAACTGCCGGTATTCAAGTTGTGCAACTAAATCAGGTACTCAAGTACAGAGTATTAATGAATGGGAACAATAAGATGATGAATGGGAACAATAAGATGATGAATGGGAACAATGAGATGAAGAATTGACATCTGATTAGAGGTAAAATAGTGAACAGTAGTTGATAATATGTTATCTTTGCTATCCATATAGACAACAATATATTTCTTGTCTATCTATCAAGATTACCTTTTCACATCAGACAACTCCCATGACCTCCCATCCTCCAGGAAAGCACATATTTGATTCGTACCTACCCATCCAAGCTATCACCAATGCTTGATACATTTTCCCCGCGCCAAGTCACGTCAAAAGCATACGCACGCTCTGGCCAAGGACTTTTCCATTTATCATCCAATACCCTCACATTTCATCTATTCCATATATATATTTCACAAACAAATCCATCCAAACAATTCTTCATCCAGAATGATCGAACTTTCATCCCGTATTCCATCTCCATATGCCTAACCACACCATGAATAATCAAATCACATAACTTCATCACAGCATCCACAGATCATCGCATGTATACGCATACGCACAGTCACTCGACGCACTAACATGAATTCGTCATCACAGTATCTTCACGCCACAATCCGCACAGCCACATCTAATTCTTCCCTTGTACATACTCCAACCAGTAAAACAAGGCTGAGTATCATTTCCATTTTCATAATTTACCTCGGTCGGTAAGGTCATCATCGTACTCGCATTTTAAATATTGTGGCTAGTAAGTAATCACTAGTACCGGCCGGTAATTCCCCTACCGTTCATCATTTCTTCACCGTATATTTATTTCATGATATCGACGACCATGGATGTATCATGATGAATCACAATGAATAGTTTATTTCATCATTGTACTTTCATGTTTCATATTTTATGATTCATGATTCATGAGTATTCGTACTCGAATTTTCTAGAAATTTCGATATTTATGACGTCTTTTATTTGCAGTTAGCTTGATTATAACTCGATGATTACTCTAGAGAAGACATGGTAACCTAGATACTCCGTAGATATCAAGCATATGAATCCGGATCCGACTATTCGGTCTTACCTCTATGATGGAAGTCTAGACTCTGAATATAGTGATCCAGATGTATGTATCCCGTAATATGCCGGATTTTTAATTTTCTAGAAGGCTGTATGGAAGAATCATGATATATGGGGATATACTAACCGTTTACCGGAGATAGAGAATGGTAATTACAACACTCCTCCGTATTTCGGTTTTAGTTTAAATATCTCGATGAGAATAGACCGAGGACATTTACATATTGATAGGCAATAGATAGAAGATTCAAGAATATGACAATTGACCAAGTAAGACTATTAGATACCATTACTAGATATTCAAAAAGCGATAGTCTTAAAGTTCCGAAAAGAGATGAATAATAAATACCTAGGGTATCAAAAACCTATCTACTTCAAAAACAAAACAGAAAATTAAATTACACTATACACAGTACATCGTCCGTAATTCCACAAGGGAATTCAAATATCTAAACCTCACTTCGTCATACACTCATACTCCGTGATATCTTTCCTTAACCTCAAAATTTTATTTAGTATCTGAGAATCAATATCAATCTACTGATAGATATCACAAACAATAAACAAGCTTCATCAACCTTTAGGCGATGCAAATCCCAAACTCTAAATCTCCTATAGGTTAAATAAACTGTATTTTGCGATCATAGCAGAGCAATATATCCTGAATATCCTATCAAATATAATTTAAAGTACCTATAATACTTTATAAACTCTTAAGCAATCCCAATCCCAATCACAAACCGCAAACTGTAAACTTCAGACCCGTCTACCCACCCAATATAAGATGCAAAATCCAAAGAAAGTTCAAAATCTCAAGTACTATAAGTCTTACTTTCACATGACACAAAAAAAACAATATAATCAAAGCACAAAATCCCTATAAAAAATTCATTTAAACTTCTCTCATTCATCATCATCTATCTATATATACACAAGAAATTTGAATATCTCCCTATTCATCTCCATCTCCATCTCCATCCATCTCCCTCTTTCCACCCCAATCATCCCATAAACACACAAAAAACCCCTACGCATCACAAGTATCATCATCCTCCACCCCGGCCGCAGAAGTAGCCACAGCCACAGCACTAGAAGTAGTACTAGCCCTCGTCATCGTAACAAGCGTCGTAGGAAGCGGCGCAAACGAAGTAGTCAAAACGGGGATCGAACTCGAAGCCGCAGCCGAAGTAGCGATAGCAGCAACGGAAGAAACGGAAGATGCTACAATAGGTACGGAAGAAGAAGCTGGAGCTGCAATACTGGATACTGCGGCGGAAGAACCGGCGGATGCAGAAGCAGAACCCGTGCTTGAGCTTGAACCTGAACCTGTACCTGTACCTCCGACGGTAAAATCAACGCACGATTCGTAGGTTTGGTCGATAGATCGTGCATCCCAGAAATGCTGTACCACGCATGCACCAGCAACAGCACATTGATCACCTAGATCCGTTGGAATCGTAATGCTGAAGGAAGTTTGATTGGGTTTTACACCCGTCGCAGTCGATGCGAAAACATCGTAATACAATAATTGTTTAAGAACCTTATTATCAGCCGTTGAAACAATTGAGATATTAGCTGTTCCCGTATGAGGAGCCACTACATCGAATTGAAAGGGGACGACTTGGCCCGCGGTCCAACTCTGCACTTTATCCTTGTTGTCGGCGTATTTGTAGCCTTTGCATTGCCAGATGTTACATTCGGCGGCGTTGTAATCTTTTTGGGAATTGGCTACTTGGAGCATGCCTTGGATGTTGCCGTTGGGATCAGAAGCTTGGTTGATTTCGACTTGTTGGCCGCAGGCGGATGTCATGGCCGGACCTGGGGCTCGGGGTGTAGGAGAGAGGATACGACCGTGGGCTGAGACGGAGGTGATTAGGCTGATGGCCATGAGGATTGTGGATGTGTATTGCATTTTGATGATGTGGTGTTTATCGTCAAGATAAAATATGTGTATGATTGGAAGAGAGATTTGAAATTTCTTGTATGAATCGATGAATGGTCGAATGAAATCTACCAGAACTAGCTGGGTGAATGAATGTAGAATATGGATTGAATGAATGTAAGAGGCGACTTTGCACCAAAAAAGAATGTATATGAGATAGAGACAGAGAGAGAAGTTTGAACGAAGAAAGACGAGATGAAGAAACAAGAGAGTAAAACTACCTCTCCCCATAGGAAAGAAACCAACTTATATGAATTACCCTCCTCGAAGAACTTTTCCCAAAACAATCACGATAAACAGCATTAAAATTAGATACAAGCAAAAGAGGAACGAACAGTGGACCAGCATCACCAACCCCCATCTCAAAACAAGGTAGAACCCAATACTCAATCCTGTTCATCTCAAGACTGCTACAACATATCCACCAGATGAAAAGAAACCACCCCCGATATGATCAAACATCTGGATGCAGATAAAGTACCCTCCAGTGTCCACTTGCACTCCCACCCATCTATCCATGCAATCACCAATCTCTAAACCAAATACCCCAGTACCTCGCACCATTATTGGGAACCACACTAAGCAAACCCACCAAAGCTCCAACGACATGCAAGATGCAAGATACAAGTGCAAGAAGCAAATAAAGTGACATACATCATCCATACTGTATACAAACCTAGCGTCACGCCCAGGTGTATACTCCCATAAAAAAAAACATACCAAAAACCCCACAAGCGACGAAATCCCAAGTAAAAACCACAAAAAGCCCCACATAAATATCAAGCAAGCGCCACTAATTAATCTACACGGAACCATTTATTTCTGTTGAAACAGTAACTCTGAGATGAAAATTCTCCATTTATTTATTCATTCATTCAGGGAATTATGGGATAAGGATACCTACTCGACTATCTTAAGATGCGATTGGTGTATATGCACTGGGATAATCGGTACAGACGCCGATGAGGTGAAACGCAGGGACAATGGGACAGGGGAAGGGAGTTTGAGGTGAGATGAGATGAGATGAGATGAGATGAGATGAGATGGATAGATGGGATGGGATGATGATATTTTGGCGCAGGTGGGAGAATATTTATATATTTTATGTGTATGTGTTTATATGTGACTGCTGATGGGATTTATGGAAAGGATCAATTAATCAATCTAATAATATAATGAATGAATAATACCGGTAACTCGATTTATATATTAAATACTTGCTTATTATTATATATCATCACATTACATCTCACAGACCACCAACGTCGTGCACTGAATGGTAAGTAAGGTTAATCTAACTTTGACAGATACCCGTGAATTACATCATTCGTCATTCTCTAATCAATCTATAACCTTATACTGTAAGCATATCTACCTAGTATCTACCTAGTACATCAAATCATGAAACCACTACTGTAACACCAAATCCAGAAGCATGAAAGAATATAATAGAGAAACCCCTCAATAGGCATAATCCATGATTTATAACATTTCAGATGATAGAAGAAGATCGTACTCCGTAGGTAAGACTTACTTACTAGGTATCCATTATAATAATTACCAAAAAGTAAGACTCATATTGATTATAAACTTCCTCAAACACTTATTTACAAGTTCTGATTCCCCGGGTATTTTTCCCATTCGGTTTCTTTTTTTTTTAAATTGTACTTACTTATAAGCACCTGTATTGATAAACCCTCCTTTCTTTTTCTTCTCAGTCACTTACTCAGTTGACCACTCACTCATAATCCAAAAGCAAAATAATATCTATTCCTTAAGCACTATAACTAAACAAACCGACAAAAAACACAAAAAATTCCATACGCCACACAACACCAACTCTCCAAAACCACTTCCCATACCTACCCTCAACCACCTAATCCCATCATCCCATCCCGTCATCCCATCCCATCATCCCAACGCTAAACACCAAGCTTCTCCTCAATGCCCTATCCAAAATCATATCATCCCATCAAATCATTGCGTATCACAATTCATATTCTTCGCCAGTATTTCCATCACGTTCTCAGACGGGACTATATTGCCAGGCGTAGAACAACAATCCTTATATTCCTCAAAGCCCTCATCGACCGATTTCCCCGGATTATTCACCGTCCAAAGCAGCCAAAGGGCATTATCAAAAACCTCTCGTTGCTTTACGTTTGGGAATTTTTTATTGTACGCGTCTACCGATTTGATGAGCTCCTGGAGTTTTTTCTCTTCCTCCATGTACTCCAACTCCTCTTCTGTTGGTGGTGGCCCTGGTGGCGCATTCTCCTTTTCCTTGATGCTTTGCTGTTCCCGGTATTCTAGGTAACTGCAGACGCGGCCGTCGGTATATGTGATTCCAGTGTCTTCTTCTAGCACTTCTAGATCCGTTTCCATCTTCGTGTTGTCCCACTGTCATAGAAATGTAATAATCAGCCATCAGCCATCGATATATATCCTTGGACATCCAAGACCCCTCCAGAAAGGATGAAAATCCTCATGTAAGTTTAAAAGTATCGTAGCCAGATACGAGGAGCTTAGGAATTCTTCTTACCCCAAGTAAAGTTTCAGATCCCTCATCCCAATTAATTAACCTTCGGCCTTTAGGCAAACCAACTTCGTCCCATGTTGCCTCACCACCGCGGATTTCCATAAATTCCGGAGTGGTTAGTGGTAAACGTCGTATGATACCTTCTGGAGCCCAACTAAGATCAATGGTCGTCAATTTCCAATCTCACAAAAAAAAAAGAAAAGTGTCACTCACGTAAGGAATGGTGAAGTAGATGCCACATGCCATAGCATATCCTCAAGTTCTTGTTTGGACATCAGACCCAACCCAAGCTTGCTCATGTCTCCATCCTTATTTTTGACATCGGCATTGAAAAGAGTAAGAAACCTTTCAGCGCTGAAATCCCAAAAGGTAGTCATAGGCCACATTATATCCCTGCTCCCGACTTGAGACTCACTGAGAAGGTGGACAGCGAGAATGAATGCAAATGCATTCCGTTTGGCCTTTTCAAACTTTTCACGTTTTGGCCTCAATGGTGTGAGATCCGTCCGTGGCCAGCTCGAGGCATGAAGTTGGATAGATCCACGATAAGTCGAGAAGTCACCAGAATCCTCTGACTCGAATCTTACATGCTATCAGCATATGCGCCCAAGATGGAAGTAAGAGAAGTTTACCTGAAAAGATATGGTATCGAATTGCAATGAAGTAGATACGCGCGCCATTCTTGGGCACTGATTTTCAGTCCACCAAGTCGTCGAATATAATCACGCTGCGGATAATATCAGCTTTATGTCATTGTCAACACTTTAGTTAATTCTCGACACGGGAAATTATGTGCCTACCAAGGTATGCTCAGGCATCGCGAAACACATTGTGTGAAGGGCCAATTGTCGACGATTTTCAATCAAATACTTGCTTATTTCGTGAAACCGAGGACAAGGAGGTAATTCCTGATCTTCATCTTCGGGATCGACAGTCTCCTCGTCGTCAACTCCTAATTCTTCCTCCAGGCTTCGCTGTGGTTGTCGACATACAGCCTCTCGCACAATGGCGTGTTCTACTCTCCGACGTTTGTGAGGGCCCTGTGACTCTAATCTATCCATACTAGATTCGGCATGTCGTTTCTTGTCTGGTATCCCCTCAAACTCGACGAATGAATGCCTGCTCGCTAGGGGAATTTCACCGTTGCTTTCCATTTCAAATTGCGAACCGACGATTCTTGAGTATCTAGCGCTATGAAGTCCATACCTGCCGGCGTCAGTACTCACTTGAATTGACAAGATGGAATAAGATCAAATGGACTTACTTCCTAATAAAGAATTCAAATTTGGGTTTACTTCCCATATCAACTAAGATGTGTCAATGTTTCCACAATTACCAGTTTATTGAACGGCTCAAAAAAGGTAGAGTTATGTGATTCTAAGGAGAAAAGGCCGAGGAGAGATTGACGAAAGTAGCAAAGCCAACGTATAGGGGCAGGTAAAGAGCTGGGCAGTACTTACGAAACCAGGAAACAGGAACAGGCCAAAATGTGCATTTTTCAAAAGCCTACAGGAACACAGCGTTAGATTAGTACTGCTAATATATATCGTTGTACACAAATGCCAACAGAAACAAGACGAAGACATAGAATGATGTATTTACCGGTGGTTTATTGACTAGAACCGGGTGGTCGCCATTATAACCCTGGAGATTCCGAGTGTTTATATCACTGCTTTGCATGAGATGAAGGATACGGTTGTTGTCAAGAGCTATTGCTTACTAGGCCATACCTCCTGCGTCTGTACAAAAAGTCAGTATGTGGTGATTGATCATGGCCCTCGAAAGAAAGTTATAAACAAGATGAATTCCGGACTTGGGTATTGATTAAAAAATAGAAGATATTAGATATGCTTACCTAGATGAGCTAGCTTTCCCTCTCCACTAGGACCACGAAGGCCAGCTGTAATTCCACCAAATAACTGATTCAAAATTAACAAGTATTAATATATGTCCCTCTGACAAAACCTACCGTTTGCTCCAACTAAAAGTGACAGAAGACATATCAGTATTAATCCGTAGCAAATAAGCCCAACAAAGACTCACCGACATGCCACTAGAATTGTCAGTAAAGCGTCAAAGTAAGCAAGTAATGAGTGGCTCACAGTTCCGAAGTTACTTCTTGCTCAAAATATATCTCTTTAAGCATTCCTCCATAGTGGGGGTAGCTGACTTTGCATTCTTGCTGATAGACAGCATGCTATGTTAAATTAGAGCAAGTCGAAGGACATCCAAAACGAGGAGTCAAAAAGTAACGTACAGCAAGCTCATGTATGATAGTGATTGCAAAGTCACAATGAATCAGACGTTTCTCTGCAACATTTAATTTTTCCACTGTTCCAGGAAGCAAGGCCGAAATGGAACGGAAATCGAGATTTATAACACAAATACTGTCGATCAAACTTGCTATCGTTGAGCCAGCAATACTTCCCAGTCTTGCATCGAATAGCTTAACACCACTTGTTGTATCGGTAAAACAACTGGTAAGAGAGAAATATATGTTTTTCGAAAAGTCGAGTAATTTGTTTCGGACATTTCTTCTGGCCTCTTCACTTCCATATACAAGAGGATGTCTGGTAATAAATCGTCTGTAATCTCTTCGTCCAAAGTGCATCCTTGGGATCTCATTTTGCGGAATCTCAGTCCATTTTGAGGCAAACAGACCATCATGCCTACACAGATTATTTAGACCTTGAGTCGCTAATAAATCGGGGTATAGTTACCATGGCCACATATCGATATTCGAGAAATACAAGCTGGCGATTCTTAGAGAGGGAAGCAAGGCTTCCCACACAATATCATTTGTATACTGTCATCACCATTAGAACCATTAATCCCTCCCCGCAAAAGCCTCGTACTCACAGCATTCCAGTATCCATCCAGCTGCTTCCCAAGGGGGAATTCCGCAGCTTGTTTCGGCAGAGGGAAATTCCACTTTTTTCTTTGCATTACAGGATGGATGGCAATATCAGCACTGACGTTAAGCACAGTTTCGTCTTTGTATGTGTTGTAGAGCGGAGCCAAAGCTTCTACTCTCTCCAACTCCGCAGCTGTGAAGTCTGCAAGTATTATCTGTTAGCAATCATCGGATAATCAGATGTGAGAATTAAATACTCGAATAGAGACGTCTCTGTATAAAGCGCACATCATCGGCGAATTTAATTTCGGAATCAGTAGCATGTGGATTCAAAATCATCGGAGTGAGACCACTCTTTAAAGGGATTGCATCTTTAATAATTGGCAAAGGGAGATGGCCATATTTCTGAGCAACCTCAGTACGAGGTAATTGCGGTTTCCAACATCCACGAGAAGCCATTTTGAATATTGTGTCAAGAATCTTTCGTAGAGATATTCTGTGTGATCTGGTCCCCTTGCGAATATTTATGATTGAACCATGTTACGAGATGGTTGTCTTGCAACAATGGAGAAATTATGAGATACCCTATCACCATGAACAAAGGGAAAATGTAAATGATTGAGATAAAGAATATGGTATAAATAGTATCAAAGACGGATTCCGACAATGACTGCAAAGAAAGCTCTTTTCCTTCTTCAAACTAGTAGTCTTCAATTATTTTCTCTTATGTGGCACTTAATCTGCAAATCGCATGGGCACAATAGCAACAAAGTATCTCAAACCACTTGGAATGGTCCAAATAAGTAACCATTACACCAAAATTAAACTCTCACCATTTCCCACCTCCAAAAATTTAATATTCCCTACCTTTTCAACATCACCAGCGTCCCCATTCTCCATGGCTTCTCTCTCCAAAGCCTCCTTTAGTGTTATGACCTTCCGATTTAAAAACCAACTCACTAACCCTCCACCCGTCTTGACCTCATCGTGTGTGCCAAGCCAGTACTTTGCATTCAATAATCTCTGAACCTTCAATCCATTATGCGCCCCTTTATTCAACTGAGCCCTCGGTAACGAAATATCCTGCAACCCATGCAGTAACGCGAGGATCCGAATAGACGGCCGAGCACTCCCCACCAACGTCAGATCACCCGGATCAATTCCATGAGGTGTATAAATGACCGCTTCGGGCATTTCCTCACCCGCATCTCCATCTAGACTATTATCCCGCGCAAAAATAGAAAAAGTAATCATAACAGCAGAATGATAATAAAGTAAATCCACCCCCTCCTTCGCAACTCTCGAAATTCCCACCCAATCCGGTAAATCCTCCGAAAAAGAAGCACCTCTCCAATCCCCGTCAAACCTACATATTTCCCGCACACGATCAAAATGCATCCAAGAATTAATGGCCGCCGCAGCTTTCGAAGCCGCAAATACAGGAACGCTGCTAGGTATCTCAAGTAAAGTATCCTTATGCATATGATCTGTAAATTCATGGCTCACAACCACCGCATCAATACAACTTCTATCTCCCAGCACTCCATTTTTATGCACCACTTCTTCAATACCCTTAATAACGTCCTCTACCTCCTTGATACTTTGCACCGCACTAGGATGCGCATGCCATTGTTGACTAAAGAAAGCCGCTACGTCGCTTTGACCACCGCGAAGCCATGGATCAATGAGAATATGATAATAAGATCTGCGGAAAGGATTGTAGGCTGTAGGAGGATAGGGGATGGAAAGGAGCCATGTAGTGTCTGCGTTGAGATGAGTGATAAGTGGACGATGGGTATTGAGAGCTTCGCGGATGGAATCGCTGAGGGTGGTTTGGAGTTGTGCGGAAATTAGATTGATCGTTTGATCCATGATGGGTTGGGAAGATTAGTAGGCATATTTGGTGGGAGGAGTCGGGAGATGAGATATGGTTACATGTTGGTGGCGGATACACAAAAGGGTAGTAACGGACTCAATGACGTCTGGGATGTGTTATCGGCAGGACGGTCCGAGCTCAACGGGTTGCAATTGGAAAATACAGATTTATGTTAAAGTGAATGGTTCCTGCTTAGCACGTGCACAGGGCACTAGTCCTGTTAGGACTAGATTGAGAAGCTCTCTTACAGAGAGCTTCGCACTTCCGTAGAACTTAGAAGAGAGATTAACCTACTAGACCAATATTACCTCAGTTCTGCCCTATCAGCTTCCCACTATTCCCTGTGTGAGGTCATTCCTTTTAACAATTTATTTATTTCAATAATTTCATTCATCAATAATTTATATATAATTATTCTTTTAATTTGTATGACAATTAATTATATAATAACTCTCTTTTCTTTTTAAAATATAAAATACCTAATCATGTATAAACAATTTAATTTTAAATCTTAAAAAAATCAATGAATAATACATAAATTAATTAATATTGTTACGAGGTTTGCCGTCTAGATCACGTGGAAGTGCTCTAGGCTCTCGAGGTGGTTTATAACTAGGCGTCTGTCACGATTCACCATTAGGATTGATGGTGTTACGATGGTAGCAAACTGATTAATTAGGAGAGCTTAGGCCGTGTGCAAACACGATCAGATTTCATCGAATTAGTATGTGATCTTGGTCACCTGAAGATCGTATGCGCACGCACCATCAGAAATCGCGTGATAAGGAGTCTTGAGGAGCCAGAAAGCTCCTAGGGGCCCCCTTTATTGTTCAGTATATAGTCAGAGTAGTTTCATAGTTTAGGAGCTTCGTGCTCAACTTAGTTATCAATTAGTTTACCTACATTCTACTTGATCTAGTAACGACTTCACTTCCAAGTGAAGACTAGTGATAAAGCCTTAACCCACAACTACCAACCAGACGAAACCTCAGGCAGCCGCTGCCTCCGGTACAGTATCGTTACAGCGTCAAGCAGGGACTTAAGTAATGACAATGATGCAATTCGTAACTAATAGTAGAGTATACTAAATGATTGATCTTGAGCACAAAGCTCTACAGTGAGGGAATCCCCCCTAGTTATATAGACCTTCGTACTATGCATCCCACTGCCCTCTATCGTCCCATCAAGGTGGGAATATTTCCCACCATAGTGGGATTTCTCAGCTCGGTGGGAATCCTTGATCACATGTTTTCGATCAGATTCGATGTCTGTGCTTGCTTAAGGTGGGGGAGACCACATGAGTCAATTGCCATACAGTTTTGTATGTGAATCTACTTGCTTTTCCAAATGATCCGAGCTTGTATGGACAGATCAGCTGTTACTTCGTAACAAATATAAAATTATTTATATTTATTACTTTATAATTTATTTTATCTTATAAAGAAGTTTTAAAATTTGAATTATATATTCTATGTATTTATTTAGAGACTTTATTCATTTTCTCAATTATGATCTGAATATTCAAAAATAAAACAAATCAGAAATTAAAAATCAAATCACAAAATCAAAAAACATCTTTCTCAAGTGGGAAAAAGTCAAGCCAAGTCAAGTCAAGTCAAACCAAGTCAAGTCAAGATCAAAAATAATGTTTTAAATGATGCTCTTTTGTTTTTGATCTCGATTATTACAAATGATTTACCCTAGGGTTCATATCCCCATCCATCATCTCTCTTCTCTCTTCAGCTTTCCTCTTTCCTCTTCCCTCCTTCTCATTTCTCTCTTCTCTTCTCTTTTTTCCTACATCTACATCACGAGTCTGAAATCCATCCTCCCTCCACACGCGTGCTCTAATTCTCTTTTCTCTTTCATTTCCAATGGTGTAGATCTACCACTTGATCGTATTATTCCACCATTCAAGCACACGCATATTTCCTTCTGAAAGAAAACCACCATTTGAGATCTCACTACTACCACCAGTCAAATAAGATATCCCAATTCCGTCCCGCTCCAATCCATCACCCCCCAAACCTCCCAAACAACCCAACGTCACCAAATTAATAGAGAAGAGAAAATAAAAAGTGAAACAACAACTTTAAGCCAAGTTAAGAGAAAATAAACTATTCGGCTACTCTTCACAATCAAGACATATAAATGCTAGTCAATTCAACTCCAATAACCCAAAGATATAATCTTACCCACAGCGAAGTAAAATAAAGAGCCAAGTACTCATCCATCGATGATGAGTTCACAATCCACAAATCGAGGTAGAAGTCGAGTTGAGTGTGCAAAAATATAACAAGCGAACCATATGATGAAATGCAAGAGAACGCCTGTCCACACTCCTTTCATCCTCCCGTACCAAAATCCAGCGGGCCCGCCAAGCCGTTCTAGAGAAATGAAAGCAAACTTGCTATCAATCAGACCAAAAGCTGAGTGGCAAGTTTCTGAGGCTTTCGCTGAAAGCTTATGCATAATCCAGAAATGAGCAAAGCTATTGTCGTGTATATGTCGAAGTGATATCATTTAAAAAGAACTATTATCTCGAGCCGACTTTCACTCTCCACGAGCCTTTCCACGTCTTCGGAAGAAGTCCATGACCTTTCTAGCTGCACCACTACTACCTCCATGGTCATTGTGTGCGTGCTCTTGATCATAAGCATCGGCAAACTTCCGGTTGTTCTTCTGTAATACGCCTCTAGCATTGCGTCCTCCTGGTCGTCGAGAGTCTTCGTACGAGGCATTATTCTCATTTGGATAAGGCCCGCGTCGAGTTTGGCCGAATGAAGATTCAGAATCAGTCGTTAATGCCGATTCATCTTGGCGGTAGTTTATGGGTGGCAAGAATTCTGGTGGACCAACCAACCTAGAATCCGGATTTTGTTGTTGTGGTTGAGCAAAACGTTGTCTCTCTTGTTGGGCAGGGTTAGCGGCATAAGACCCATCAACATGCTGATAATCAGCGGTACCTCCGCTGAGATTTCTTGCTTCCCTATTGTCCTGCGGAGCATCAAGATGATTACCTTGCGTTTCAGGGAATTGCTCATAATGGCCATCGGTCGGAGTACTAGCGGGCGGAGTACCCGGATCTTTACCAATGCCAATAGATTTGAGAGAGAATGATGCCGGAAGAAGGGAAAATCTTCTTGATGCCTTCTCTTGGGAACCGGTTTGAGATCGCCCAGTTATACTTCCGCTTCTCTTCTTGCCAAAACCAAAAGAAATAGAGCGTCTAGAGTCCATCGACTGCCTCGAATCATCGGCATTTGTGATATTGGCATTTGACATGCTGACTGGTGGGTATGACTTCTTCGGTTTCTCTGAAGATTTTTCTGAGTGTGATTTACCGCCGAACAGTGAATTTGTTCTGCTAAATATGCCACCGATTGTGTTTGATCTCTTGTGAGTTTTGCTAGCATCAGATGGTACACTCCCAGCTGCCGCCGGAAGGCCAGCAACCTTGGCGAATTTAGGAGCTATTGGTTGGGTAGTTGCTTGTGCAGGGTATTCGAAGGTTTGTTCGCCTTGCACCATAGGAGGGGATATGTTGTAATTCCTCGAACTCTTTGGTTGAGGTTGAGACATACGGCCATGAGCATTAGTTCCAGCGACGGTTGGCGCCACAGGTTGGCTGTACGAGCCGCGTGTCGGGAAACCCATAGATCCAGACCTATTAGAAGTCATGGAACCACCGGTATTTGGCCTTGCGATAGAGGGTTGACCAGTAACTGGAGCCATATGATTAATTTCTGATGTTGCGCCATGTTCTCGAGTAGTTCGAGCAGGTGGAGGCATACCTTGTTGTCGCTGTGAGCTTCCCGGTCTTCTTGCCGACGTTGCATATTGAGCATCTCTTGTCAATGAAGGATCCTGAGATAACGGCTTTTCTCCTGCGGGCACATTTCTTCTCGCAGCCTGAGCAGCTCCAGAAATTTCGACTGGACCTTGACTACCAGCACGAGCGCGCGTTCTCGAACCAGATTGAGTACCGGATGGGTTAGTAGAAGGCTCGCCTCTTTGTGTCTGCGATCTTGGAGCCACATATTCGACTTGAACAGTTCTTCTCTTGTTATCTTTCGAAGTTTTGCCAGGTGCCTCTTCTCCATCTTGGTCCACATGCCCATGTTTCCGACTAAGGTCACCAACAGCCGCTGGTGCCTTTTGCGGTTTGGGTTCCCGAACTGAAGCACTTCTAGCGAGTAGCGGAGCCTCCTGCGGTTCATCAGAAGGAACTGTGGTGTTTGCAATCTCCACAGTAGTTGTGGTGCTACTAGTAATAAAGCCAACAACATGTGCATATTCGCTTAACCAACTATGTCGGGCAACCTCGAATAAATCTGCACGTTTGCGTGGGTCTGGAACAAGAATACGGCGGAGAAGGTCTCGAGCATGCGGTGTGACATATTCGGGAAATGTAAGTGGTGTTGAAACTATGTACTTATAAAGGAGATTAATGTTGTCGCCTTCGGGATTGGCTGGGTCATCATCAAAAGGTAGATATCCTGCAAGCATTGCATACTGCATTTATGTTAGCGGTAAAATTATTTCCAGGTGCAGTGACCAAGACTTACCAATATTACCCCGCAGCTCCATACATCGACCTTGCGGCCAGTGTACAGCGAATCACTCACGACTAATTCTGGAGCTGCATAACACGGACTTCCACAACTTGTTTGCATCAAATCACCTCTCCGCGAACCGCCAGGCAAAATCTTATCCAATTCCATACGCTTGACATAGTCACGGCTAGATAGATTGTATTCGATCTCATCTCCGAGCTCATCGTCGGGATTAAAAGTGTTTGCAAAACCAAAATCTGTAATGATAATGTTGCGGTTCCGGTCGAGTAGGAGGTTCTCGAGCTTCAAATCTCGGTGGACAATTCCTTTCTTGTGCAAATATCCAACACCGGAAACCAATTGGGCGAAGAGGCGACGAGCCGCATTATCCTTGAGGTAGCGGTGGTTGAGAATGTAGTCAAAGAGTTCACCCCCTGAAGCATATTCCAGAATAATTCCAATTTGCCTTTCTGTCTCAACCATTTCATGCAATTGAACGATATTCGGGTGTGATATTTCTCGAAGAATAGCGATTTCTCGATATATCTTTGCAAGCCTCGTGGGATTTGTTCCTACACTGTCGCGGCGAATGAGCTTGATGGCAACCTTTGACAATGATGATTAGTATGAGATCAAAACGATGTTCAGCATCGACTTACTTGAACACCACCTTCTGATTTCCAGCCCATTTTCACTTTACCAAATTCTCCCTCACCAAGCGTGTTGCCCAGATAATACTCTCCAAATTTACTGTGCTTTTCTCTTTTTCCGGAATTTGCTGTGTGATCGTGACGTGATCTCTGCTGCCGAGGAGCCTCTCCCATCACCGGAGGGGCTAGAGTGGCATTGGGTGCAGCCTCCGCCATACGCTCCCTCTCACGACCCAAATCCACCTTGGGATCGGTAACCAACACACGATTTAATACCTCGCTAGCCTCATGGGATAGACCTGCGGGCGAATCCGTACCCGCTGGATGTGATCTATTTTGTGTATTAGAGGATTGACCAGGTCTCTGTTCCCGAGTTCCATTCGGCCTGTGTGGTATAGCTTCAGGTGATTGTTGAGCTCTACGTCTGGCACGGGTTGCCGCTGTGGCAGCATCCTCATTTCCCGTCCCATTGGTTTGTATATTCCTCCTCTCAAAGTATTGGTCCTCTTGTGACTGTGCCCGACGTGGAGAATCTCTCGCCCTCTGCTCGTTCGTGTTTTCACCCCGTCTAGAACTCGAGCTACGATTTGCTGCCGAAGATGCAGCCGCCATTGCTGGGTTCGGTCTATTTGAAGATGTTCTTTCCGAGACAACTGGGGGCATCCCTCGCTGATGATCGCCCACGGCCATTGAAGGAAAGCCTGCAGCAGCTGTGGAGGTGGTCGGGGATGTGTGGTTCGAGGAATTAGTGGTGCGAGAGTTTATGGGAGCTGAGTTTGTCGTTACCGAAGGTGAAGTGTACTGAGGCTGAGGAGGTGTGTTTGTAGATGCGCCATTGCCGCTCGGCCTTCGAGATGGTTTTCGTGCCGATGATGGAGAGGTGTTTGTGGTATTTTGATTGTAGTAAGGGTCTCGAGACTGTTGCTGCGATCCGGAAGTATAAGGCCTCCCCGAAGATGATGGTGCTGCAACTGGTGATTGCGATCCTATTGAAGTTGGTTGATGAGGGGCGGTCTGCAAAGCGGCTGAAGACATCTCTTATTAATTTTGCGCACTGTTGTCAATCGCAGATTGGGTGTCTAGCAACCGGAAATTACAATGACCGTTGGTTGCTGAAGCACAATCCAGAAGCAGCGAGCGTTATGATTGCGAGATTTTTCGCCCGTCTACCAGCTATTTTCACCAACTAACATCATTGGGGGGCAGAAGGTCTCGAGGGAAGTAATTGCTCCTAGCACAAGGGTTTTCAGAAGGCTGGCGATAACAATCTTCAATAAAAGAGGATCGTTGGAATTAAAGTTTTGGACGATTAAAAAAGGTCGCGGCTGGCGCTGGCGACTATTATTATTTTGGGATATTGCAACTCCTAATAAAAAAATAGGCGGTCGAGGAGTTAAAGGCGGTACGGCTCTTTAGTTTAGCGTTCGACCTTTCTGTGGTGTGTGGTTGGCCGGATTATATGAACCAGTTGATTATAATTCGTAGAGAGAGGAAATGTGGGTGGCTGGGGAAGCCCAAGATGGATAGATGGATGGATGGGATGGATGGATGTGATGTACGGAGTAAAAGAGTCAAAACTTAAAGAGGGTTGGAGGTTTGGAGTTTTGAGGTCTGAGGTCTGAGGTCTGCGGTTGAAGGTTGGAGGTTGGTGTTTTTTGTTGATATGGGAAAGTGAATTGAAATTGAAATTGTAATTATAATTGTGATTGTAATTTTCTTTGCCGATATGTTATTGGTTGTTTATGATAACCCTTTTTCGAATTTCTTTTTTTTTTTCCCTTCGTTTTTGGTAATTGTTATTGTTATTTGTTTTTGCTTTCTAGACTTTAACGACAGTGTGTAAGTTGGATTTCCTTTCCTGTACGAGAAGGTTAAAAGAGTGAGGAGATTATGGGTGTGAGGGAGGGTGAGAGTGAGTGAGTGAGTGAGTGAGTGAGTGAGCGAGTGAGCGAGTGAGTGCTAAGAGAGTGTGGTGGAAGAGAGGCAAGAGATAGTAGAGAGTAGAAAGTAGAGAGCAGATTAAAAAAAATGAAAAAAAGATAGATTGACTTGAATTTCCAGGGGGTGGAGTCCGCTACCAAACTGACAAAGTCAGACTGTACGAGCACCTTGTTCATATTGTAAGAGTGAATTCCGTAGTGTATGTAATCCCTAGGTACTTAGTAGGCACTTGGGTACTTATTAGGTACTCAGGTACCTACTTATCAGGTACTTATTAGATACCTAGGGAACAGTAGATAGGGAGAAAAAGGCCTCATTGATAACGATATGAATGACTTTTGGTGCTGATACTACCCTCAATGTTTGGGCTCTTTGGGCTCTTTGGGCTTCGAATACCTAGGGTACTCTCTCTGTCTGTAGGGGGTAGGCATCAAGCCTTTTTCCCCTTCTCTCCCTTCTAATAAATTGTACCTCCCATCTCATAACAAAAATAATGAAAACATGATACATATATAATGAATTTCGATGCTAAGACTTACTCACTAATACCGATAATGTTCCTCCTTTTCCTTTCTTTTCTTTTCCTTGCAGCCCCAAATCTTTTCTTCGATTTCAACCAGTCAGATTAATAATAATAATAATAATAAAAGATTCGAAATGCCTCTTCTCACACTTCCACTTCCAAATTTCAACTTTCCTTGGATCGATTCGACCTTTTTCTCTTCTTCTAATTTCCTTTTTGATCAGTTAGCGAAGCTCTTTGATGAGCTGAGAAAGGGAAAGGAGAAAGCCCAGGGCGATTGATGAGCTGGGCGGAAGACAGACATGGGCAAGCTTGGGGCGCAAAGACTCATTCATGCTGCTGATTGTGATTGTGATTGTGAGTGAGGGTGATTGATGTGGATGAGCAATGCATACTTGCACTACCTACACAAAGGGCAGATTGACTTAAAACCATAAGATACGAACATACAAACAGGAGTTTGGATGATTAAAATGGTATATAAGTCAATCAATGTAATGGGTTTGATTGATTGATTTGCCTCTGATGTTGATTGCGAAGGGGTATTTTTGGGTGCTTTTCGATATCCCATCATGTGAGAACCAGAGGGGAAGGGGAAAATGATATGAATGTTCCAAATAGTTCGAGTCTTCCAAATGATATTGTACGTACGTACCTATAGAAAGAGTAGAGTAAGTTGTGAGACTACTACCATATGATTTCGGGTTCAATCTAATTGTTGGCATTAAACATCTATTTAACCATAGGTCTGTCTCTGTTCGAGTTCGCTGTCCTGCCTCCTCAGCTTGTTTGGACGATCGAAAGGATAAAAGGAGCGGTATGATGAATTCGATACTTTGTCGAAGTGAGGACGTTGGAATCAATTGGAGCAAAAGCAAAGAAAAGGACGAGTACAATATTCACGCAAGCAAGCAAGCAAGCCAAGTAGGAATTCAGGAGAAAAGAGTTTCCTTTTTCCTATACTGGGATCACAGGAAGTTTTATTGAATTTCATCATGAGGAGAGTGCATGAAAAAGCGGTTTGCTTGTAATGTTACGACCACTTCTTTTCCCATCACCATGATTCAAAAAGAGAAAGAGAGCGACAGGCAATTCCTTGATATCAGATGAAAGGGTCTCCCCATCCACGAAAGTCTGCTCAATCAGCAATCAGCATGTCTACTCCTCCGTACATCTTTTCACATCTATTTCGTGATTTCTCTGGCATAAACAACCGAAACGGTAGAAGATTTGACAGTGGCCTTCTAGTTCGGCCGTAGAAGCATTTACGGGAATGGGTGACCTTGATGGGATCTTGGGCTCTGGGGATGATATGGTTAAATCAACAAATGGCATAAAGATGATAAAAAAGGTTGTTTATTTTGCATTGACGTGGCACGCTGGGGGAAAAGGATCCTGGGACTTATTGACGTCTGTGAGCATTTATAGTATAATTTTATACGAAATATCAGATCTCCCATTGGCACTCCCTCAAGGATCCCCTTGGTAATGAATGAACAACTCTCTCTCATGGAGTCATGTAGCGGTGATCAAGTATCATCAATAGATCCAAAAAAGTATTTCTAGGTATGGAAGAACCTTGAATTGCTCCTCCCCACGGTACCAAATGCATCGTGAAGTCATCATCGGCGAATTTCTCCTGATTTACCCCGTAGGTACCTATACAATTCGAGGGACAACAGAGACCACCCACCATCTTCCATATTCTACTCCGTACTCAAATGATCATCGAGTATTCTCAACACATTCTTCATCTTTCTTCCCCACTGCTCAGTGTCCATTAATATATACAAGTGGATAAAAAATAAAGTAGATTTCGGAGAGCATTTTCGAGTCTTAGTATACTACCAGGATTACAGGGTCGGTTCCGCTAAAAGCAAAATAGATTATAGAAAGAATGGGAATGTGATTCCGTGAATAGGGTTAACCTCTGTCTTCTGAATTACTTGCATTGACGTCGGAGATGAGGCGTTTAGTCTTCGGGAGAGCAGTAAACGCCTCACCAATGCACCATATGCAAGTATTTAAGATCCAATTAAAAGTCTCAAAAGTCTTAAAAGTCCCAAAAGTCTTGCCGTGATCTGAGAATCACAATGTAGAATGGAGCCAGCAGCTAGCTTTTCCTTGTCGTGCCTATAAAAAAGCCTTGGAAGGCTTAAAATATCCTGGATCATATTACTATATTAAGGATTAGGTCTCACCCAAATCTTCTCTTTTTTCAGATGAAAGGAAGAATTACAAGCATCCCCGATATGACGATTTCAGAGCTCAAAAAGCACCTGCCGGGAAATATCGAGCAGCACAAAATGATACATATACCACGTTCGACATATCAATTCTAGATGTTCTTCAAATATATGTTTCTGAAACAAAAAAAAAAATAGATATTCAAGGAAAAAGGGGTGCCTTCTATCAAAAGCGGAAGATCCGCAATCCTCAAATCTTAATTTCTCTACTTCCTGGCGATGTCCCACAGCATGTCAACATCAAAAGGAGGACATCAACATGATTTTGCCGTGGTACCACTGATGCGATGATACAGGCTAAAATACAAATATACCCGTTTCAGTCGGAGGAAGAGAAAGGATACTGTAGACCAGTGCGAACTGGGGACAGTTCAGGTACCACAAGATGAAGCTCGATTCCTCATCTGGCCAAGGTGGTATTGCCGATGGGTACCTGCACCTTTGCATTCTCCTCGATTAGACGAATCAAATGTCGAGGATCGAGTAGAGTTGCATGTGGGTTTGTTTCATCTTCCCGATTCGACGAACAAACCTGATGATCTCCAGGCCCAAACTCTTCGGGGCTGATTGAAACCGAATATTATTAAGGTTGTGACTTCAAATGTTAAATTCAAGTTACTGTGAAGATTCGTGCTTGGAATTGCTTGAGTACCTGACACCTGAGTTCTCACGGACAATAAGTAGACAATAGCAAACGGTCATACCAAAATTAGCTTGAGTGATCTTTCCGACACGAAATACTTTAGTATATGAATTAGTCTGTCGCCGAGGTCAAAACTTTCGGATTGTTTGCTTCATTGTCTCATCTACCCGTAAGATTGATGAGTTCAGGTTCAATGTCTTCCAAAAGCAGATGCTTCGATCAAATGTCTAAAAGTTGGTGTACAAGGTTTATCATTGCGTTCGTCAGGCACGGAAGTTTCATGGCACAAGCTGGATCTCTGAGATATTGCAGACTACTGTGCTCAAAATAACCCAGCCAGGATTACATTTTAATAGAAATATCATATACATCCAGACCTACTGCAAGTCCTGTCAGGGCAGAGGCATAAAATAGTAATATCCCCATAGCCTGGAGGTTGCTGACAAACAAAGTTGGTATGGTAAGGTTGACGAGTCCTGTAAGTAAATTTGCAGCCAAGAAAATTGCCAGGCCATTTCTATTGAACGCTTCAAGGACTCGACTTGTCGAGAATTCATAATTCTCCTTCTCGGTCTTTGCATCCATGCTTCTATGGACTGGAGAAAATATCGTTTCGATCAAACAGAATGCAGTCAATTGTGAGCAATTGAAAGCTGCAACCCATAGGAAATACGGAAGGTTTGCGAGACGGCGTGACACACTTAATGCCAATCCATATCTGTAATTTGTCGTGAATAAATAGAGCGTAATCCATACTCCTGACCATGCACCCATCGTCATCAAGAGGCGTTTTCTCTGAGCCAATGGGCCTCCGGTTGGCATTGAATTGCGAGGTAATACGAACATCCCCGTTGCTTGACCAGCTAGAAAAATTGCGAGATAGCCAAAAAAGCTGAAGATCCCTTCACGATTTTTTGAGAATAGATCTGTTCTTGGAGCTGTGAGGATGAAAGCTTTGAGGCTGGTGTATTCGAGAGCAACTTGATACAAAGAGCCAAGAATAATTGCCAGTAGCGCGTATGACGGGATGAGCTGAAAAGCAGATTGGAATATCGCCACGAATGGGGGAATGAACGCAAGGGTAAAAAAGAAATTCCAGTGCACCCCATACTCAGTAACATGCTCCGCATAGTCTAACCCCTTGACGCTGTATAATCTTATGGTTCCCAGAACAATCAAGGGTAGTGCATGGCGCAACGAGTTATATAAGCGCGTGCTGAGCTTCGACGTTCGGCCAGCACTTTGTTCTCTGAGTATTGGTCGAGCTCCTACAAGACCACCTGAGAACACAAAGGATCCTACTCCCAGGTCCATTAACGATGTCCCCCAGTTTTCTACTTTTGCAAATCTCCGTGGAAAAATCTTGAAATCGACCGCTAGTATAGCTAGACAAGTGATAACCATCATTGCCCCTCGGTAGATGGTAAGGAAAGGTTTCTTTGAGAGTGGGTTCAATTGGTCTGAAGGGGTTGTTTTCGATTGCGGTATTCTTGGTTTCTTTTGCGGAGCGTTTTGTGTAGATTTTTGCGGTGCAATGGCATACAATAAAGGAACCGGCGCAAGTAGTAGGAGATTCAAAGTGAGGGGCATATCTGCGTAGACAGATATGGCCAACAGAATAGCCCCGACATTGAGAAGGAAGTCGACAGCGAAAGCGATTGGAGTATATTGCAGGAAAAAATGCTGCCGGGTCTGTAAAGTCGACCAAAGAATAACTGCGACCTGTTCCAGCAAATTAGCTCGTTGTGTATCAAAGATAGTTGACATGGCGCAGGCATACTGGAACGACAGCAGTGACCATATTTATCTCTCCAAGGCTGCCTCCTGTCAAATTTGACACAAAATCCTCCTTCAAGCTTTTATAACTAGCAGCCATAGCTGCCTCAGCTGCCCGCGACATACCGGCAAAGCTATGCTTGCAGAATCAATTAGATGAAAGGTTAAGAATTATGCTGTAATTTTTGGTGAGGCCAGACAAGCCAACGATGTGATGTTTAGTCCGGCGGCCCCCGCCGCTCGGTTCATCAGCCCTCACCATTTCACACTTCACGTTCCATTGAACAAATTTCTTCTCTATATCTGTCATTAATATTTTCTAGTGATGGCGATACATTTTAAACTTGGTGCAGGATATATACTTTGATTTTTTTTGGGAAGTTCAGCATTCCAGGCACGATTTAAAGTTCTGATTTGCCCGTACTCCAAGCTCTAAGCTCTTCGATTCTTTCTCCTCTTTCGAGATGTCTTATGGATTCCCACAACACTGCCTTTCTCCCGCATATTATCAATCTTTCTGATGAACGGCTCCTTTGTGCCCACCGGAAAATGTACGTTTCAGATCACATCCGGCCTATCATATCGTATGTAATTGAGACACATTCCCGAGGCTGAGTCTCACGGAGTATCTATCCAAAACTTGTGGCCATCCAGCTTTGAAAGTCTCGGGCCCATGGGATTTCACATATTTCTTGTGTAGATTTGTCTCTATGGCTATGGAAGGCTTTAATGTTACGAAGTTGAATGAGGAGAGTCAATTAAGGGATGTGATGATTCAGACAATCTGCAACACGTCTCCTTTGAACATGAGTAGCAAACGTCTCATCCAACTAAGGTCAGTGTGGGTATATCACTTCATATATACTTTTCTCTGCTGGATCATATAGTGTTCAGGTTCCTTCATGAATCTGCCTTTAATCCCTTTTTGAAGTTCCTTCACCAATTGAGCCAATATTATTTGACCGCACAAGGGCGAACCACCGTCATCACCAACTTTCATTTGCGCTTGTCATTTGTTTACTCGAATATTCTGGGTCTTTATGAGCTAAGCGTTTGTTTGTCCCTTTTTGTATCCATTCGAGTTTTCCTAAGGCTAGTCCTTCTCACTATGCCGGAGATCTTTCGTCCGCGGAATAAGAAGTTGCGGCATCTAGGAATGCATCCCCAATCTGTGCAAAAGTGTGAGTGTGAGCGTGGGGTTCTATCACAAGCCTCTGGATCTATTTCCCCGCTCGCACAACTCCCAAGTCCCAGCATAGTGGCAGCACAAGCTTATGCCTCGGAATACCAGATACCAACAGGGCGGGAAGGCGACGCGTGGTCGTGGCGTGGTAGCTTGACCCAAGTGCGGGATATACCCAGGAGACATTCTACAGTGGTGACCTTGGCAGTAGGCGCAACATCGTCAGGCAATCCATCTTCATCCAGAACTGCGCCCAGTTCACAGAATGTTCCTGATTTTCGATTCACCGATGAACAGCTACAAAAATCCAAAACTCACCTCAACACTGCTGGTCCAAAAGAGGCCTCTGCTGTCAAAATTTCTGATGCCAAATACCATTCCGAAACTTCAGCATCCCTTGCTCCGAAGCACCGTGTTCCGTTCCAGTATACTCATGACCGCTTACAAACTTGGGGCCACGCTTATTTTGGAAATATTGCTACCGCCGATGCTTTCGTCAATGCTGTCAGTCTACGGCGACCAAGCTTAGTGGCCACAAAAGAACAGGATGGCCATAAGTCTCCTAGATCGTCGGATCAGGTGACGATACGTGCCAGGGTACTACCCAAAGGAGTCAACGAAAGCTCTTCTTGATACAAAGACAATTTGACATTCGAGAACTACGAGACAGCCTACCGGTATCTCGGCCAGACCAAGATTACGCAGCGGGCGCAACAGTTTTAAGAAGAACTAGCACGCTTCGTCGATTGTCTTTGCAGCAGATTCCTATTCTAAAGCAATTTGAGACCGTACACCCTCAGCTAAGACCGCAGACAAATAGCAATCAGGCGGCAGTCCCAATCCGTAAGTATCTCATGAGCAAAGACATGTACATCATGACTAACAACTCATTCAGACATAGAGTATGCTTTACATTATCTCCCGGTTTTGGCGGCTTTGATGCTATCAGGACACATTCGGAAGGGCGATTCCATTGATCTCCCTTTACCCAGCCCCAAAGTATGGATTGACACAATCGCTTATGTTTATACTGGCCAAGGGGAAGTCACATTAGCCATGAAGGAGAACATTGTGTTTCTAGCGGGACGGGTAGAAAGCGAAGGCTAATACACTACGCGGGTCCTTCGAAAGTGCCGGGGAACTACGGGAGTGCGATCCGATCTCCCACAGCCTGCAAACAGAGCACCTCGAATGGACCCTTATATGGGTGAGACATGTCGGCATTTCATGCATTGCTGCGTGGGGTTGATTCAGGCCACGTGGTGCGGTACTTCAAGGGTACCACACTTGGATTCGATGGAGAAAGCTTGAAGGCAGCCTTTCCGTCTTGTATCTTCTGTTACCTGTATTATAACAGAACACAGCTGTAAGCACTTTATTACGATGCACCGTACTCGGTGCTTGAATCGGGATAAAAACGTGTCCTCTAACCCTACTCATGCTTGATCTTCCAAAGTTGCATTGGACAATGACGACTTCCCATATTCTGGTTCTAGGCCGAGGTTTCTCTTCTTCCTGCACGATACGATTCAAGAACTATGACCGAGATTCCATGCGCATCCACCTTTTACTACGTATGGATTAGGAACAGGACGCTAATGACGGCCAAGGATACACATATCAACTAGGGTGATTGGAGTCTCGATTTAACCATTGACCGAGAAAGGCGCGATAAGAAATGAAATCATGGTTTTTACCAACACAGAATTTAATAACAAAGCAGTGGATCGGCAAAACCACAGTTAAATCGGCCGGCAAATTGTATTTCATTGACCGAAGAGCCGTATGGCCCTTTTAGTAGGTCTTGTCTTCCCAATTGACTTCAGTCGGAGCATCGAAGACCTCGTATACTCCTGATTTCAATGGTCAATTCAAATGAACAAGGTCCAATTGATACGCGTACCGTGATATTCAATTGAAGCTAGTGGGTGATTCGAAGAGCTTTTTCCTCGGCAGCTAGTTTAAGTCGGCCCAATTACTAAATCCCCGTCTAGTTCATTATCTACAACACCCCGCCGCGTCTAAAAATGGACTTGAGAGTTTAATATGCCCCTGGAACCGTGCAATCATTGTGTTACCATGCTTCAATATAACTGCATTCTTTTGACAGGTAGGTTCATGACTACCTTGTGGAATGTATGCCTCATTATCAGCGAAGGGGATCTCGCCAAAGTAGTATTCTGCACAGCTTCCTTCCCCATTCGATAATATCCATAGAGCCCTTGTCGACTGCGCAGGTATATCAGGCTAGATGAAGCACGGTAAAATCATCTCTTCGTCACCAACAGTTGTGATTACTAGGTATGCATAGCACACCAGAAACTGTACACTATCTCCGCAGGCCGCTCTTACCTCCTAATACACTGAATGGCTTCAAATGTTTGGAATATCTTTAATGACAAATATCGAAGCTGTTTCCTCACAAACATACGTTTTCTCCCAGGAAGCACAGGTAACACCTAGACGCCATTGATGCAGGTCCATCCGATTTAAGCTTGTTACATAGGACTTTGACAGTTCTCAACTTTTTCAAGCAGCCTCTTCTTGTTTGTACATCCATCTTCGCGTGTCTAATCCTTACTCACACACCCTCGACGTTGATATGATGTATGAAAACCTCATACTTTGTGCAACCCACACTTGGCCAAAAATGCCAAACACGGAGTGTGCCCCCGTCCCCCCACCTTCTCCAATCATCTCCATAATCGCGCATCATCTGTCGTGTTTTCGTCATATTGGACCCAATGCTTTCCGGTTCTGGACTCAGCAAAGCCAGCGTGTGAATGTGATATTTCTATTCTCTTCATCTATTTTATCTTCTGTATCAATCAAATGCTTGATATAGCAAAAGTCAAGCAAATACCTGAGTCGCTCAAATGGTGATTCGATTTTCCATTTTTAGATCCTCGTCACTCATTATTCATACGAGGTTTGGACATGACAATTTACCTATCACCAGCTGACTTTGGAAATAGCCTGAACAGTGAACATCACTCCCTTGCACACTCCTCCGACTCCACTTACTTGCTTTCCGATATTACTTTACTATTACTATAGTTTGAGCATAACTCCCAGGAAAATTTGGCTGCACTCATCATATGATTCATATGACAATATAGTATATACTCAAATTGACTTACTCGAAGGAGTCGAAGCACAACTTGGCCCCACAATCAAATGGGGCAATCGCGTTCCTCATTTATATATATTCATTTGAATTCAACCCTTACTTCGGTCCCGGCCCGGATAAATATCCTTCTTGGCAACGAACATCCGATCTTCTGGAAAAACATCATCCACTGACGAAAAGGGTATTTAGATGCCGAGTCTCATTCGGATGTAATGTATGTAATTGCATGAGAGATTTGCCGATTGCAACGCAAGATCCCTTTTCTTGTTTTTTCTCCGTTTTCCGTGTATCCCCGGACGCCCTCATCGTTTGTGAACAGTCCCGAACAAATTCGAATACCGGTTTGGCTCACACTTCCGTCTCATCATGCATATACCGTGTGAAATGGAAGATGTAAGAATCGTGGATTCAGATATGGTCCCTATTAATTCAAATTCTTGTTTCTTCGTTTACAATTTGGTGCATTTACTCGAACGCATTAAGGCAAGGGGTAAGTGCTATTAGCTACAAACAAATCCCACGACATGCATACCATATGCTTAAAGATACCTACCTGGTTTCTTCATCACTCATATCCACCTCGGTCCAGAACATAATGAAAGGCCACATAAATACCTGGGTAATCACTCAATACCCCAGTGCCTCCCCTCCCACACAAATCACAAATCCTTTCATGTTCTACCCATCCCCTGTTCATACATTGCATATGCATGCATATACATACACGCATCTACACTCATCAATGATGAACACCTGTCTGTTCACTCTGGTGTCGATATCTTTCCACCTTTTTTTCCCTTCTTTTTTCCAGTTTCTCAAAACCGTAATTCTAAATTTACCCTTTCACACCATCTCTTCCCAATTCGACATCCTCCATCTTTTTATGAATCCTTCAAAATCTCAAAATAACCTAGATCGAACAAAACATATCTCCACTACTGGGTAACATCCGATTAGACATGCCCATGCCAAGAAATATGTCAATGTCATTCAAGCATATGCAGGTAGAAGTACAAACATACATGCGTATGCGTTACACATAGCCTAGCTAGCTAGCTAGCATTTCAAACCTGCCTCACTCTCATTATCTAACCGTTTCATCTTACGCAGCCTTGGTTTAATTTTCTTCCAGGCCCGCCCGCATTCGGCAGACTCTGGCACCTGGCATTGATGATGATCGGTCACGCCGAAGAAGAGCGTTTCTCAATCGCGATTCTTTACCAAAGATTTCCCACACAGGGTCCTCATGTACGTATGAAACGTTTGGTCCTGTTGCGATGACTGAGTAATTTTTCATAGGGCGCGCAAATCGTGTATGAGTGAGAGGGTGAGAGCGTGCCAAAATATATGGGTCGTTGATGAATTTGGGGGTCACACGCATCCATCCATCCATCCATCTTCAGTTCCAGTTAATGAATGGTCTTGGTGGGAGAAACGAACGATAATTGATATTGAATATCCAAACCACATACAACATGTCTGCGGGCCTCCAATCTCCCTTACAGATCATCACATCTCATCCATATGCCATTTGAAATTATCTTTCTATTCTACATGGTTTTGATTAAATCGGATTAAATCAGATCAAATCGGATCACTGTGATGTCTTCGCTTCCATGGCCATAAAATTTTTTTCTCATAGAACCTATTTCCCCATTGACTTGTGGATCTCTGTATAGAGTCTTCCTTGTTCCAATTTATCCATCCTGATGATTAAGTGATAAGGAAAAGAGAATAAAATGAGTGTGAAATGAAATGAAATGACAAGAAATGAGATTCCGGAAAGGATTTTTTTCTTTTTCGAGGCCGTCCGTAAAGCCCGCCAGTGACACTTTTGGAGACCTATTTTTTTTTCCATCCTAGTAAATAAAAGAAAAAATGGAAAGATATATCAAATTCAGAAGGAGAATGAAGACACAAAGATAAAAAAAGGAAAAAAAAAAAAAAAAAAAAAAAAAAAAAAAAAAAGGGTAGACAAATTCGAGGTGTGGGATGTGCGTATGTACATCGACAACCTAAAGCAACTTATATAACTTATATCCTAAAGCAACTACTATGCCTTCTCATCTCTTCTCAGGTAAAGGGAAGTGAGAGATAAAACTCCGAGAAAATGCGCAAATATATCTTGCGTGTGAACCAATAACCCAGGTAATCTTTTCAATCGTCAATATGCTGAATGCACGCGCGCGTACGCCCGGCCGGAAATTCGAAGATACGTTGAAACAGTAGACAACGCATGTAAATGACAAACAGTAGAAAGGCGACCACCCTCGGGACAATGCTGCACTAGCGTCTCAGGGGTACCTTTTCTACAACTGCCTCATCAAGAAATTAATGAGAAAGAAAGACATCATCATCATGGGAATCGTTTGGATCGTAAGAGGTGTCGGAAGCTGAGTCGAGATTGCTCTCGTCGATGAAAAATTCATCGTATACATCATCCAGGCGGGGGTAGAGGTCAGGCTCCGGTGCAATTGCGCAACTAGATTTTTCGGAACAGGAGGTGTGATGTGATTTCTCGAATGTCTCTGGTGCTCCCACTTGTACCTCGTCTTTGTAGCGGACGAGGCCGGGGTGGTTGCCCGGTGGAAGTGTGATGCTTTCGCTGCGGCGCGCCCGAGGACTCATACGGTGGCTATCATTGGCATCTCCGTCTGCACGGCTACCCCACGAAGTCTGTGCAAGGATTATTAGCATCTAAGATTGAAAGGAAAAAACCCAAGTGGGAGAACATGTGAGAGCGGGGATCTTAGCTTACCATCCGAAGTGTCAGCAGTGCATACAGTTTTATCCATCCGTGAAAGTATCCAAACAGAATGGAGACGGGAAGAAATCCAATATCTTTTGGTTCTCGAATGAAAAGACCGATCAACTTCACAACCTTTGTTATAAGCATGAATACCAATTGAGCAATTACTGCAATTATTTGATGGTGCGAAGACCAAGATGCAGTAGCCTTGAATGAAAGGAAGATGATGAGAGGATCAAAGGCGAAGGACAGGGAGGTAAAAGTGGCAATATGCAAAGCATACACACACCACGGTTGTTGACTACACGTACATGATCAGCAAAACATTCTCCTCGTGACCGGAATGGATTCCGACTTACTGCCAAACATGTCTCTCGGTGACTAAGCTGGTATAGTTACTTCTCCAATTGCTGCGAGCCCACCTCGAGCATTGATACAAGTATTTAAAATTATTCTCCAGGGTCGTCTCAATCTCGCACTCTCGATTGTATTGAATCCAAGTCGACCATTGGTTTGCGACAAGCCATCTCGTGACAAAGTTGTCATCATCTGCATTGAGTTGATATTGACCCCATCTTTCAGTCTTGAATCCATCCAAGAAAAGAGGACTTTGCAGAATCTCGGACCTGAATGCACAAGTTCGCCCAGACATGCAGGATGTTCCACCATCAATACCATGGGTAGCCGAAATTTCAAAGTTGCGCCTTTCAATATAAGCAGCTCCAAGCCAATTGAAGGCACGCTCGGCAAAGGTACCCTCGCGTACTCGCTTGACTCGTTGACATGGCCCAACACCACCAATCTTTGCATCCTCGAAAGGTGCAAGTAACCAGGGTAGGATTGTTCTTGGCCACGTGACATCGTCGTCTGCCATAACCAAGATGCGCGTCTTCACTTTAGGAATAACTTCGCATACTTGAATTCGTTTGTTGGCGATTGGTGCAAAGTACACACTGACATTGTTGGCTTCCAAGGACTTGGAGAAGTACTGCAGCTTCTGGTATTTGTCGGCTGTCGTGACAAGAATAAGCTCGGCTGGTTGACATGCGAGGATACTCTGCAGAGAATCTCTCAACTCATCGAAATTGTTATGGATCGTAGGTATTATGACGCTCACGTCTTTGGATGTGAAAGAAGGATTGGAAGGGATTGGCACTGTTCTGTAAACCCAATGGCTGATTGTATTGACGATGAATCTGACGTAACGATGGAGCCTGTTTGTACCCTCGATTAGTTCTCACATTTTGTGGCGCAGGAATGGAAATAGCAGTGGGGCAGGCGGCTCGGGGAGAACTCTATAAACTTACCACAATATTAGGAAGGCCCACTGCCATATGTCTGGACTAGGCAAAGCCATATTTGCTACTCAAGACTAAGGTGGTAGGGTATAATGCTGAGGAGTATAAGGAGCTCTCTTTAGACACGGTCCACAGAGGTCAAGTGAGGTAAAAATCAACGTCACACGGGATGACTTGAGTGGGTATAGTATTTTGCGAAGTGTAGGCGTAAGAAAGTGGCAAACCGAATTTGGTGTGTAAGACTCGTATAGTGTTTCAAACAAGAGAACGGGGGAAGGGACGTCTTTTAGAATAGCGATTAAAGAGGACGAAAAAATGTTTGTGCAAGTGAGCGATTATGAACCGATTGGAGATAATGAAGAATTTTATAGAAGACCCGCAACACATGTATGATAGGATTCCATCGATTTCTCGGCTTCTTCAAAGAGGGCGGAGTGCAAGGTATGGAGACAAGATGGGGGCCGATGTCTTCGATGTTGGTCAAATGATGCCGGTATATGTCGTGGAGGGAGGACGTGTAAAGAAGGGTCTCGAGGGCAGTTTGTGGTGGTGGTAGGAATGGTGGTGGTGATGCGCGAAAACGGAGAGGTCGTCAAGGAAGGAGTGAGCTTGGGTTGAATGTGTGTTTGCCCGTCAGGTAGAAACAATTCTTCGTATCTCAGAAAAATTAAGGTAGAAAATCTTCTTTCTTTGGGAGGAAAAGTGATTTCACTGGAATCCAGCCATGAAAATCCTCGAAAAGTGGTAAAGGGTATGTATGTATGTATTACCAGGTAGTTCTTTATTTTGTTTGCTTCCAAAGATCAAAATACAAAAAAACTTTTCCCAAGAAACCTGCCAATATATATAGATATATGTAGATATATATTCAAGCAACCAACGAAGGACAATAGAGACGAAGAGATCACCAAACGACTGTCATCCTGATGTACCTGAGTTCAATTGGATAAATATACAGTTGCGAGGAGCCAGTTCCCTTGAAACAAGAAGGACACACTACCACGATAGAAGAGAAAGACGATGAGATGTCATACTGCTTCGATGTGGATTAGGGGTCTGGACGAGGTCTATATAGGACTGAACCAACAAGACGACCATACGGCTGGACCCGAGCAGTTATATTTTTTCCTCTTGACCTTGTCTTCTGCTACATGGCAAGTTAAGCGTTAGCAATTATTAGGAAGACTGGGACGGACGCATCAGGGAATCAGGGATCGAGACGGAAGAGTGGATCAAAATCTGGAGACAAATAGCAGCGCTTGTTAACTTCTGCGAGCATTGTGCGCCTGGTGTGCCCATTTGAGCCGTTTGAGCCATTCCATGAATATGATGGATGACAATCAATCGAGCCATTTAGTACCAGAACTGGCCTGGGTCTATTAAGCTTTGGGATGTACTTGTACATTCTGGGTATTTTACTGGGGGTGGGGTGGTGAGAAGGTTTGTTGGATGAATTGTTTTGGGAAGTCAAGAAAAAAGGCGGGAGAATTTCATAAACAAATAATACTCGGAATAAAAGGTTAATGTATTTTTTGATTTTCGAGTATTAGTATTTTCGAACAGAGTAATAAATAGTACAGTGGTCTAGTTCCGTCCGGCTATCTAAGCTTGCTACAGTAGTCGAGTCGATTATCCCCCTTCATCAGTTGTTGAATGACACTCGGTTCAGTAACGCTTGCCGGGCGCCACTTTTTGTAACAACGGAGGGGAAATTGATGGAAATTGATGAAATGAATCCAAATGGTGTCCCGGCTAACTCGATATGTCAGACTGTAAGAATTTAAAATAATTAAAATTGGACCTCAAGCGCGTGTGGTGGGCATTGTGGATTGTGGATTGTGGATTGTGGGAGAGAATGAATCTTTGTGGTGGACCTGTGGTGGTGTGCGCTAGGTGGATTTGCCCAGGTGTAGGATGTAGGAGTGGTTTAGAAATGCTCAGGGTCTGCATAGGTTCACGATACCTAGAAAAGTAGTAAAAGTACTCTAGTATGGAAGAACGGAACGGGAAATGCGTGTGGTAGCTAGTGGTACATGGATACATCAACATCTGTCTGATATGGTACTTGACAGAGGGAACTTGGAAGCAACGAGAAATCTATATCATTTTTTGCAACGCGTATATCATATTTTGTCGAGAGCTTGAGTGGTCAATGGCTTACTAGGAAACTAATGTGTGATAGGATTCGACTCCAATTCCTGAATTCATGTGGTTCAAGCTGTCATGGCCGAATCTTTTCAATTCCTATCTTGGTCTTTTCTATGGACCGTCGACTCGAATAGAATCATCTAGGTATGGATGGGATGAATGGGATAAGAACTAGGTGTGCAAAATTCAAATGTACCTGCGAAAAGGGACAAGATGCCTGTCGACGACCTATAATATTGCCTGCTTTTATGCTTGATAAAATTGCCTTTACAAATCAGACCAGTTATCTTCGCTCGGTGCTAGCTATTTGGCCTGTCATTTGCGCAATTGTGGTCGACAGGGTTATTTTATAACGAAAACACATCGGCCGCTGCAGGCGCCTGTTTTGGGAAATCTTAGCTTTCTCAAAGACGCCTTCCACACTTTCATCAACATTTAGCGAATATGATCCGAAGCTTCATGTCCTTCTCCAGTCTTTCTACAGGGAAGACTCAACAACGAGGCGTTTCGGTTGTCGAAATTTGATCAACCTCCCTCCACGACTCTAATTTTCTCCAAAGTCTGTCACCTCGAATGCAACCGCCAAAAGGTGGCCGTAGTTCGACCTAAAGCCATAGATATAGGCCAGGGTGTCACGGCATGAAATGATGAGCATGATGAACCCTTCACCTTTTTTCGCGTCTGCAAAGAGGGGCATTTCGGTGGAGGGAAGGATGGTCATGATCTCCCTCATAAAGCCGAACACTACAAACAAATATCAAATCAAAACATTGGCAAATCATACGTTAAGAGAAAAGTTACTGAAAAGTCAGAACCATCACGAGCGGAGGATGACCATCTAAGAAAATAAGAAAACATCAGCCATCGAATACTTTGATACATCCGGGAAAAGGGCTCGTGGCGAAGCTATCACTACTCAAAACTCTCACATCATGTGTTGTGGTAACCATTCATCAATTTTCAAGGTTGTAGCTAGTTCACCCATTTTCCATGTCGTTCTCCCTCCCCCATTTAACTTTATGCAATTTGATCTGGATATTACCCATAGCTAGCTTAGGTCAGCCAAGAAATTCCTGATCCTGTCGATATGTGAGGTACTGTATCGGATCATCGTCCGAGCCTCCAGTAGACGTAAGAGACGACTCTCCCGACCGGTTCGTTTGTCTCGGAGGAACAAATATCCTGAGCATGCTTGACATATGCTCAACGTCTTCTCTGCTCGATAGTAGATAGATATAGGTAATACGATACCCCCCAGTTCATTGACTACCAAAAACCAATACGAAGCTTGAAAGTTAAGTTATTCTGCTCAATTCACGCATTTGCCGCCTTGATATGAATTTATTCCCCATCAGTCATGGATTCCGAGTCTAATTCTAATACATGATTTATTAATGGATTAACGGATAGCGGATTGGAAGAAAGCGAGAGATATGAGATGACTCGCTGAAAGTCCGTATCACAAATAACATTACTTACTATTTTGGCAGACAGGGTCGTGGGTAGATTTTTCGGCACAGAAACAAAGTGAGACACACCAATTGACTTGACGAGCGGGGTCGGAATACCTTGGTGAGCTTGGTGACCTTGATTCTAATATGCTGACTACATAGTACAAAATCTAAAAGAGCTAAGAATAGTGGACACTATGGTCGAGGCCGAGTCCGTGAGTTCACGCCGTGCGAAGAGTGTGGAGAAGGTTAAAATAATGTGAACAAATAGATTGCTACTCTTATTTGATGTCGAATTATCCGTGGTGTCTCGAAGAATCCTCCGGCCTGCCTATTATCTTGGATGGATATCATTAGCCACTACATAACTACCTAGGTACATGCTATTTGTACGTACTACTCTCAACTACGGTATGCAGCGATGTAGGTGGTAGTGTTATAACTTATTAGTCAATATGTGATCATTTCGCTCGTACAGTCTTCTGCTTCCAACAAATAGTCAAGGCTAAAGTTCGTATTTCGCGTATGGAAATTAAGATAGAAAGATAATAGCCTCAATATGGCTGCGTTATCTCCTCTGCTAGCTTTACTCGTTTATGTCATACTAACATACGCCTCGATATATTACACCACTGCATCCATGTTCATTTATTCCCATCATATGGCCGAAATTGAAGGAAGATTAACAGAGCAATTTCACACCATCATTTTAACCTATACGCTTCCACTCCTCCTGCCCTTGAGATAACGGGACGACCCGCCATGAAAATTCTAGATGAGCTCTGGCATTTTCTACGTTACCAAACATCGTTTGAATCTGGGTGCGGAAGTACGAACTCTGCCTCCCCGAGTGGTATAGCATGGGGAGCGACATATTCCCATGTACCTTTAATATTGTTGTCATGTACAATTTACACATGTTGCAGAAGTACCCATGTTTGCAAGTTGGGGATACTACAACGGGACGGCAGTGAACACCTGGTGGCATGTGCTGCACCCAACTGGCCTATCTAGGATGAGTGACCTTGCTTCCCTTACCCCTCCATCATCAATGCATCGTAACATCATCCACTCCTTGGCTGATGCTTAACTCGAGACTTTTAGATTTTGACAGTTTGAGAAAACTGCTCAAGGGGACTAGTATGGACGTGATCTAGAGCTACAGGCTTCACCCATGCCTCGTTGATCCTCATCATCATCTGCATGTCAACGAGTAATGTGCGTTTGAAAAGCTATTCAAAGTGGGTTGAGCGGAGTAACATCCACCAAGGGACCACAACAAACTAACAGGCGCCAGCAAGGCGAAGACCAATATTGAGGTTGACATGTAATAATAATGATGTTTATGATTTTGACTGACAGCCTTGCTCGCTGCGCGCAATTTGAGTATTATCGTCTCATACGCAATGAAAACGGGGCTGAGGTGAAGAATCTTGCATATGTTGCAGGAAGTCTCCAGCAGACCAGTACGAATGCGAATGTATGTACATGACTTCCTCGAACCCTCAACCCTGGGGTGAGGAATATCCTTGATACTTCAAGATAAGGTAAGAGAAGGGTCACCATGATCCCTCACACAATAACCTCACGTTCGTGATCTGGATTTAAATTAGTTCCCATTTAATCCCTTGCCCAGCATATTTCGTCAACAATTATACTTTAGAATTGCGTCTTTTCGGAGGCCCCTCGCAAACAAAACGGACGCAAGTCCTAACTTCATGCAAGTGATCGATAGAGAAAACTCTCTCTCCCTAGCACACTTTCTTGTCGTCATCGAAAGCAGGGAGACGAGAGAAATTACAAAGGGCCCCCAGTGTTTTATTGTCCCAACGTGGACGAAATCAGGTGAAGGACCCGAGCACGGCCATTGAGTTCATGCAACTTATCCTAGGTACATGGCATTTTTTTACTGCACAAATATATATATATATATAAATATATATACACACATATATGTGGCAGTTTCCCAAGAGGATATGGATGTGTGTGATGCCAAACCTCAACCCCTTCATATGTGACTGTACGCAGTACTACCTTGAGAACGTTTTTCCCCTACCCGTTGCACTCCCGGAAGCAAAACAGAGACTGGATCTACAATTGGCAGGTGACAGGACATTGAATGGTGGGGATTGGCACTATTGTGTGATAGTGGCTTTGCAGGACGTTGAACATTGCATGGAAAGGAATTAATTCCCCGAGTCAGTGATACATTTGTTGTGTTCAGAAGTCCGACCAAAAACTATATGTGAAATAATATGCAACTGCGAGGTCGGAAAGTATGAAGAAATTTTTCCATGCATCATTTATCTGCAATACAAAGATGCCGAACCCTAGAATGCGAAATGAGGTAGAAAAATATCACGACACAATTTTGCAATGTCTTGATCTTGGCCAGGCACGTAAAATTAGTTATGCAATTGTGCTTCCTTCCGTTCAAGGAGGTTTCAAGTGTCCCGATTTAGATAATTCATGGCCGGTAGACTTCGATCGTCCTGTCGCTTTCGGCTCTTACGGACCTGGGCGACTGGATCTCAAAGATGCCTATCTCACTAGATACATATGTATTGTAGGTACCTTACCTACTTCGGCCTTCCGCATACATCCGTGACGATGTACTCCATATCTGCCGACATCTCTCCTCGAGGGTATGTTTTATTAGACTAGTCTAAGATGATTCTTCGTACCACTCTCATTCTACTGACCAAGTTCCAGATCACTGTACCCCTTCATCAGGCAGTCCAGGCAAGCGAAGGCATAGGTAGAGAAGCGGATATTTGACCACGACTGAGCATTCACCGACATGAATGAGTGACATGGTCGTTTGAGAATGGTCCGTTGCAGTATCTCCCCGTGTCGGAGAAACTGGAAAAAGGGGCGGCCTTACCCACCACCAACGCACCCGAAGTGAATCATCACGACCACGACGGCCACGGTCGAATGAAGGGGTACATCAGCCTCAGTCGATGTGTATCCATTTCTCCTCAGAAATATACGTGACCACATGTTCAGCCAACCAAAGTAGTTATTAATAGATTGAACTGTGTTGTCAACGTGAGGGAAGATGTGTTGTAGATGTTGCAGGAATCAATCGATTGAATTCTTCTCCATACATGCTTCCATTCCCTTCCTCCCATTTACCCGCTTCCATGTCGAGATCTTCCATCGATCCCCACTTTACACTTTTTTTTTCTCTTCCATCCTCCACCAGGCCTTCACAGAGACATTGCCAGCCATAAGTAGGTTCAAACCTAATCATGTAGCAACCAATAATCTCAGCCTTTATACTCATCACATTCACACTTAACCATCTCACCTAACCTAACCTATGACTTCTGACATATGATCATGACCTTGATTTTTATCTTTAAAGACCTAGACTCCCACTCTCCTGAACGGTTCACGATGAACGATTTGCATTTTGCTGTCAGCTTGCACTTGTATCATTTGCATTCCATTTTCATCGCTTATCCATGCTGCCAATGCAACCAACCAACATTTCGAAGGACGCATTCGGGAAAGCCGGACAATATCAGTGAGTGAGCGATAAAAGTCGGAGTCTCGGCCATTTCACTATCTGGTTGAGGGCTGGGCAAGCTGGGAATAGAAAGATACACAGCACAGCACAGTATCCTAGGTATAATACAGCACAAGCACAGTACAGTACGGACGCGTGCACATTGTTGCTTTCTAAAGTGGGCGGAAGATGTTGATGGCTTGTGAGGGGGGGCTTGGAGGGCTTTTGGCTTATTAGATGATGATTAAAGTTGGATAGCTTTGAAAAGAGTCGTATGAAAGCCCCTCCCTCCTTCCTTAACTTCTTCCTGCGCCGCTTCAGGTATGCTGAAAATGGAATAAAATGTGTGTTAGTTGATGGCGGCTGATTGATTCATTCACTCACTCATTCATTGTTTGATCGAGAAATTGGTGATTCCAATCCGGCTCATTGGCACACCGATTACTCTTGATTGAAACCTTGATATTATTCTATTATTACTTGCTTTCATTACTTTCATTACTTGGATTATTTATACTATTTATCTTATTTTAACATTACTATTTACATTATTTACATTACTATCTACATTATTATCTCATTACTTATATTATCTACATTACTTGGGTATATTATTCACATTACTTACATTATTTACATCACTTACATCACTACATACATACATCACTTATACTACACTCCTCCTATACTCCTCTACTCCTCTATCCATCTAACCCCAAATCAGCAACAACATATTAAATTCTACACACAACTCAACCACTTAACTCAAATCCAGATTATAGGGACTGACATTTATTACCAAAATCATTTCAAATCAAATCAAATCAAATCACTCCAAACACACCTCTATCCAATCCTGTTCATTCCTCTCCAGCCTCTTGACCTTTTTTATCCCTCGGAGAAAAAAAAAAGACCTCACCGTACTATTGTACCAATATACTTCCGTCCACATACATACCGAAAAGAAGGGGGTTTATCGTTATCGCAACCGATTTACATTACATTACCTACATTCCATTCCAATTCTTAACCCATACCGCATTTGCGCAAAGGGGCAAGTCGGCGGTCAGTTTTGTGTCGTGCATCAATCTTTATTCACTTGATTGTATCGTACAACCCTCATTCTGCACAGCAGCGATGCAAACTAGATGTTATTAAGCGTCTCCGTAAAGGGACTGAGAGTTGTTTCTCTTTGATTTTGATTTCATTTTGATTTTGATTTGATCTTGATTGTGTTAGTTGTTGCTATTACTTGCTATTTACCATTGTTTTTGCTTGTTTTTATTGCTCTTACCGTACAACCCCCTCAATCGAAACAATGTCCAATTACCATGGAGATCATATATCGAGATCTAGGTCCAAGGTCAAACCTGTTTTTAAAAAACTGATACAAAGCGAAAAGAATTCACTAGATCTGGATCGCTCTGCAGCGGAACAACAAGATGCCCTCGGGATATTTGATTATGGTACTGGCTACAGTTCTCGCTCCTCTTACGACATTGCATACAACAGTCGAGAAGGAGGGAGAAGGGGTTTTCACGCTCGTTCAACCAGCGGCACATCTCAATTCTCGACGACTACATCAGGCAGTGGCCCACGTTCTGGACCATTCGTACATCCTTTCCAGCAAACACCCAGACCTTACACTCCGCCGTTAGGTGCTTCTTACCAAAACTCAATTCGCGAAAGTGAAGCAACAAACAGCAGCCCTGCACTTACCGAAGATGAGGATCAGTTACGGCATACTTTCCGTAGTACAGCCAATTTAGCAAATCAAGCAAACTCTATGAGCGGTTCGACGAATCCTCTCTTGCAGCAAACCCTAAGGATTCAAACAAAGCTACCTCCGACCTCCTCAAGACTTGCACTTGCGACCTCACGCACAAGTCTCTCCCTAACCCCTGAAGTACCCTCACCACTCGACACCATGTCACCTACTACACCAGCTATCCGGCGATCCATGGAAGGATTCCGCATCCGAAGTCGCAGTGATGTTGATAACCGTCTGCGATCGGAAACAATACAAGAGGCACGTCGCAAGTTCCAAGAGAAAGAAAAGGCCAAAGAAGAAAAGGCAGCGAGGGAGGAAATTCGAGCAATGGAGAAGAAACAACAAAAGGAAGCAAGGCAGATTGAAAGAGGACATCGTCGTTCATCTGCCAGTGACAACCTACCTACAAGAACAAAACGTTCCAAGTCTGACCTTACTATACATGAGAAAAGTGAAGGACTTTATGGCCAGAGTTATAATACTGCAACTATTTCTACTCCCCCATTTCTTTCCGAGGAACATGGTTCACCAGGAGGAAGAAGTCATACCACCATGTCAAATACCAAGAAGAAAACACACAGTGCTTGGACAAAACTCATGATGTGGTTAAGGACTCGGTTCTTGCGACTGGGTAAGAAGACTAGCAGAAAATAACATATATTGTCTTGATCAATGGACTTGGAATAGAGATGTGAAGAAACCATACACCCATCTTACACTTTTATCACTGGGTGGTATACCTCACATCCATATCCCATCCATCCTCCATCTCCTGGATAAGGCTTCCTGTCCACTTTCTTACTCTCTTTAAACATAATTTTGGGATTTGTTTTGTCCTCTGGACAGGCGTTAGGCAGGTTCAAATATGATTTCATACCAGAGGACCGGCATCGAAAAATTTCGACTGCTTTTGTTTTTTCCCATCACATGCGACACATCAGCGAGGCGTTTGGGTCACTCGTTTTTTTTAAAGTACATTAAAGTACTTCTTTCTGGGAACAGGACCTCTGGTTAGGGAGATTTTACATATGGGTGTTTAATGGGGTTTTGGTGCTTTGATCATTTTCCTTTTATTGCTGAGTGAAGTATCTTGCTTGCTCTTCGCATACACATGGAGGAGCTTTGGTTTTTAGGAAGTTTGTGTCTTTCTATACTTGGGAGGGGGGATTTATGGGGGTGTCTCTGTTCTTAGACTGGGTGGGAATTGCTTGGGGATAAAGATTTGATTTGCTTTTCTGGCGAGGGAATGAGTGCAATGGTGATGGTGATTGAGGAAGGAAGTGAAAGTGAAGGTGGCTTGCATGCCTTCATGTAGTTAGCTATCTTTGGATAGGAGATTGTGGTATGCTTGGGATAGATAGGATAAGCACAATTCAATTAAGAGAACTTCCTTTTACTTCTTTTTTGGCTTGGTTTTTGTGTTTGTGTGTGAATGTGTGAATGAATGTGTTTTTGAGTTGGTGAAGTTGGTGATTCAAATATTATCATGTAAAGCCGTCGAATTATCCCTTCTCCCTTCTCCCTTATGTGCCTTCTTGAATTACACCATTGGATCTTCACAAGAATTATAGAGGAAGAAGAGAAGAAGTAGTCATAGATGGATATATGATGGATAGATGAATCGCCAATATTAACATTAGGGGTCAAAGTTGCACATAAAGCACGAAATGGAAAAACTAGTATTTATTGATTCTCTGAACCTCCTCAAAAACCACAATTTAAGAAAAAACTTATTATATGCCATACCATGTATATATGAAAATATGAAAATATGAAAATATGAAAATAAAACAAAAAACTTAAGAACTCGACATCTCCCTCCTCCTCCCCCGCTCTCCACCACCCAACCCCCAGATCTTCCCTCCCCACACCTCCGCACCTCAAGACCTCACCGTAGCATTCCAAGCCGAATACCGCACAATCTGTCGAAAATGTCCATACAACCCAATACAACTCCCCAGAATTAAATAAAAAGGATACAGAAGCGTAAATTTAACCATCATACGTTTAGTTATGAGTTCTGAGAGGACGAAGTAGGTTATTGCGAGACTGCCTATTAGGCAGAGTGTTCTGGGGCGGGGGGGTTAGTTTGGTGTGCTTGTGCTTCGGGGTGTTTAGGGAAGTTTGAGGGAAATAGGATTTCACATACCCAATAATAAACAACCATTCCGAAGCGGGAAATTCAAAAAAAATCAAATTTTTCAACTGAGTTCCTGTTTTGAGAAATCCAGTGATGAGGAAACTGAGCATGAGACATGTGTATTGTGAGACGAGATAATAGCTTAATTCACGAATTAATAGTAAAGAGAGGAGACCAAAGCGAGTGAGAAGATTGCGTTTCTTGTTGTGGGGTGATTTTTTGTAGGCGAGCATGCAGTGCCGATAACTTGCTTGTGTCCAGCCTTGGACCCAGCGGAGTCGCTGTTTGAGAAATGAGTGGAAGGTTGTGGGTGCGAGTTCGTAGGATATCACGTTCGGTTCGTGGATGCAGATGGAGCCTTGTTCGAGGGCGCGCAGCGCGGAGTCAATATCTTCTGTTAACATGGTTGCGTCCATTTTTAGATCGCGGGGGAGATTGGCGCGCCAGTAGCCGTTGGATCCTATGGGGTCGTTAGGGATGCTAGGGAATGTATGATGTGAGATGTGGGTTTTGGGGAGAGGAGAAGGATGAGGTATATTTACCGGTAAAAAGACCATAACCGAATAATGCAGCTCGGCCAGGATGTGATGTACCATAGATCTTGTCGAATTCTACCGCGATCGTACCAGTCAAGAATGTGGCCTTGGAATTTTGAATGACACATCGTCCTTGAACGCAATCGACTTCTTCATCGGCTAGGAACCGTTCGACTGCCCATCGTGGCCCATAAGGATGGGAATAATGATCACAATCATACAAGGCGATGATTTGTGCTCCGGTATATAGGGTAAAGAAGTAATTAAGATTGTGTGCTTTGGAAGTCGAGTCTGGTACTTTGATTATTCTCAATCGGTCGATTTTCGCTGCGAGCTCGTTCATTTCAGATTCGACGGGCTCGATGGCTTTGGGCGTGTTGTACAATACGTTGATTCGAATTCTATCATGTGGGTATACGATATGATCTAAGGCGTAATGAATCCTATCCATGATAATGTCTTGTTCGTTGGGAAGATATGCGACGATAACAAGATCCAATATCAAGAGTTGATCCTCGGGCGTGGGAAATTTCCATCCATTTTCCTCCACGTCATAGAGTGCTTTCCTTGAAATTCTGTTAGGCTTTAGACTACATATGGCTTCCATGACGTTCATAGCTGCCGTGTAGGAATTTGTGGAAAGATAGATGAGCCAGAAAATCTCTATCAGCTTTGGCGTGCAAAACATGTAAAGACATGTTGAGAATATGAAATAGGAGATAATTAGGAGGAATGGAGTCCAATCCAACAAAAAAGCTGAAGCTCTGGACGCGAAAGTGCATAGAGAAACAGGTCTTGAGGAACTGATTAGCTTCAACATCTTGTGAGAACAACAGAGAACCGAAGGTATTAAATTTGCGTAGGAAAGAAATGAGGAAACGAGGCTCGTGAAGGATTAGAAGGATATCAACAAACAGAAGAATATCAACAAACAGACGACACTATCCGTCCATTTTGCATTCCGGAAGAGATTCAAAACCCTGAATGAGATTCATCTCGATGATGAAGTCTTGGTATACTCCATGAACAGTATCATACCCAAGCTGATCAAACTATTGAAAGCAGGTGGTCGTCCACAACATAGCTTACTTGTTGAAATTGGAGCCCCGAATATTGAGAAGGTAGAGAATATGATATGTCAATTCAGTCAGAGACTTATTGTCTTATACTCAATACAGATGTTCTAGACTACTAGATAGTTCTGCTTCTCTTGAATGGCGAGAGATGTTTGCTACTGATTGTTTCAGGCCACTCAATAAACATAGAGGTTCACTTGAGTGGTAAAGCCTCATCTCACTATGTAAGTTAATATTAAAAATTATAACCTTACACTAGGTACAGTCTGTGTTGAAAAATTGATATTTGCGGGTAAGAAAGTCATAAATATAAATTTATCACTGACTGGAAGAACCCATCGGAAGCTAAAATGCCACTGAATGAGCCACTGAAGCCACCAAAACCCCTATAGCGCTAAACACGTGCGCGGCTGGTTAAAGCCAAAAGTTTCCTTCGACCACTCGTGAAGCCTGCCAAACTCGCACTATCCGCTATACTATCTAAGAAGTCCTTAGTAAACAGGATGTTACTTCTCATTTCATTCAAAATCTTCTCAAAAAGCAAAAGGTAAATAACACATGATGGATTGTGTGCGTGTGGCCGCCCGTCTCAGCTCTCGAGGAGGATCTGGGCATTTGAATTTGATACCCACGACAACTTATGGGCATGCTTTTTAGGATTTATCTTGTGGTATCCTTTTGTCAAGTTGAAGTCACGACGAAGGTAACCTCGAAGGATTTTTTATCGTTACTTGTTATTGTTGTTATCGACCATGTACACCATTTCCATACTGTCTTTACTCTTTACCATTGCATTCTCCGTCTATGCCCAATCTTCTCTTTCTGCCCCTATCTTTTCGTCAAATGATGACTGCTCGTGTGGATACTATGATATCGTGAATGGAAACCTCTTCACGGAATCTCTAATAGTGTATTTCAATGAAACCGATACTCTTTCCGACGACATCATACTTCAGTCATACGAAAACAGATATGAGAAGTGTGTGAACGAAGTGAATGACTTCAATTTAAATTACTACTGTAATAAAGAACTAAGCGAACGCGAAAGAGACTAGCTCTTTTAGTAAGTCTATATAAGACTTACTACTTTCAATATGTAGCTAGCTCTTTAGACAGAATACAATTAGACATACAGGACCTACGTAATCTGTGGGTGCTACGTCTTCCGTATCCTTCTCGTACCAACAAGAAGGATTACAACAGCATCTTTCGGCAAGGTTCCAATCCTACAAACGTCAATTTTCTTAACAGTTCGTTATTTACGGACGATAACGATGAATCCTGGTCTCTGCCTTCATCCGGGTCACGTTCTTCGCGACAGATCTCGTCAAACTCTCCGCACCAGAACGTTTCATCTACTATTGGTAGAGGAGGCGAGAACTCTTCAACTGCCAATGATCCAATATCATCGTCGTCGCCATCGGGTAGACCTTTCACTTCGTCCCTGAAACTGTCGGTAGACCCACCGAATGGTGATCACTTGGTAACAGGTGGTGGCATCCGAACTGTGAGACAGGATATCAAATATGGTTCAGCACGTGCTCATCTTCGTCTTTCAAATCAGGGAGTTGGGGCGACGTCCCTCTCGATGATGTTTCGATACAACGATACAGAATCAATGGAAATCAATATTATGAACACCAACCAAAATTCGACTTCTTGGGTCACAAGTTTGGTTCATTTGGAATTTTCAGATCCATCACTTGGCACAAAATTCAGTACTTTTGCAGGGAAGAACATATCGCTATATGATTACAACGAGTTCCGACTGGACTGGACGGAGAGTGAAGTGAATTGGTGTATCGGAAGCGCCCTTGTTAGATCAATTTCCAAGAAGAATGACTCCGTACCATCAACCCCCTCACCCTTCTTTATCAAGCATTGGTCTACAGGAAATCCATATTCGATGCAAGGCCCACCTATTTCCATCTCAGATGCAAATATTGGATGGATTCGACTCTTTTTCAATTCGTCATTGATGAATTCTACGGACCATGCGAATTTTGATGCGCAATGCAACCTTACTGTCGCATGTTCGATGGACGATACAACTCGACGTGGCTCCTCGCCTTTCCCATCAGCCGCTTCAGATCCATGGGAACAGCGTGTTGCCCGTGACACACTTCGGTGGTTAGCTATTTGGTTTAGCGTAGGTTGTATGGTGGTTACTCTGACAGCTCTAGTGAATGCTCTTCTTAAGCTCAAGGTTTTCAAGAAAGAGGAGGATGTCCAACCTATTCCCGAAGATGATAATAGTGTGATGAGCCCTCCTTCTTCACCCTACACACACTACAGAGGTGCAAGCTTGACTCCGGCACCCTCATATCGGACCAGAATTGAGTCCTATAATTCGGAATCCTCAACTTTAATAGCTTCATTCAATTTTTCATCCGCAAGCCATTCAGTTTCTGCCGGACGAGGCTTGAGTGGCATCGGATCTCCTGAACAAATATACAGCAAAGTTGACCCCGGATGGGATACTTGCGGAAGTACTTCAGGCGAGAATAGCGACAATGCAATATCTATCAATGAACTACCTTCTAACCAACCTCACTCGTGGCCCAACTCGCCCGCCGCTAGTCGATTTGATTTTAATCTCAATGAAAAGTCTAGACGACTCTCGGGGCTTAAAAATACTACCACCGTGAGTGCGCTGGACAATGTAACACTTGATATCGAATCGGACGTCATAGAACCACAGCATCAGAAAAATGCCCAAACTTATATTGATACACATTCAGATGGACAAGATACCATAAATGTATTTCCCACATCGAAATTCTCAACAATTGGAAGTGCATCCCCCATAGACAACAGTCAAAGAGTGGATCACTTAGCCGGTCTTATCACAGTCGCAGCAATCAACGTAACCGTCCTTCACTTCTGCCTCACCTTCGTACCGGCCGTCATTGCTCCCGGCGCTTTTGCACACTATCCTGCTGAAATATGGATCAATAAAACCATCGTACCCTTTTTCCTCAATCAAGGAGCTCTCGACCTCTTTTTTACAACCTCTGCTCGATTTCTCATTGCACCTTTTCTACGGGGTGGAGACCTCTCTTCTATATCTCAAAAGATAGTCGGTCGAGTATTTCAAATCATGTTACCTGTTCTCGTGTTCGTCTTTCTAGAATACTTTCTTATTCTATCGGGAGCAACGTATTACCTTCCTTTCTTACCATCAATTACATGGAGCACATGGCCTTACATTACGCCCTTTCCGCACATCGGATATCTCCTCAATGAAGTTATGGCACTCGCATACACAATCCCAAACGCAGTTCCTCTGATAACTTTTAACTACTGTACCGGTGTTCTCTGGACCATTCCTGTAATAATACAGGGATTATGGACTACACTTCTCGCCATCCTTCTGATAACTTCTATTCCAAGCCCGAGCAAACGTCTCCCTTTCTATCTTTTCTCTCTCCTCATAAACTGGTATTCACTATCCTGGTCCTCCTTCTTTTGGATCGGCATTCTACTCACTGATCTCGAAATTACTTACCACTTCCCAAAATACCTGCACAAACATCCTCTCATATACTATCCCCTCATTTTGATCCTTACAATTTTAGCTCTTTGAGCCCTGAGCGCAGATACTTTCAACCAATGGCTAGATTACAGCATCATCGCTAAAGAAACACTCATACATCCCGACCCAAATACAGGTCTTCCGGCTACTATCACTCGAAATTCCGGATACCCGGGCTATCCAGGGTATTGGGTCCCTCATTTTAATGGCCTCATCTTTTGTACCGCAATTCAATGCCTCGCATCTATATCACCCTTCGTCCAGTCATTTCTTTCCGCTAAACACCTCATGCTCCTATTTCCACACGTCTTTAGCATGTATCTATTCCACGGTATGATATTTTGGTCCCTCGGTGCTTGGGTCTGCATTACGCTCAACAACATCTTGCCGTATTGGGCAGTACTGATTGTGACGGCTGTGGTATGTTATTCGGTGTTATTTTTATTTTTGCCATTATTATCATTAATCGCAGGGTTATGCGGGAAAGGGTTAGCGGGTGATATCAAGAGAGATTCAATGGAAGAGCCATTGCCGGGAAGGCCAACGTTAACGCCATTTGGGAGAGATTGGTTGGACAGGAATGGGATGGTTGATGGAATTCCTGTTGTGGGTAGTACAACACCGATTGAGGAGAGTAAGGTTGGAAATATGGGGAAAGGGAAAGAGGAGGTAAACGGCGTAGAGATTCGGGTTATCGATTGTGAGGAGGGACTTGTGCAAGAAACTACTATTAGTTCCACCAATAAGAATTCGAAGGGCAAGTTCGCTGAGGGTGAGGTTTATGTCAAAGGAAACCAGATAATTAAGGCATGAGAAGTAAATGAGGGTTCGTAGTTGTTTTTGGCGGGCAACATATTTACCCAAAGTACATAATATTTCTCTTTCGAGGAACAAACTCAATCTCTTCAAAACATTATTCTTTATTACTAGATCAGCTATCACATGTCAATACTTAATCTATGCCTCGAAACCAATGCTAGTACTTACAAAATGAAAATACTTTAAAGTTAGCCCCGGAAATTATTGTCTCGTGCTTCAAGCCATCAAGTTGGGCTCCATCAATCCTCAGAGCTTTGGTATGATCTTGTGGATCCAATACTGGAATTATTACCCCCCTTTTCTTTACCCGAGACAAATCTAGTCAGGTCTCGCAAAGTGTTTGTTTTTACGTGAAACATTACAGCTCACATGGAAGGCGTGAGATATTCCGAGCAGGGTTTCCAATAGTGCGGATTGCAGGTTAGATTATGAGGGAACCTGGTTACTCGAATTCTCACTCTGAGTAAGTATCGAAGCTTACTCTAGGTAAATATCTGAAGTCTCCTTTAGAAAACTTTACTGAATTGCACACCTCTCGAGTTTTGGAATCCGCGTCTATAGTGAACAAATTCAGAAAGCCGGGAAAACTGATCGCGATTACCACCATGAAATCGCTTTTCCTATCGCCACCTCCAAGTACTCCTCAATCGACCTACCTTTTAGGCCTGCGCGGCTTTCTCATAACGCAGACTTTTCTATGGACATTCCTACAAACATTTGTTCCTGCTACGGTCAAGAGCAATATCGTTACATTCCCTCCAAATACACCGACTTATCAAAACCTCATTCGCAAGATTCTCTCTCCAATTTTCTGGAATGAATCGCTCATATATTCGTCATTTATATTTTTATCTGCAAGAACACTCTGTATATCCTTCATTAGCTCTCCCACAAAACAAACCATCACATCTTCCATATTCCGACGATCATTCCGCCTTATAATTCCAACTATCTTCTCCCTTTCGCTTATCACTCTGCTTTCATACACAACATCTACCGATCATTTTACCACTCTCTTCATAACCCGCACCGCGAACACTAGCATCCAAACTCCATGTACTCTTTCCTCACCTGTTCCACTCACCCTCTTCAACTCCATTTTCACCCTCCTCCTCTCCACTTCCCACACACCTCTCCACAAGCTATCCGCCGTCCGCGCTTTCCCTTCCGCAACCCTATCAATCCTTCCAATCCTATACTCACAATCCTACACCCTCTACATCACTACTCTCATAATTCCCTACACCCGACCCCTCTGGCGTCTCAAATACTCCCCCCTCTTCCTCTTCACCGCCTATTGGGTATCCTCCTACTCATTCATATCGATCAGCAGCCTCCTCCTCACCGATTTCCTCCTTTTCCATAATTCTCCCCTACTCTTTCATTCGAGAACCGGCTTTCCATTACCGAAACAACTCACGAAGAAACGAGTACCGTCTTGGATACCTTACACTTTTATCCTGTTGATTGGAATAGCTCTCCAATATTTTTACATCACTTCGGAGTCTGAGATCAAAACGGCAAATGCGGAATTAAAAGCACATACGGATATTTATGGTTCTTCGGGTGGATTAAACACAACTCCGGATTTAAAAGAACAAACTCCCAGGATTACCGATTGGTTAATTTTATGTGGAGGATTTTTGCTATTAGAGACGAGGAAGGGAGTACAAAATTTATTTAAAAATACTGTGATGATTGCTCTTGGAAGGAGAAGTTTAAGTAGTTAATTCTTTTCCCCCGAATATTTGTGAGTTGTTGAGCTAATGGGTTTATTTAATTATAAAGGCTACTTCTTGACCCAATCTATTGTGGTATATTCGGCAGCTATTCCTTTGTATCTCCATCTTGTCGTAGATAAAGATGTTTCGGATATAGCGGCTACTTGTATTTGTCTTGGGGTTTCGGTGTTGGGGACTCTGGTGTGTGGAGAGGTATTTTATAGGGGGGTGGAGATTCAGAGTTTGTGGGCGGGAGTGTGGAGTTGGGGTTGGATGAGGGAATGAAGGAATGAGGAGAATGTGTCGTGTTGATTATTGAGATTATGTGTTGGTGGATGCTGTATGTAAATGTAGAAGATTTATGGAATTGAATTATATCTCTCATCTATTAGGTTATATACGGATCTGAAGCTTTTATTGTTTCTCAACTAGCTTCTGGCTTGAATATGAAAACTTTTCGTCCCATGTACCTCAGTCCAATGACATGATTGTGCATGACGATGATGATTTTCAGTTCAACAAACATAACAGCATGTGATTCTATATTGGCAAGGGCTGGACGAGAATAGGAAGGAGTTTGGAATGAAGGCAAATAAGGAATGAACTTTCAAGATTGGAGGCATGGTACTTGGGATATGATCGATGTATTGTGTGTAATCTTACAATCCATTTGGATATTTCAAAGCAACATCACTCCTGAAATAACTAATCAATAATCTTTTTTTTATTTTTAATTCACCTCAAAGATTTACAGACACAAACTTCACTTTTGAATATGACGACTTGAACCGATCGATGGATAATGGAAGTATAAAAAACTGTGCGTTGGTAATTGGTATAACCAATTACAAAAAAAAGATACAACAATTTTTCTCCCAAAATTTTCAAACATTAAACTCCGAGTAAGTACAAAAAAATCCCAAAAAAAACAAACTGAGGAAGCACCCCGTACGGGCACCCCGAAGAAACACAAAAAAAAAACTCCGCCTATCCCACCAAGGACCACCGAAGACCAAAGAAACACCGAGGACCACCAAGAACCACAGACAATGTCATCTTCACGAGGGTCAAGATGACTATGAGTCCCAAGCAGAGGGGGTTTTCCAATTCTCAATCCCCCAACCGCCCGACTCCTCAATGTCATCTTGATCCTCGTAAAGACGACTTTGTCTGCTCATCCTTGAAGGAAATCTGAGCTTCTTATACGAGTCGATGATCATCTCCTCGCCGGAATCCGAGACCCTAAGAAGGTCTGGGAACTTGTTGGCCAAGACCCAAAGCGTCCACGCGGCATCGTTGCCAGCGTTGTGCTCCCATCCAGGCTGGACGGAAGGGTCGTAGCCCCAGACCAAGTTGAGGAGACTTCGACCGTTCTTGCTTCCCGGCTCGAGATGGATCGCCTGTGTATCAATGGCATCCGGGAAGAAACGATCGAAAGCGTCGATCCCCGCTTTCTCCAAAAAGGCTTGGTCATTTTGAATGGCATGACCAACCAAGACCACTTGTCCATATTTGGACTCCTCCTCAATAAGCTTTTTGATCAGCCCATTGACCTTGGCGAGCTCGTGAAACTCGGTGCGGCCGTATTGAAAGGCGACCTTTTCACCTTGTTTGAGCTTTCCAACTCTGGTCCTGTACTTTTTGAATTCCTTGATGAAGATGTGGCGGAATTCGGTGCCAGCTTCCGAACACGGATCCTTCGCGTAAAGGGCCGCGTTGTCCCCGGTCGCACGGAGGACCGAGATGCCAATCTGTGTTGGCGTTGAGCGAGGATAAACCTTGCCATTGGCAATGCAGTTGTACTCGTGCGTGGTTGCCTCCAAGTCAATGGAGACGAAGACGTATGCCTTGACAGGCAGTCTTTCGTTCTCCACCTCATTGATAGACGTGGAAGCCATTGAAGCCAATAGCTCATCGACAGAGGAGGCGGAGGAGGAAGCGGGAACGGGAACGGCAGCGGGAGTGGAAGGAGAGGACCAAGAGGACGAGGAGGAGGAGGAAGCCGGAGCGGGAGGGGAGGACCAGGAGGATGGGGCGGAAGGAGAGGACCAGGGGCAGGAGGAGGGGGCCGGAGCAGGAGGAGAGGACCAGGACCAGGAGGAGGGACCAGGGGCGAGGGCAGAAGGAGAGGACCAGGGGCAGGGGGAAGGAGAGGAGAAGGAGGGGGAGGGGGACGGGGAGGAGGGAGTGGCGGCAGAAGAGTAGGAGCGGCGTCCAGACATCTTGAAAATAAGTAAAATAAAAAAATAAAAATTTAACTGAGAAGTGGTGAGTAAAATAAAGGATTGATCTTGAGCAACTAAGATCGGATAATCAATAGATCAGTGATACAGATTTCAAAAGTGTGACTTTTGTAAATGGTAAAAATGATCAGAAGATTGTTTGGCTGAAGAAGAAAGAATCTACTTTCAGGTTGGGGAATTCTCTTTTGTATGTTTCCTCTCCAGTGGTGCAATGTATCCTTGCTCAGAAGTCCGTGAGAATTTTGGGAGACTATGCTTCTTGAGAATTTAACTTTGTCTAGATTTATGACTACAATGAACGATGGAGTTGACAAGCCGATCTAGGAGATATAAGCTTCATACTAGTACTAGGATTTTGAGCTAATTGTAGATCCCTCTGTGGGGGAAGGCGGGGTTTTCGCTCATGTACACTGTATTCATCGTCATGGACTGTAATTCAGCATGAAGATAACCTTGATCGCCGAACGCGGTTTGTACATCAGAGCCAAATCCATTACATTTATCGAACTCTATTTCAAGAAGCCAAATAACTGTGCGAAGCATGAAAGGGACTCAGAGCATTGAGCGACACTCAAAGATTCAGAAACCATTCGCTGTTAAACTTGAACGCTAGATCACAAGCCTACGAGCTACAAGTCATATGGCGATTAAGATAGAAAACGGTCATGAAGATGAAAGTATGTCTCTAGTAGTAACCTTACTGAGTCGTTAGAAACCAAGCTAGAGGTACTAGATGCACCGGATGAAGAGTCTAGATCATAAAAATAAACGCGTATGCGAAACTTAGCGATCACGACATCTTTGAGCATGTACCAAAGAAGCAGGAAATTTCTAGCGATCTGCACTTTCAATCACTCGACTGAAAAGATTTATGTAGTGGGGTATGGGTTAAGCTTCTGGACATCAAAGTATTCGGAATATTCGTCTTTTGTGACTGGCTCGGTTAGATGGGCATGAGTAGGAAATTGACTAAGTACCACTACACATCTCATCGAGTTTTAATAGAGTCGATCTTTCAAAGTTATCAAGGAGTTCTCATTGGGACCACCTCAAAAGGTGATATAAATTGTAATAGTCCGGATGCGTATTCAATAATGAAATTTCCGAATCGTGGGAATCGAAGTTATTTGTAAGGTGTTACGAGTCACTTGAAAGATTGAAACCATTCGGAAGAATGAAATGTGTCTGTAATATTGAGATCGTCTACTTTCGTAGAGTAATACTAAGTGGAACGATTGGAGCATTTCCAAAAGTCCATATGTCTCCAAATATTGAGCGATTTTATTCCAGACCGCAGCCTGTAATGTTGTGCGCTTGGGGATATGTGAAATAATTGATATATCATTCATGAGTGGAGTATTGGAAGGATGAATATTGAACGGAAGAGAAATTTGGTAACTGAGTCATATGTTCACAGATGAATGGATGCTCACTTCCTCAACTGAAGCTTTGGGACATGTAAGTTGATCGATGAGATTATTGCGATGTGGAAAGAAGATCGACAAAAGTACCAAGTCTGACAATTCAGCTTAGATAATAAAAAAATTTGAGAGTTATGAGAGGCACCAAACTTTGGCAGTCGCCACCGGGTCTGGCGGAATTTTAATTATGTAGATGTTTATATCAGATTAAAGGAGATTAAGATGATGAAATAGAAATGATTCTGTGTGTTCCTTCGTGAAGACCCACCATTCTAAGAACTCCATGCAAGCCAAACCTCGCATTAGTATATCCTATTTTACATATCTAAGCATTCCTGATGTTCAATATGGGCGATACATCCACTCCCTTTCATTGAAAACGATTTCAAATTCAACTTTGTCGAATGTTCCTACGGCGGCATACAAGTCGTGCATTCCTTCTAATCCTGTGACGGGAAGATCTTCAACGGAATCGCCCTCTTCATGAAGATTCCATCTGCCACCCTTTTTGCCGTCTCTGGTAAAGAAAATCTCAACGTCGATAGGAGTTTTAGCCGTGGTTTGTGATGGTCCAGAATCATATGCAGGAGGACTATTGACATTTCGTGGAGTGAAAGTCATTCCAATTCCGACAGTCTGGCCGGCTTGAAATTTACTTGTAAAGTCCTTACCACCCCATAGATCATTAATGTATTTGTGACCATCATCGCCGTGAACACCCAATGACCCTCGATGCCAACCAGGCAATCTGAAAGTTGGATATGGCTGTGCAACATATCCTAATCCCAAAGTGATTTCCCCACGACATCTATTTGATATTTTGACCTCGTAGTATATTGTTTTGCCAATTTCGGTTTGTAAAGGTGAATGCGCATACACGGAGTACAACGGAAGCGTAGAAATAATGCATGAATCCTTGCTGTTTGACTTTGTCTTTCCAGTCCAAACACCTTGTCGCGGACGTGAAAGATCACCATTGTAAGACCTTGGCTTAATGACACCAATATTTCCAGCATCAAGTGCTTCTAGAGCAGCCTGGGGGAATTGTACTGGCGGTCCCAAAGGGTTCTGCTCACACCATGCTTTCCCTTGAAGTGCCTCTTCTTCTGTAGCGTTGTTTCCATCGCTTCGTTGATGTCCCATCGATGGAGGAGGCGGCAGAAGAGATGTGTCAGGGACCGCGGTTTGCCAATCGTGATATGGCGCTTGAGGTGGTGGGCCCGAAGGAGGGGCATATTGGTACGAAGGTGGGGGGCCAGGCGGGGGTGCATATTGCTCGTTATAAGGCCCAGGTTTTTGCGACGGTGGTGGTCCCGCTGGAGGAGAGTAAGATTCGGTCTGTGGCATTTTGATCGAGCTTTTCCCCTGAGGTATTGCGTTGAGTGGTCGTGAATTGAGATTGTCGTTTTCAAATCCGGATGGTGCTTCGCCTTTCAATTTGCTACCGAAACACATTTTCAAGAGATTTATGGAAGTTTTTGTAGTTGAAGAGTCAAGCAATGGTTATTAGCATGAAATCTTTGGTACATGATTTGATTCCCAACTTGTGGAAAAGGGCTGTGCGATGATGGTATGGAGTCATATGAATCAAATGGCGTCTCTCCAAGCGCCAGGTAAGCGCGGGTCACGCCTTCCACCATCTCAATGCCCTGAACAAATATCAACAAAACACTGAAATGGCCTGATGTATTGTATTAATTACATTTGTATTGTGGTTATTCGAAGGCCTAGATTTCCACCGGAATTATCCTGTTCTGCAAGAGATAGGAGATTTCGGTATCTTCCGAATATTTTCGTGTCAAAGGAGAGAACATTCTTTGACACGCCCGAATCTACAGCTGATAAGCTCTGATGCTAGAATGATGATTGACTGATAGCTTTAATAACCAATGGAGAAACAGTTGTAGAGAGATGAATTGCTTTATTGCTTGGCAACTTCCGTTGAAAGGAATGACTTTCACTTCTATACTTTTTAATATAAACTACTACTCCCAGCAGATAAAGCTATAGCTACAGCTTTAGGTATAGCTCTCAAAAATAACGTCATGGCGCCACTTCACTCTGCCTCGTTCAGAATATCAGTTCATGTTAGTATATATCTATCTATCAGGGATACAGTGAATCTTACAGTACCAATTCTAGTATCCCGACTGTAACGATTCGGAATTTCTCACATTACAACAACTTCTGCGCAACCAAGATGCTGCTGCGGATCTGATAGCTAAAAAGGCTGCATCTTTACTATGGATTGGTTCACCCAAAGGGGGCTTCGTCATCAATGAGAATGGATATTTCCGTCCTTATGTAAACGCCACAATTTTTGCTCAAGCAGATGCCTTTGGGAAAGCTACCGTTGCCTATGAGGTACATTGGGATATCCTCAAGAAGTACCTCGCCATGGGTGGGGATCGAAGCAAATTGGGTTGTCCGGCCACAGATGAACTGTGGACTTCTGACCGTAGTTGTCGTTTCAATACCTTCACATCAGGTGCAATCTATTGCAATTCCAAGACCGGCACGTGCGTGGTGAATGGTGAAATCTATAAGAAACGGATGACTATGGATGGAGCTGAAGGGGTTATGGGTTTCCCAGTTTCTGACGTGAGCATACTTGATATCTCGATTCCGCGCTTTCTTATCACAAACTCTTTCATGTCAAAATGCTATTCATGCTTGACTTTTGACGTTGAGCAGGTTACTAATTCACCCATGTGAAGGAAACATTGACGACTGGGGGAGTGACTCTCTTCAATATGTTCTCACACGGTGGTGCTATATATTACACTGTAACTCGCGGGGCATTCTGGATTTATGGGGATATCTACAAGAGGTGGATGGCTTGTGGTGGTGAGATGGGCGAGCTGGGATACCCCACATCAGACGAGGAATATGCACCCGATGAAGTGTGCCATTTCAACAAATTTTCTGATGGTGGTGCGATATACTCAACACCAGAAGTGAGTAATTTGAATTCTTTGATGTTACATTTGCTGGTCTTGATTTTCCAACTTCAAATTCCTTGCTCATTTTCTATCTCCTGCTTGTTTACTGCCATCGCTCAAGTTTCTTGCCTTGCCGCAGATGACTTAACCTGGTAGGCAATTACTAACCCCTGATATTCTCTAGTACGGCGCCGTAAAAGTAGGTGGCAATATTTACAAAAGGTTGATGGCGCTTGGTGGAGACAGTGGGTATTTGGGTAACCCCATACGGATGAAATGCCGGTAAATACAATACTGGTTATACGACTTCTCTGGTGGCTCAATATGATGGCATACTTCTATTGGCACCCGGGAGTTTTCTGGGAGGGAAACAAATTATAACATCAACATCACCGATATTTTGATCAAGGAGCTCCGCTCTGCACGCGTAGACACTCTTTACATTACAGCATCTATCGCCACCGCATCCGCAGGAGTGCAATCCATTGCTCAAGCCCTTGGTGAGCACCCAGCTGGCTTCGTATACCCCAGCTTGACACTTCATAATTGTCCGATAGGAGACGAGGAAACGGTAACATTAAGATACCTCATCGTCCACAACCACTCCAACGGCCGAGCAGACGTTCTCAAAAAGCTTGGTATCGCAATCCACATATTAGGAACAGCTGCTGTAGAAGAAGATATGATCGCTTCGCGGTACAGATGAAAATCTTCAATCGGAGACGCCATTGGTGCAGCTATCGGCGGAGGTCCTGTACCTGTAAGCGAATCTGCTGTTCGCCCTTTCGAGGGATGGGCAGATAGTGGTGGTCTCGGAATGCCATTTTTGAATTCTGATGGTGTGGTTGCGGCCGAGGTTGCAACGCTGAAAGGTAGTGATGTAAAGGCTCATTTAATCATGGGAAATACGTGGAAAGTTAATGATAAGCACGTGGGTACAAAAGCTCCTTCATGGTACGGCGCTACCTCACAGTATGATGTATTGTGGAATGTGGAATTCTCGTGAATTTACTGTGGAGTATTGGTATATACCGCAGGTTGGTTGGTTGGTTGGTTAGTTGATTGGCTGGTTAATGGGAGCGTAATTTCTGGAAGGTTTAGGAGTCGCGTCTGCTGCTCTATCTTTTTAATGAGGTAATAAAAGTATGGTGTGTGATAGATTGAGTAATTAGTTATCCGTTTTGACAAACACTATCCAAGATTTTTTTGATATTTGCGGAAAAACCTCATGTGAAATCTTAGCTGGATAGTGAACTAAGAAGTATCAATCGGTGATAAAAAGTTATCTGTTATTATCTGATCAAGTATAATAAAATCAACACATGAAATTAACTCTACTGGCCTAAAATAAAAACTACATTTAATACAGTAATAAAATTTAATCTTATTATATATTTGAATTCCATATAAGATCTTATAAGAAAAAGAGTGTAATTATATTTAAAGAATAAAAATACACAATTCATCAAGTATCCAATAAGAATATTGAATTTTTGATATAATTATTAATTAATATTATATTATTCAAGAAAATAATCTTATAGAAGAAGACTAATTGATAGATGAGATATTCCGTACTCCGTAAGATTACACTCAGCCGACTACACACGTGAAAATTTCATTTTGGAAAAGTGCGGATCTATCTATAGGTAGCTAGCTAGTGTTAAACATCAGAAGAGTATTCCTCAGACCTTCATCTTGCATCTCATCTCCTCATCTCTAACTCCCCCATCCATAAAAAAATTACTTTCCATTCCCATTTCCATAAGCCACATAAATATCCTTCTCATATCTCTCAAAGATCGCCTTTCGATTTAATTTCGTAGTTGCCGTTACTAATTTCTGTTTCTCGTTAGCATCATCCATTCGCCTCACTTACAACCCCCTTTTATTTGTAAGATAGGTTGATGTATCCAAATAAATTAGAGCATGTCACATACGACCATAGACTGAAGAGAATTGGGCATCCCGTCCGCTCTGCCATACACAAGCTTCAGATCGGTGGATTAGTAGTTGGGTGGGTGACCACCAGCGAATCCCCACTGTTGTATGTTTTTTGTAATTTCTTTTTGCCTTTCTTTTGTTTGATCCTGAGAACATGCAAGATGAAAGCTTTTTCTCACATTGATTGTCGTCCATCCCTCATCTGCTAATACAACACCTTGAATTATTTCCATACTGGCTAATCTAGATCTTTTCCCTATAGCTTGTAACTGCTTCAATAGCTCACGACGAATGGATTCATTATGCACGAGATCATCGATACCGTGACCTCCTTACTCCCAGAGACTCAGCGAGCTTTTTGAGAGCTGGTTCGACGGGGACAATGATTGCGACCGGATGTGTTTCAGTGATTGAGGCGTAAACACATATATTCGCTGCTATGGCTGCAGCTCGATAAACTGATTCCAGCTATTGAGGTATTATTAGCACATCATACTAATACCTGTAAGGTGTGACGGGAAGTATACCTTTTCCAAAGCAATATACTCTCCATTCATCGTCTTGACCAAATTTTTCTTTCGATCGATAATCTTCAAATGTCCATTTTTGTCCCACTCACCAATATCCTCAGTCTTGAACCATTCATCTGGAGTAAGCGCCTCGTTTGTTTCAGTAATGTTATCGTAGTATTCGGACATCACGCTAGGACCTCGAATTCAGATTTCTCCTTGTTGAGGAGTTTTCGTGGTAAAGTAGCCTGCGTCGGGGAAATCAACGAGTTTTATTTCGATGCAGGCAGGGATATCACCCGCTTGGAGGGTGAAGGAGAGGGGATCGCATATTGCGCCCATGCTGGTGTATCATCAGTAAACCTTTTTTTTTTTTTTTTTTTTTTTTTTTTTTCATATATGAGTTTAGATTAGGGTTGCTAACGCGGTAGTTTCTGTGGACCCATAACCAGAAATCATGGGTGTGATGGTCCGAGAGATAAATTCTTGAGTCTGTTGAGATATGGGACCTGCGCCATTTAAGCAGAACTTCAATCTTCCACCTGTCGCTTGTTTGACTTTGTTAAAGACAATTGCATCCAAAATAGCTGAACCGGGTAAGCCGGTTGAGGAGAGTAATCCTTTGGTGTAGAATGCACTCCAGAATAAACTACGGACAACAGGTCCACCTTGATTCACTTTGGCGATTACACCTTTTTTGACCGTCTCCCATACTGATGGTACACCCACTAAAAGAGTAGGTTTTAGTTCCTGGATATCACCCTTGCAGTTTTTCATGGAGGGTTCAGAGAGAGTTCTGGGATGACCGTATCCCATTAGGGCAGCCCAGTAAAGACATGCGTTTTCAAATACGAATTCGAAGATATGAGCAAGGGGAAGGTATGCTAGAAGTGTATCCGAGGGACCTAGATAATCACCTACGATAATATTTGCTCCCGTAACTATAACGATGTTAGTTTGGGGTTTAACAGGGAATAGAAACACTAACTGGCCGCCACGACGTTCTTATGCTTTAGCGATGCGCCCTTCGGAGTACCACCTGAGCCGGATGTGTACACGATGCAGCAAAGATCCTCAGCTTTAGGTGGCACAGCTTCAATAGGATGTAAATGTCCCAAATCTATTAGTTCTTCGTAGCTCAAAAGTGTGAGGTGGTTGTGACTCTTCTTTAGTTCCTTGATACTTGATAATGGAAGTTCTGAATCGCCATCTGTGTTGTATATCACGTATCTAATATGCTTCAAGTCCTCGAGAGAATCAAGTAAAGTTTGAAGGAGCTGTGGTTCTAGGAATATGACCTTGGCTTTCGTTTGTATAAGGGAATGACGGAGCCCTTCGACGCCAAGAGTATCGTATGCAGTGACAATAGGCATAGACTGGGACATTGAACCATGAGCGATTGATAGCCAGTGAGGACTGAATCTACTATAAGCTTGAATCTTTAAAAGCCAGAATATAGGCGATTACCTCGTCGTTGCAAAAAGATGAACCCGATCGTCCTTGACCAATCCCAGTTTCCTCAATCCCGCACCTACACATAATACCAGAGCTTCATACTCCTTAAAGCTTATATACTCATAACCGCTCATTTCAAAATAAGTCCATACTTTATCTACCTCCTGTGTTTGTCCCTCGATGATTTTCTTTACCTTCTTCGTCTCCTCGTGTTTCTTGATTAGTTTCTCGACCCCAAAGCTCGAGCATCCCCAAATCGACGAGAGCTCTGCTGTACGATATCAAACACGGTTTCGATGCCTGGCTCTGGCTGAGAAAGAAGTTCTGGGTGTCGGATATTGCAACGGGGAATGGATTCACCAGGCACTTGAGGAACTCCTTGTACTTCTGCAGTGAAGGGAGGTTTTCTCGACATTCGAGGGGAGAAAGTCGTAGTTTTGGTCTTGTTCTTGGTTTGGGAGGACATGATGAATTTTTACAACATATGGGAAAAAAGATGTGAATCGCTGTTATTAGATTGGAACAGAGTGTAGGGTGGGGGGATAGCATTGATGAGGGCCTGGTTTGGATTTCAATAATTCTACATTCCTAGACTGCCTGGAGGAGCTCGACCAATCTAAGCCACCATAGCCCTCCATTCATGATTGATGGAATGTGATTAACGATAGTTCTGGTGATAAGCCGAGGCTTTTCCTTGCACCTGATTACCCTTTTGACATAAATTCACGAAGATGCTATCGCACCTCCGACTAGAAGGCTCTTTCATCTTTCTTTGTAGTAACTGTTAATGAAATTGAGATGATGGTCACTGGCCACTTGTTACCAGAATACCTGAACAGAAGCCATTATGAGCTGAATGGTTGTTATTTGTTATTTGTTGGTTGCATTGGTGAAAAGAGGGAAGTAAGTTATGGCTGATTCGCATGTGATAGAGGCGCCAAATCCCTATAAAATCTAGGCTAGTTGAATAGAAGCTTCGTCGTACCTACATTATCAGCTTATTATACAAAGTTCTGAAAAAAAGAATTCCTGCTGAGGTTCGATGCACACCGGGAGATAATTTCATGATGAATAACTTTCATTGAGTCGGTGATTCTCTGCACGACACCCGGTAAGGTTACCGTAGTAGGTTACCTAAGTAAGAATCCAAGAGCAACCATCAAACCCACACTCAAGCATCGCTCCGCTTTCAGAATGTTCAAGTATCCATACCTGTATTAATACTTTCTCCACCTTCATTTGTTTGAGCGATTCAAAAAATTCTGGATGGACAAGCTGATGCGACAGTAACAATGCTAGGATCTCCCAAAAGTAAACCCTTCCTATTAAATTCCAGCAAGAAAACGAGCAAAAAGATATCGACGTCGGCATGATTCGAACATGCGCCCCCGAAAGGAATTGATTTCTAGTCAATCACGTTAACCACTCCGTCACGACGCCTTTAAGTTGCATAAAATACAGCGTAGAATCAAAGTACATATTCAAAAACGTTTTGATTCATTCATCTAACAGGATCTTGATCTATTGTTATGCGAAGAGGTTCCCAGAGTATCTGATCATCTGCATAGACATCTCACGGATTTACCTCGAGAGAGAAAATCTTTCCGAGAATTCTATTGTTTTTAAAACATCAAAAGCTCACCATATTTCAGTACTAAGGCCACACACACGACTTCGAATGAACGACTTTTCCACGCATAACTTCCTTTGGTCCACGGAGCCGTTCGATGTCAATGTGCAAGATATGAGTCTGCCGATCAGGATTATTTGCCGTGGGAGAAGAGACAGAACGATTGGACAAATTTGGACTCAGAGAACCTCTCCAGAGGAAGGAGTTCCAGACGAGAAACAATTAATGCTAGTCACCCAATTGGAATTGTTATTGGTATTGTCAGAGTTACAGGTGCTTATGGAACCGACAGAGCGATCAATTCCTCAACTTTTATAACAAGATTGCGAACGACATCTATAGTATGGATTTTTGAAAATCGCACAGGAGCTAGTATTTAGGAACACTACTATATCATCAGCCAGTGATTACGCAGTTACGCAGCGAATTGTCGTTACTTGATACATAATTCCAGTGCTTGGACACCTCAACACCAACTACCATGCCATGTCATATCAAGCCATGTCATATCAAGCCATGTCATATCAAGCCATGTCATACCAAGCCATATACTCTCTCATTTTTATATATGCTGCACAAAGGTAGTCTATCAATAGCAGGGCGAAATTGGCCGGTCAGCACTCCAAAAATGGCTGAATCTGCAGCACGGTATCCGGACTTCTCGGGACATACAACAGGAGTTAGATGGGCATTACGACAGCACTAGATCCTATAATTCTAAATCGCACAGCAATCTAAGATACCTAGCCACCTCTAATACGGTTCTATTTGATAATAAGTTCTATATAGTAATACCTTTTTGGTAATCATTACCCAACTCCGATGGTGGTTTCGTCAGAAGAATGTCAGTCCCCTTTCTCCAACCCCATATATATAGCATGTATCCGAAAATTGTCAATACCCGAGACCCCCATTTCGTTCAGCGGATGATAATCTTATTAAACATTTTCCGGTTGAACCGGCTGGTACATTCTATTTGTTTTTGGCCGGTTGGCCATTTAAATACCCTGCAGGACTTATCTCATGGTAATAGATGTAATAGATTGATACATTGATAAATAGATGAATAAATAAATTACTGAATAAATCGACAAACGAATAAATTAATAAATCAATACCCTTTTACATTGGCAGAATTAAGTTAGGAAGAAGAAGTTAATTTAGCCATTATACTTACGGGAATGGATTCTTATGGAGTTTATACGATACTCGTATGTAGGAAGATATCTTGTTAAAAGTTCACCGCCCGTTCAACCCGTTCTCATATTCTAAGACGCCCGCATTCTCGCCGGAACATCGCTGCTTCGGTATTTGTTGTCTTCCGTAGAATATTTTCTTCTCCGCCCTCCGCCTTCCCTTCCCATCAAACAGCTGGAAGCATATATATGAATTAACCACGACGCGCCTTTATAAAAAAATGTCGAGTCGGAAGAGAATATCGCAAGCTTGTAGACCATGTGGCGTCAAGAAAATCAAGGTACAGTAATAATTCCACTCTCTCCCACTCTCTACACGCGAAAAACGACCGCGGCCATTGACTAGTCAATTCAGTGTGATGGCGGGGCGCCTGTGTGCGGACCATGCCAGAGGAGAAATGCCGAATGCTCATACGGTATATCGAAGCGTGGACATTTTCCACGCAAATTCTTGGAGGGGAGGTGCGTCATTTTAAGTCTTCATTCCATTAAAAGGGAACCTGACTGATTGATATGCTGATTGAACTATTAGCCCTTCAAACTCAAACATTCCTCGTGAAAACTTATCTACTCAGCCGTCCTTTCAACTACCGTCAGGAGGGGCTAACCGCCCTCATGTTACCATCTCTGACGCACAATCCATTCACCCAGGCCCGGTCAGACAAACCTCGACTCTGGCCACAAGCTCATCAGCGCAAAGAAAAGACAAGAAATATCCTTTTAATCCTGAGGTTTCGAAACGTTTGTTCCAGATCTACTTCGATTGCATCCATCCGCTATGGCCAATCCTGTACAAGCCAATGTACACTTCATTCGATTATACCTACCCTTCACCAAGCATACCAAATGTCTTGGCATCTGCAATGTTCGCAATTGCGGCCTGTGTAGATAGACATCAACCTTTTCCGCAGACATACGATGATCCGCATATCACGGGTCCTGCAGAGCCTCACTTTTATTTTGAAGAAGCCTTAAACTTGCTGCAGAGAAGCAATGACAGCAGCGATAAGACATTAAAAAATGCACTTACTCCCTCCATAGTAAATTGCCAAACGTTGACGATACTTGCACTACAGCAACATGGAGTGGCCGAATATTCAAGAGCTGCAGTCTTTTGTGGACTTGCATCATCAATGGCCACCGAATTACGCTTGCATAGACCCCACGAATCGGATGGCCCACAACGTGAGATTCGCTATCGTCTTTGGTGGAATCTGTTCATCCTTGAGAAGATGATTTCTTGCGAAATGGGTAGACCGGTGATGCTTAGAGTAGAGGAGACTGATACTCCCTATCCTTCAACCTCGGAGGCAGATGAGTTTGAATTACCTCCTGCCAGAATGAAACGACAGAATTCGACTAACGTTCATTGCGCTGGCAAAATGCGTACACTCTCAGTCCTCGTGATGTCTATCCAACTCGCAGTCGTAATGGAGAGACTTTCAAGGGAAGTGTATGGGCTAATGAGTAGAAGAGCAATTCGTGATGATCGAAGTTTTGGTGAAGCAAAACGCTTAGAAATATGGTCCGCTTTTCAAGAATGGGAGCGTAGCATCGAAGCCTCCCCCTTGCGCTTGGATTTAAGCAATAACCTTACATCCGTCTCTGGCGTCGTTACTAATTATGTTGTAAGTGCGTAATGTATTTTATATCTGGTCCTTACTCATGCAATCCAGGTCATGCACTCCGGGGTAATACTCTTACATCGCCCGTTCATTGCTAGATGGGTATCAAGCCCTTCAAATACCAATGCTTCGGCGCACCCACTCAAGGTCTGCCTAAATAGCGCGAATGCAATATGCACTATCTTAGAGAAGTACTTTAATGACTTCTATGGCCTACCATGCGACATGGTATTTAGTATTTTTACAGCTGCAAGCACGCTATTGTATCAGTCGAAGCAACCGGGTGGAGGTGACAATGCGGAATCGCAACGTCGCCTTAAGATGTGTATACACTGGCTTTCCGTTCTTGGAAAGAGTTGGAAGAGTGCTGGGGCTCGTCAACAGCTTTTGGTAGACCGTAAGCCCCTTGCTTCTCAAGTTCACAAGTTTTTACTAATTCATTCAGTATCTGCAATGCCGCAAGATGTTAATATGACAACTCTAGCCAATGCAGCCGCAGCTATCGATGCTCAGGAGTCGACGACCTCACAACTTCTATCCGAGCAAGAATCGATATATGCACGACATTCGACAGCAGATGCCACGTCTGGCGTAACCAAACCCGTGGCACCAACAGAGGACTGGGAGTTTTTGAGAGGGTTTGGAGATTCTTCTGATGAATTTTATGTTCTAGATGAGGAACTTCGAGTTCTGCTCGAAAGTGATCAACAATGGAATCTCTAAGTTCCTGTAGACATTTAATAGGAATAGGCTACCAGCATAACTACTCCTATTATTCTCAATTCCACAGAATTGCTATTCCTTACATTTCAATGATCCCGATGGGTCCATTATATTCCTCTCTCCCAAAGCCGAAGTAAAATATCGCACCGAAAAACAGCCATCCACCCATGACAACCACGCTATAATTCATGTTTTGTGCGGTGACAGGCTGCACGCCGGGAAAAGTGCAGAAAACTATCGCCACGAAAAGCCAAACAACAGCTACTACATTGACTACCAATCCGAATGTGTCACCTAATTTAAATGGCCCATACTGGCCTCTTTTGAGATTCTTTCTACCATATATTATCATATAGATGATTGGAGCAAGATACGAAGCATACATCCCAAGGACGGACATCGATAAGATGGCATTGAATGCTGTACTGTTTCCAAGGTATATTAGACCAAGAAGCATCTCTACCACGGTCACGGCCACAATTGAGCGAACAGGTACTTGTGTTGTTGGACTTATGTGTGCAAAGTACTTCGGATATGGAGTTGCCGAATCGCGAGCAAACGCCCAGTACGTCCGTGAAGTTGAGGTACAACCAGCCGCATTGGCCGCCACGGCAATAGAACAGACGATTAATATCAAAATCGTTGCTCCGGCTTTATTGTTCGTAACGTTTTGGTATAGCTGCATGAAAGGAAACCCAGTCGGGGATGTGAGCACTGGAGTTATAACTGTCAACAATCTTTCTTATTCAAGGTGTTTTGGACGTCGAAATTGGTTTCATTGGAGTATTTATGGTTATCAGATGAGAGGAGAAATTTCTTACATTCGTCCAAGTCACCAAGAGAATACAGCAGCATGATGCAATATCCAAGTCCCAAAATCCCGTTCACAGCCACACTTCCGACCATAGCGATTGGAACATCTCGTGCAGGGCGTGGCATCTCTTCTGCTAAGTGACAAGCTGCATCGTAACTTTGTGGTATCATTAGTACAAAATAAAATAGCGAGAGTCAGGATTTATCTTACCCAAGAAGCGGATATACAGCACTCAAAAGACCCACGAGCCATGATGTCCCACCATCTTGCCAGCCACTGGTATTCGTAACTTGGACAAAGACGAAATGGGCATCATGTTTGGGTGCCATAACTCCAAGTACTGTCATGACTGCCATGAGGCCGGCAATGTGTAGAGCACCTAAAATCATCAGTTCTGGTGAAATAGATCGTTGTGGGCTGTGGGCAGTTACCAGACACTAGATTCGTATGTGGAAGTACCTTCGATCCCCATATATTCACGGTGGCAGAGTATAAAAGGACCAACCAGTAGAACAGCATACCCTGCCATCTTGCTGGCACATAGCTGTCTGGGTTATTGAGCGTTATAAGGCCTTGGAACTGCAGTCCTGCAGAGAACGCGGCTGATGCTGTGAAGACAATTTGTCCACCGATGGAGGTCCAACCCGTGAACCAGGATGCAATTTTCATTTGGTTTCTTGGAGCGAGAGCGGCGACGAAATGGTATTGTCCTAATTCGCGTCGTTAGATTGGAACCATGCTTCGCATGTGGAAAGTGTTGCTTACCGCCAGCTGTCGGCCAGATGGACGCAATCTCGGCTAGAGATGATGATATCGCCAGACTTCCGATCAAGGAAATGCAGCTGTAAGATTATCAGTGATGCTATTCTGGTTCACGGATTTAATATGACTTACTAGTTGTAGAAAAGACATGGAGCTCCGCCATTTGCCAATGCTGCTGCTACAACACTGGACAATGCTTCCCATGTTGCCATCAAGCAGAGACATAAGGAGCCAAGTGACCAGACCGAGAAGTCTTTGCGTAGTTCTTCTACTTGTCCGGCTATTGGAGTGTCCTCTATTCCCTCATCCACTCCTGTTGACGAAGGTTGGGATTCCTTCATCATCATATCCTCCTTTTTAAAGCCGCTTTCGAAATCCATTCTTAGGGGGAGGTCTTCACGATTCTCGTCTAAAAGTCAGTGTCGTTGAGGACAGTCGTACAATATCAAAGGCAAATTTTGTATTACAAAAGACAAATTTTGAAATGTTATACAAATTTTGAATCAAGATACTCTAGAAAAGATCACGGAGTTTACAATACTCCAGGACTCGTATTCCTGTATAAAGCGGAGCCTTTCCGTTATCAACCACGTATCAAGGCTGTAATTTTCACTTGTCATATCGATCTAATTCCAAAAAAGCTTGATTGCATTGGTTCCGAAGTTGAGACGAGCATGAAACTATTATGCATGAATTATTTCAGCGTTGATAGGCAAAGCCCTTGGGGTCACTAGTCACAGGATTGCTGATACCGGGTATATGATTGATTGTTGAGATACCCGTTTCCCGCGTTAGGAGATAAGCGAAATAACCGGACGGATATGTCTATCTACCAATCATGTTAGTGCGCCATCGAATTCATGCAATCAGAATCAAAGAATTTACATAATGAACTTGAGCGGCCGGTAAACCGATGGCGATATTTTGTGTAATGACTAGTAGTAGGATTAATTTCTTTCATTACTTGTATTTATACAAGTCCTCCCCTCCCTCTATGTGCATTTCTTCTCGTGCATCTTTCTTCACTTTGTTTCTTCACTTCTCAAAGTTTACACAATTGAGTTTGATACAAATCCTTGTACTTTTTTAAACATAATATCAATTCTTTTTCCATCAATCAGCATGTCCCCTCCTACCACAAGACCACATCCCCTAACCCAACTCTCAATCACCGAGGCCCATAAAGCCCGCGACATAGTCATAGGTCTACACAGCGGCTCTCTCGTCTCTTTCCGCACCATATCACTGGAAGAACCCCTCAAAGCAGAGTTGCAAAAGTTTCTAGAAATAGAACATAATGGCGCTCTAGACGCATCAACTATTTATCCAAAAAGAGTTGCTAGGGTTATGTATGATGTTATTGGTGGTACCAAGATACCCCAATATCAAGAGTCTCTCGTGGATGTTGAGGAAGGTGTTGAGATCTCAAGGGAGATTGTAGATACCAAACATCATGCTCGTTTGACTTTGTATGTTTAAACTTCCCTCTTTATACAAATCCAAGCTAACCCCCTCCGCAGAACCGAATTCGACGACCTAGTAAAAGCCGCGTGGGCCTCCTCTCTTTTCAAAGAAGCGGTCTCCGAGCTCCATATCCCAGAAGGATTTGAAGTCGTCGTAGAACCCTGGCCATATGGAGGAAGCATCGAGGACGAAAATCCTCGATACTTTCAAGGTCTCTGTTTTGCGCAGGATAAGCGAAATGGGAACCCAGATTCGAATTTCTATGGGTATCCGCTTCCTTTGATTCCTATCATGGATGCTCATACGCGCGAGATTATTCGGGTGGAAAGATTGGCTACGGGAGGGATTGAAGATGGATTTAAGGTGGGGACTCATGATAGGGATATTTTGAAACATTGTAAGCCGTCGGAATATGTGCCGGAATTGTTGGAAAATGGTACGAGAAAGGGCTTGAAACCTATTAATGTGGTGCAGCCTGAAGGGCCAAGTTTTGTGGTAGATGAGGATGAGAGTTTGGTGGAGTGGCAGAATTGGAGGTTTAGGGTCGGTTTTAATCATAGGGAGGGGGCTACCATTCATGATGTGAGATATGAGGGGAGGAGTATTTTATATCGGCTGAGTATGTCGGAGATGGTACGTGAGGTTGATTACTGTTTGTGGTGGAAGTGGAGTATTGTGCTAATTACTCATTTCTAGACTGTTCCGTATGCAGATGCTCGAGCTCCATTTTATCGCAAACAAGCATTTGATTTTGGAGATGGTGGTGCAGGAGACTGTGCCAATAACCTGGAGTTGGGATGTGATTGTCTGGGCGTCATAAAAGTTCGTGCTCCTATCCAATCTCCAGATTTCAATAACCCTTTTCCCCGTCCCTTTCCCCCCAAACCTCAAAGTATTTAGCTAACCGTACTTTAGTATTTTGACGGCACTAAAACTCAAGCCGATGGAACCGTCTCCACAAGTCCCAACGTCATTTGTCTGCACGAACAAGATGCCGGTATTGGCTGGAAACACACCAATTGGCGTACCGGTCGCGCAGTCGTAACCCGTCACCGCGAACTCGTCGTTCAATTCATCATCACCCTCGCAAACTATGAATACGTATTCGCCTACAAATTTGATCTTGCTGGTGGCATCACTGTCGAAACACGCGCTACGGGTATCGTATCCGTCGTCTCAATCGACGCCGGCAAGAACAAGAGCGAATACGGAAATGTAGTAGCCCCAGGTGTCCTAGCACAAAATCATCAACATATCTTCTGCGTGCGTATTGATCCCGCGGTAGATGGACCACTAAATACCATCATGGTAGAGGAATCCCACGCCGTGGCTGACAAGACACGGAATCCGCACGGAAATTTCTACGAAGTGGTTTCGAAGCCTGTAGAGAAGGTATCGTGGATCGATGCCGCACCGATGAACAACATGTTTATCAAAATGATCAATCCAGGCAAGAAAAACAGCATTAGCGGAAAAAACGTCGGCTATAAATTCATGCCTGCAGCTACACAGGTATTACTCGCACAGGATGAGAGTATCCAGGCCCAACGGGCTCGATTCGCTCAACATCACGTGTGGGTAACGAAATATAGAGATGGGGAATTATTCGCAGGTGGGAGATATACGCTGCAGAGTAAGCGGGAAGTAGACGGGGTAGCGGATGCGGTGGATAGGGGGGAGTTTTTGGGGACAGAGGAGGGTGAGGATGTAGTGGTGTGGAATTGTTTTGGTTTGACGCATAATCCGCGTGTCGAGGATTGGCCAGTTATGCCGGTTGAGATTCATGAGTTGAGGATTAAACCGTGTGATTTTTTTGAGGGGAATCCTGCTATTGATGTGTGTGGTGCGAGGAATTTGGTTTCGAGGTTGGTGGTGGGGAAGGGGAAGGAGGGGGAGGGAGAGGGAGAGGGAAAGGAGAGTTGTTGTAGGTAGGGGGGGCGAAGTAAAATTATTATTGAGATGGGGAGGGAAGGGGGTTTAAAGAGATAGATTTCGTATGAATAAGAACAAGAGTATAAATATAAACAACATTACTATAAAGTTTCTAATCTTCTTATAAAACCTCCATCTAGAAGATTATTTTTTGGGTTTCTCTTCTCCATTTTAATATTCTAGTATTCTAATGTTTGTAGTATTGATATATTATTATTTCAAATATCTATCTAAGATTACATATTTATCTACTATCTGTCTATTGGTCTGTCTGCATGGAACTCCGAAGTTTGTTCTGTGTAGAGTATTGATTGTGGAGTTGAGGATATGGGATATGGGATATGGGATATGGGATATGGGATATGGGATATGGGATATGGGATATGGGATATGGGATATGGGATGTCGAGTATATCTTATAATAATAAATGTTAATGTTTTTTGTAAGTTTTTAAAAAAGGGTTTTTGGATTTGGATTTATATATGATATGTGTTTGAAATCTTATATCTATCATCTCTGATCTTACATGACATTCCCCAGGATTAAAATTGTCATAATCCCAAAATCATCCCCCTTTAAACTTTGCCAATAGTCTTGCATGAGGTCGGCCATCCAATAGTCTTTAAATTGATGAATAGATTCGTTGAGATGGTATTTTTGGGAGGATCACCCGGTGGGGTGGGCTACCGCAAGATAGAGTTATTAAATGACATGGATATGACAGACACCGCTCAGTCTCAACCAATAGATACGATGAAAGATTTTGGCCATCCGCTTACAAAACCAGATTGATCTGTCTCTTTACCAGAAGAAACATCATCGTATGGAAAAGCATATCCACGACCATGGTGATTTGCCTCATGAACCAGTCGAGCATAATGATTGGTGATATTATTGCGATAATACTCTGATACTCTTTCGTTTGTTGGATGATGATCATTGCTTAACAATGTTGAACGATTCAATGCCGCGCTAATGCGAGCAGTGAGTGGTCCTGTCGCTCCAGCATTGTTGGAAAAGGGACCAGAGCTACAACTGAAGATGTCTGCGGTGGATGGTTTTGAAAATGTTGCTAGGCCTGGAAATGTTAATTGTCCATTGCACACTCGGCCCTCAACCTCTCTCCATTCCGCTTGTGTGTCGACGATTAATGGTGTTTTGCTATATTTGTCCCATGCTTCATCGACGTAGGATTCATAGTAACCACTGAAACCTGGTTCATGATTGGGGCTCAATACGCGAAGTTTCTGACCACCAGATTCTACAATTAATTTGTCCCATCCTGCTCCGTCGGCTCGACTTTGTGCTTTTAGCCCTTCACATATAGTCTCTAGACCATCTGCTTTCAATCCCCTAATTTCTTGTGGCGCACCGTTTTCAGTGATAAGTTTCATAGAAACTGGTAGACTAACAAAGTCGACATAGCTGTTCCACATTAGCGATTTTGAAAGGTATCATGTGGTAGGTAAAAGGACCTTATATTGGCATAGATTTGGGTTTGATTGAATGTGAACTCGCAAAACGCCCAGTTGGTATTAATATTGTGATCAGAAGGATTGGTAACAGATGGCTCAACCAATGCCGGTCCCGGATTCACGAAGAACTCCAGCTTCTTTCCTATCGAAAACCAGATTCTTCCTCCGGCAAGCAGGGGAATCGTAGCAATAGTGGTACTGCCTTGCCTACCTAGTTTAATGGCACAGTCTGCTGAAAGTGGATAAACGGTACGTGGTGGTGACTCGGGATAATATGGTGTCTTTCCATCGGCCTTCAGTAGACAGACACGATTATTGTTGTTCAGTGCTAGTCCCGTGATATAAGCATACACTTCGTCTGAAGGGTAACGGTTCTGTAGCTGGATATCGAGGGTTTGAGGCATGATAATGTAGATGACGATAAGGTAGAAGTAAATGTGCAGTGAGGGTTCGGATTGAAAGTTCAGTGAGAAAGAAGCTTGCGTGAGAAGAATGCGATGAGGCCAATCTCAGAATTAGATCAAGTTAAACTTGGTGACTGGAACCTCGTATAAGAAGTAATGCAGAAGCGATTCTTGATATGGATCAAGCACAATTTCGGTGATTGAAAGAACTGAGTGGCAGCGAAATCAAGCATTTAACATAACGATGCTCAATGACGTATGCAGTAGCCAACTTTCATGAATTGAATGTTTCTGAGCTATCAAATACTGGATACAGTTGAGATACTGAACTCAATTCCGTGTATATGAAATAGCAGTAAAGAGATTGTATTTCTCGAGTGGATATATCGGACAGAGAACGGCAAGAAAGGAGGTTAGATATCAGATAGTTAGGCTTGCTATTTGGTCCACTGAGATTTTACCTTATGCATAGCTGCTTTAGTATACAATCAGTAGGCCATGATAGATATATATATAAATATTGGTGTATTTTGATCCTATAGAGCAAAAGGACTTGAGTAGAATCTAGTTGATATGAACAATAAGTACTAAAGTAGGAGGAGTCTGTTTGATAAATACACTACAACAAATGCCGAGACAACATCAAGTGCAAATGGATGACTAATACACCGGGCAGACAGCAGTCTCACGTGATTATACCACAACATTAAACGAGAGTCTAGTAAATCTGTGCCCACCCACCATAATTCCAACCTTTTCTACAGTATCTTCCGAAAAACGGCGACCTATAACATCATCAACGCAATCAACGGCAACCTCCAAGTACCATCAAAGCCACGACTCAAACCGCCGAGTATCGAAGCCAACCCTAATCAGCTTATTTTATCCTGGTGAGGATTGCGAACAACCGTCAAAATGGTTTATGATTGGGATGATAAGGAGGAGTTATGCTATCGCATGTATATTGATGAGAAAAAGTCATTGGAAGAAATTATGGAATTTATGAAAGAAACTATGTCTTTTAATCCATCGTAAGTTTATATCTTGTTTGAACTGCACTGCACTGCACTGTTACTGTCCTGCGCTGCAAGCTATAGCATACTATAGCAACTGTAGCAGCTATAGCATCATGCATCATATATCGATATGCACACCCGTACCACTCGCACTGACAACGACTGACCCTGATAAGCAAACGTGCATTCCAAACCCAATTCAAAAAATGGGAATTCCCCTCGAAGCAGAACCCTGCACATAGGAATGAGCCACTCGTCCAGCGCGTCAAGGAACTATGGGATATCAACACTTCACAGCGAGAAATGCTTCGCATTCTCAACGAGGAGGGATTCGAGATCAAGGAGCGTGAACTCATGCGCGTCAGAGCGAAGAATCGCTGGCTGTTGCGAGTACCTAATGGGAACAAATCAAAAAAGTTGATGGATCAAGATGTAGAAAATCAATTACAACAGGCATTTTACAACAATGGACAATTACTAGAAGGAGAACAACAGATGGAAGGACAAATGGAAGATCTACCACCAACTTCATCCACTCCCAAGAACAACAACTCTAGAGCTGAATCCCCACCACTTAGTCCAGAGGTTATGGCAAAAAGACAAGAACGTTACGCCAAGTTACAAGCCGAATCTGCAGAACGATGGGCCGCTCGCAAACGTCGTCGTCGCACCCGTGGCTGGGCTGGTCTCCCGGCGGATCCTCCAGGACCCCCTCGATTTCCTTCCGAAACAACCATCGATGAGAGCAAGTCTTTCTTGAGTCTTGATAATCGTCTATATCGTGATATAAGGGAAAGATTCCAACGCATATGCGAAGAAGCAGGTATCATTAAGAAAACCATTGCTGGACCAGAGCGTTGGGAAGCTGCCAAGGATAGACTCATACAAGAGAGTGAACATCTACAATCGGTTTTCTGGAATAACGATGAAAATCTGGACCCAAAGAAACTGGCTCTCGACGTTGTTTGTGGGGACGTGACAAAGCGAATGCGAACCTTGCAGCGTCGTATGACTATCGCTGAAGCCAAGAATGCTCTAGGAGTAAACCCGAGGAGT